CGTGTTACTTTGCGGAGCCAAGGATTCCACGTCTGCGGGCAGCAGTGTGCTTCTGACGACTGGGCTGAATAAACCTAATATAGACTGGTCGTTTGCTGTCTCTGGATTGCAGTGCTGAGTACTGTAGCCAACTTATGAACCCCCTGCATGCGGAATGTGCTTTTTTACCATCACCTCATCATTGACTCTTTCATCGTCACGATGCTTGCTTCGCTCTCAGCTTGAGAAACGTGCCTCTCGGAACGAATCACCTGGCTAAGGAGAGAATCTGCACAGTCGGAATTATCTCTGCCGGTGGCTGGTGTGGCGCGGTCAGGGCCGGTACCAGCATCTTGTGACGTCGGACATCCAGGACCGCAGCAGCCCCTCGGTGCTTTTGCACATCGCACCGACTGTAACGAAACGTAGGACCGTCGCCCTCGCCGCGCTCGATGGGGCACTCAGACTTTCCTCTCCCTGCACTTGGCCTGGCCCGAGTGGGGCCGCCTCCTCCAACCGCAGCCAGTCTCTCATTTGACCCACCTCTACTGCTACGCAGCATGCTCCTCGGCTCGGCTTCAGCCGCGACAATAGCAGGATCTCCAACAAAGCTTTTTGCTTGCTGCTTTTAACTGGCATCACAAGCAGTACGAACCCAGCCCAGTTTGGAGCAAGGGACAAAGCAAACAATTCTAAGGTTGAGACTGGGTTCGGCTCTTTCGGCCCCCGGCGCTTCTTGGCCCGGGCTTTCACCGTCTGCGTCTCGAATCTTCGACTCGCTGGTGTGTGACTTCAACTCGAAAGACCCGCCGAGGTCCGTGATTGGCTTCATGAGTGCCGAGTCCCCGCTGTTGGCACGCAGACTTGCCAGGTGGTGATGCAGGGCAGATGAGGGATATTGACAGTAGCATATTCCTGTCGCAAGGTTGGAGACAGTTCCAATGGCACTGGACTTGGTGCAGGCCGGATCGTTAGAAGAGGAGAGCTAAGAGTCATCTGTGAGTTGCGCGGTGGGGACATGGGCGGGGGATGGGGCGACAGGTCGACTTATCAATGATGCTCCGTGGATCCAAAAGATCTGGAACAACAGCTCTTGCTGTCGCCGGTGCACGAATGGAGCCATTGCTATCTGCCTTGGATTTTTTGCACTCGGAGTCCTTGCTCTTCGTGCGGCGATCTGGGTGTCTAGACCCTCCTTTCTCGGTGCCAAGTGTGCTGCGTGCTGATTTGCCAGCAGTGCTATTTGGCACATTCGTCACAGGAACCTTGGCTTCACTGCGGCAGCTCGCTTGCCTTGGACCGTTCTTGGCTGCCCCTGGTGTTGCTAGACCGAGTGTATCTGCTTCCCCCCTCGACTCGGTGAGCATGGGGAGCCTGATGCCACTTCGTAGTTTCGTGTGTTCGGGTTCAGCTGCTTTAAGCCTCGATTTCTCACAGCCAGGGCCATTTCCGACGTTGCGCGGCGCAGCATGACCGGGCCTCTTCTTGTTTGCTGGGGGATTTCGACTTGGCCTCGTCCTGCCAGCGTTGGATGCCGCACATGGCTGCACGGCGTCTGCAAGGAGCCTTTTCCGATGTGATTTTGCGGTATCGGCTCTGGACTCGTCTTCCTTGGGGTCATGTACACCTCCTCGAATATGTGCTTGCCTTGGCAGCCTTCCGCCTATTTGGGGAGCGGCCTCGATGGGTCCGTTCCTTCCTGCCCCTGACTTTATCAATCCCGGCAGCACGCTGCTCATGCGAACGCTCGGCCGCTTGGAGCTCCTTCCACCTCTGTCGGACCCTGCACATGCAGAGGCCACGCTCTCGGCGCGGGCTTCCACTCAGGCAGAAGCTGCAGCTCCAACATGTAGTTGCTGCCACTCGGGAGTGCTTCTGCTTCTGCGAAGCTACGCGAGGTCAGGCTTTCCCGCCTTCGCTTCGGACTTGTGCGAGGTTGGTTCTTCCACGCCTGTGAGAAGTTTTCTGCAGCCAGATTCCGGCACCTCAGCCTCAGACGCAGCCTTCACGGATTTCACGCTGTCGTTGCGGAGCCTCCAGCATGCCGGCTTAGCCATTCCAATGGCAGATGTGGCACAGGCCGGACTTCCTACAACAGCGCGGGCTCTCGCAAGGACAGAAGCTTTCCTATTGACTTTTAGACTTCACAGGTTGGAGCTGAGCATGGCCGTGTGCGACTTGTGCTTGATTGGCTTCTCATCATTTATCCAGCGCTTGGCCTGCTCGGGGTTGCGAACCGTGATCCAAGATCACACAGAACCAGACATGTCCATGCCTGCCTCTGATTTCAGCGACCTTCCATTCCTGCCGCTTCGTTGTTTTTCGCGAGTGGGCTCGCCCATACTTGCCCTCGGTTTCAGTACACCCGGTTCCTTGCCTTCTGCACTCGACTCTCTGCACTTGGGCTCCTCAATGTCCCTGAAGAACATGGCTCAATTCGGTCTGGCGCTGTCGCTTCCGGACTCTGCAACTCTGGAATCCTCACCACCAACGCAATGCCCTTTCCGCTTCGACCTTCTCCCATCATTGACGGGCAAGTTTGTACAGAAAGATGGTGTTTGGAATGTGGGTGACTCTCTTCTCGTGACGAGCTTTACGCGGCCAGACCCTGCACTTCTGGTGCCTTGCTTTGCCCGTTTTGGTTCGACGCTACTCGTGTCAGACAACGCGCTTTCTGGGCTGCTGCCGTTAATGCACAGCTTCTGCAGATTTGCATCCAGCTTGCTGATCATGGGCCATTCTCGCCTTGAAGTGTCGGCCGTTTTGCTAGATCCTACGAATGCCGGTGCTTTCGTTCCGTTGCGCCAGTTTGCTCACATGGATTCGGCTTTGCTCCCGATGAGCGTCGCGTGCATGGACTTGCCAATCCTCCTGCTAGACCATGCGCTAGCTGGAGTCTTGCTTCCTGCGCAGCAGCTTGGATGCCTTGGGCTTTCAGTCTTCGCATGCAGCTTTGCCCGTGCAGGCTTTCTGTCGCCGTTCCTGGAATGGTCTCTCTTGGAGCTGCCCTCAACTGCCCGGAACTTTGCCTGCTCAGGCTTGCCATTACCGACTCTGCAGGTTTTGCTGCCGGGCCTGCCAATGCTCTCGCGATCCCTGTCACAGCCGGAACCGTCACCCTCAACCAGCACCATCAGCAGAACTGGGTCAAAACTGCCACTGCTTGACCACACGGGTGCTGATGCACCTCCAGCTGCGAGGAGTCTTGGTCGATTGGACAGCCACTTGTCAGCTTCAGGGCATTCGCGTACAGGGGCACCGCATCCGGCTCTGGACCTTCTGCACCTTGATGCCTCGCCATCTCCGCAAAGAGCAGCACGGCCGGACCCGTACATGCCAATCTTCGGCCACGTGTGTTCGGGTCCTACTGCTTTGCCTTGCGACCGAGGCTGCCTGGCCACCTCCATGTTCTTGCGTAGCGCTTCCAAGTCGGATGCGGCTGCTCCATCAGTGGAGATGGTTTCCTTGGAGACGTCCGCGTCTGTGAAGACTTCTGCAAAGCTTGGTTTAGCCACCTTTGTGGTATTTCGGGCTCGGTGTGGTGCATTTCTGACAGCACTGGATGTGGTGCAGCTGGAATTCCTTCTGTCAGTGCGTAGCTTCGCTTGCCCTGCCTTCTGTTCTTTTGTCCTGGACTTTGCGGAATTTGACGCTCCAGTATCTGCACGGGCGCCTACGCGGCCGGCCTCCCCCACGATGACTATCGGAATGGTTTGTATGGAGCTTTCGTTTCCTCTACCTGACCTCGTCCCTCTGAGCGCTTCCATGCCGGCGCATGGCCTCGTGTGTTCAGATCTGGTTCTTCCTGTGCCAGACCCTGTCAGTTCCGAGTCTGCGGTGTTGGTGCGTCAAACAGGCCGGCGCAGTTCATCACTGCCTGTATCTTGTGCAGCCCGTTTGGCCGTCTCTGCTTCTATACTGGACTTCTTAGGAACGGAGCTTTTTTCGTCTCTTCAGAACCATGCTTGGCCGGAGCTGCGACTGTCATTGATGAGCTGGCTGGCTGTGGGATCGGCATCCTCATCAAGGCCGGCATTGCATCCAGGCTCTTTCTTTCCAGCCTACACCTCCATGCAACCCGGCGAGTTCCTGCTGGTGCCGGACCATGCTTTCTTAGGCAGCTTGATGTCGGTGCGCTCTTTTGCCAAACTCGGATTGGCTCCTCTGCCGTTGGATACTGCCCAGACAGGACTGCTGCCGCCGGTGCGAAACAAGTTGCAATCAGGGTTTATTTCATCAGCTGCTGGCAGAATGTGTTCTGATGACGCGCTGTTTGTATTCCTTTTTCCAGAGACGGGCTTGTTGCTGTTTGTCCGTCAGTTCTTTTGGCCAGACTTCTCCACGTCGGCAATGGGTCGTCGACTTCGCTCTGCGATGCCAGCGCCTGATTTGTCTTTCTTCGGATCTGCGATGTTTCTTCAAAATGCTCTTTGTGCTGGCACATCTCCACCATTGCCTGGCTGTGGTCGCACTGAGAATGCAGTGTCTGCGCTAGACAACGTGTGCTCTGAGAGTGCCCCGTCATTCCACAGCTCCGTATACTTCGGAGTCCTGACGTTTCCATCTGATTCGATTAGCATTGATTCGCCCCTGTTGGTGCGGCAGCTTGCACATGCAGGTGGTACTTGGGCTCAGGGGCTTACTCGGCCGTGCTTCTTGCCTTCGATTATCGATTTTGCAACAATTGGCCCAGTGCTGCTAGCACGACACTTCACACGTGTTTCTGGTGCCCAGTCCGCCCTAAGCCAGGCAAGACTGGGCTCTTCCCTGTCTGCACTGGATCCTGCGCTACTTAGCAGTTCCTTCTTTATCAGGGGAATGATGAACCTATTCAACTACTTATCCATCTACAACCACGGAATTCGGTGCAAAGGGGTGACACCCGACAGCAGCTTGTCTGTGCGTAGCATGTTCATCTTCGGGCCCCCTTTCTCCATATGTAATGCGCTCCGAGCAGGCGAGTTGATGCCAGCCACGGACTCTCTGCATATTGGAAGCGTCATGCCATCGCAGTCGCTCGCTTAAACTGGTCCAAAGCTGTCAGTCTCGGACTCTTTAAACTCAGCGCCACCGTCATTTTTGCACAGCTCTTCGTGTGCAGGATCCGCTGCACCCGCATCGGGATCCGGATCTCCAGGTCCATTCATGCCTGTTCGCTGCTTTGCCTGCCAGGACTCACCATCTCCCGTGTTTGGATTTCGTCTGGACTTATCACTTGTGATTCTTGACTCTTCCAGCATGGATCTTTCGTCGCTCTCACGTTCCTCATCGCAACTTGAAGTGTCGGTCCTCGTGCCTGAGATGTCGTCCTCGGGAAGCTTTTCAGCATTGCAGTGCTTTGCATGACCTGGCGCTCTCGTGGCAACCGCAAGCTGCTTGAAGTGCGGCTCCGCTACAATCGCATTGGACTTCATTAAATCGGGAGTTTTGCCGTTGATGAAAAACTCTGCTCGAAGCGACCCGCTTGTTTCTTTGCTCGGCCTACGTTCCGGTACAGCCCTGTCTGCCCCAGACCTCCTGCATTCAGAGGCCGTATCGTTTTTGCGAAGCTTTGCATATCCGGAGCTCCCCCTTCCTGCCTTTCAAGCCTTTCGCCTCGACCCGCTTCTACTGTTGCAGGCGTTCTCTCAGGTTGGGTCGCTGCTTTTGGTTTTAGGGACCTCGAGACTTGGCAGTTTGATGCTCGCGCCGAACTTCGGCAACTTGGAGGTGTCCTCGCCGGCGAAAACACCTATGCATCCCGAGCTCTTCATGTCCACTTTGGGCGTGGCCTGTCAGCATGCACTTTCAGTTCTTGACTTCTTGCATCCGGAGCTGTTCTTGCTTCCTCGCAGTTCCGCTCGCACAGGCTTCGTGCCGCCTGTAACCAGCTTGGCACAAGCAGATGCGTCCTTGCCTTTGCGGACACCCTCCCGAGCAGATGCTCCTCCGGTTCTTTGCGGGTTGTTGCGCCTTGATCAGTCTTTAGCGGTGCCCAGCTACGGATTTTCGGAAAGCTCATCCTCCTTAAGAAGCGTTGCTTGGCCTGACTTCCCTGCCTCAGTCCTCGGAGGCATCCGCTTGGGAGCTCCCCTGTTGACATGCGATAGCTGGGCCACCGGTCCATCCTTGCCAGCGCGCAGCCTCCTACACTCGGGACAGTTCCTAGAGCTCGAGAAGCTGAAAAGGTGGAGCATCATCTCCTTGGAGCTCTCGGACTTCTACCGTGGGGATGTGCCGTTGCCTCTTCAAAATCTTGCCCGACCCGGCTCTGCCTTGCCATCTTTTGGAGGGGCAAGGCTGGATCTGTCAACTTCCACACCAGATCTCGCGGAACTGGGCTCACCTCCGACGCTGCGAAGCTCTGTTTGCTCCGAGCTGGCCTCGTCCATCGGAGGCTTGCATCTCTCGGGACCTACTCCGTTGGTGTCAGATCTCCTGCACTTGGAGTCCACGCTCCCTCTTCGAAGCTGCGCTCGCTCGGGTCCGGCAGCAGCGATAATGAGTTTTGGGGCACCTGGCAGCCTGCCGCCGTCACAGGGCTGCGCGCGGACGGGGAGCTTCACGCTGGCGCTCGGAACTCTTCGTCTGGGACTCCAAGCTTTGGTGCTGAAGCTCGCTACAACGGGCTCTGCCTCACTCTTGAGAGAATCCTCGCGACCCGAGGCGTCCCTGCTCGTCTCAGGATCCGCGCAACCCGAAATCTCCTTGCTCTTGCGCAGCTTGGCCTGCCACGATGTGCCAGTGTCGATGTTGCAGTCTTCTAGGTTTGAGTTCATCCTGATTGCGATGGACTTCCTACACTTGGGAGCGCCAGCTATACTGCAAAGCCTCTGTAAACTGGAGCCTGTGCCATTCGTTTCAGATAGTGCTGGCACCGGGCTTCCGCCTTCTTCGAAGCATCCCGCTAGAATCGGTCTGCTCTCGCCACTGCCCGCTTGCACAAGGACAGGTTCGCCTCTTTCAGTGCCGGATATCTTCGGGTTTGGCCTTGCTTTACTGGTGCGGTCCACGGCCCATCTTGGCTCCTCCCTCTTCTTCTGCAGATCGTTTCAACCGGAGCCGCTGACACTTGTCTCGGACTTCAGCTTCTTGGGGCCGCCTTTGCTCTCGCAAAGCCCGGGTCGGTCGGGTCCAGCGACGCTTCCATGCAAGCTGAGCCGTTTCGAGTCCTCTGTCCCAGTTCTGGACTCCTTGCATCTGGCGAGCTTCCTGTCCTTGCGAAGTTCTCTGAAAGCAGGGCATGCGCTCTCGCTTGACGTGAAACGGGTGGATTTAGGGGTTTTTGTCTTGGGAAACAAAGCCCTTGGCCCAGCTCCTTCGACCCGAGGCCTTGCAAGGCCTGGCTTGCTCTTGTCTGCGAGCGGCATTTGCCGCCTCGACTTTTTCATGCCAATCGCTGATTTCCTGCAGCCGGACGCTGCACCGTCTCCGAGATCCATCGCTCGGACGGACTTCGCTGCGCCAGCCTCTGATGTCTTTCTGGGCAGCTCGCCGATTCTTCAGAGCTTCGCCTGTCTGGACGCCCCAGCTTTGCTGGTGAGGGCAGCAAGTTCGGGCTTCAGCCTCTCAGTGTCGGACTCTGTCACTGTCGGCTCCTCTCTTCTTTTGCGGCAGTCTGCCTGACTGGAGCTGTCGCCGCTTCCTATGCAAGCAGCTGTTCTGGGGTTCACACCTCTTGCTTTCGATGCCGCAAGGATGGGCTCCCTGCCGCTGCTTCGATCATTCCTGCGCATGGAAGCCTTTCCATTGCTTGTTTCTGCTTCAAGGCTGGAGGTCTGCTTGTTTGCTTTGGGCTTTTCGCAGTCCGAGCCTCCCATGTCTGCGCAGTCCCTCGCTCGTACCAGCCCTACTGCTCCTGCGTGTGGACGGGCATGCCCTGGCGCGTCTTTGTCTGCAACAGGTCTGACACAGATGAACAGCCTTCTGTCATTGCGTAGCGTCGGGTGGCCAGGATTGGCCCCGACGTCTTTCGGGTGCGGATGCTTCGATCCGTTGCTGATGGTGCCAGATCTTTTGCACCCAGGCTTGTCTCCGCCTTCACAACAGTTCTCCTGCACCGATTTCACCTTCATAGCACATGGATCAGCGAGATCGGACACCGGCACATCCGTTCCGGACTGTGCATGTCTTGGCCTGCCGCTGCCATTGAGAGGTGCCAGCTGCATCGGCTCTGCCCTATCTCTCTCTCATTTCGCACGATTGGGCGCTCCTGTGCCAATCCCTGATGGCCACTCTGCGGGGTCAACTCTGGCACCTGGACTGCAAAGAGTATAAGAGAGGCCAGTCGTTTCTTCAGCTCTGACATTCCCACGATGTCGCTATGTCGCTGTGCTGCCCAGGCGCCACGAACCCTCTCTTGACCCGTGCCGACTTCATCGCTGTCCGGCCTGAGCTTCAGAATTCCAAAGCGAGGATGTTCCTGATGCAACAGGGTTTCACTAGGAGCTGAAGTCTGTGACGCTACCAGTAGCAGGTACGGCATGCGTCAGTTCCACGTTGTCTGTGGCAGCCTGAGAGCATGAAAGGCGAGACTGCGCAGTCGGAGCTTTTGGAATGCTTGGCAGGCTCTGGATGCCTGGAGTCCTGGGTTGCCACTGCTTGTCCTCGGCTGAGAGCTGGTGAGAGCTGGGGGTTTCTGAAAGCTCTCGGGATCCAAGGCTCGTTCTGCGCAGCGTTCGGCAGCCTCGATGTCCACCTGCGGAGTCGGTCACGTAGGCAGTTCCTTATCTGTGCGGGGCACTTGGATGTACTCTGACAGCCGAAGCTGTTGTGCGCACGGAGTTTCTCAGGTTGAGTTTCGTGCACTTTGGGCCATCGACAGCTACACGCTCTCTCGCCTGCTTCGCTTCCTCTTTATCCACCTTCTTCCCCGCCGCAAGCCCAGGGTGCCTCTAACTTTCAAGCGTTCTGATGAGCAGTACGTCACATGTGCCGAGGGAGGGTATCTCGGGTTCATTCCCCGGTCTCCATTTTCTGCACGAGCCACTGTGCTGCAAGAATCCCTCATGCTTAGGAGCTAGAGTTAGAGCATTCCTGGGCTTGTGACTGTGAAGCACGAGAGACCTTCCCACTTGCCTGCCAGGCATTTGCCTGGACGGGTGCGAGCTCGACGTTGATGTCAACTGCGCGTTCTGGCACTTCCATGTCAGCGTCGGATCTTCTAGGTGCCTTGCAAAAAGAGGTTTCTTGGGTTGAGGCCAGCATTCATGTCGGTGCAGCTGCAAGCAGGTTTGGACTCACCACTCTTGGTGCAGAGTCTTTCGAGATCAAGCTTTGCATCAGTTGCCGGCACCTGAGTGAAGTTTCAGCTAGGCTGGCTGGGCCTAGCAGTGAAGCGCCCAAGGTGTTCTCGGCTTCATGCTTGGGCAGTTCTTTATCGTCGCGAGGCAAGGTGCAGTGTCATGAGCATGCAAAAGTTTTGCAGGGCTCGATAGCTGTGGATGTTGTTGCCATCCTGACATCCAAGATGCTTAGGCGCAGCACATGCTGGCAGGGACCTTACCCATTCCTTCAAGCCTCTGGTACAGAATCGAGAAATCCAAGCAGCATCTGGTACTTGACACGCTCAACACAGGTTCGCCAGCATCGCTTTCTGGACTTGTCCGGCTGAGCAGCCCCATGTTCGTTCGTGACAGCGTTTGCCCGGAGCCCAATGAGCCAACCGCAAGCCTGGGAGGCGGAAGCTTGTTCGGGTTTGGGTATAAGACTATCGCCTTTCGTCCCACATTCTAGTTCAAGCCATGGGATCGTGCAGGGGGACCGGCCTCAGCTGCAACTGATGCTTCTTCGAGTCGAGCGAAGCGTGAGCCGCTGCGACCAATGCATGTGAGCATTTACGTGGAAGTAAGCACCAATTAGTCTTGTGTTTCCGCGCCAAAGACCACACCAAGCCCCGGGCCATTTTTCCTGGATGCGCCGCTCCCGGCAGCGAAGATTCAGACTAAATTAGGCTCGCACTGCCAACTATGCGGAGCAAGCTTGGGGCAACACAATGGTAGAAGTTGAACAGCTCGAGGCATCGCTCCCTCAGCGCAGTTGCAGCTCCCTGTGTGGACAATCAGCTGGGCTCCCACCTCAGCCATAATTTCTGGCACACATGGAAGCCACACCCGATACGGTATCCTCGTACTTCAGACCTGATCTGCGCCGCACCTTTCAAGCCAAGGACACTGGGACGAGTGAACTCCAGTTCAAGACCGGCTCCACGAAGGACGGACTTCTTGCTTCTGATAGAGATCGAAGAGCCATTGGGCCTTCATGCGAGGTCATGGCGGTGAGCGCTTCAGGAGGCAGGTCGCAGAATTGCAGTGAAGGAGGTACCCTCTCATAAATCTGATAAGTCGAGGCAGCTTGCACGGGACCTGGGCCTCCGAGAGCATCATCAGCGCCTCCGACAGCCACCTGAAAAGAGAGGCGGCTTTCTGCTCTTGCTTGCCGGCCGGTGGGAAAAAGAGCTGGGATGTGGCTCAGGTCCTGCCGCTCTACCGATCGCTCCTTGAGAAAGGAGAGCAGAACAGAGCAGGCGGAGGCGAGCAGGAAAAGGGATGACAGTCTCTACTTGCAACAGAAAGTGCAAGGTGCAGGCAACGAGGAGCGTGACGACATCAGCGCTTCCAGCCTTCTGCGCCGGGCAGACAGTCCATGCAAGAGATTCAACGTAAATGAAAGCACACCCCGGATTGCGGCCGGCCCTTTTGGAGTGCTGTACCGTCGTCGAGTCGCGGGCAGAGCCTCATCTTCTCAGGCCTCCTGGTCCCTGACGGGCTTGATTCTTGGTTTCAGCCCTGCATGTGCACGGACGCGCCAGCGAGCAGTTGAGGTCCTCCGACCCCTTGAACTTCAAGCTGGAGGTTGCTCGGGAACTCGTAGGTTCAAGAATCAAGAAACCGCTTGGATGAGCTCGCAGGCTACTGACGAGTCACTTCGTTCCCTTCCGGGTGTGGTGCGCGAGATGCCCAACCAGGCACTGGCGATGTTGAAGACTGTTTGCCGGCTGGCCAGCAATGGTGCCAGCCACCGCAAGACTATTCAGGGTGGGCGCTTGGGCATTTCTCACCAAGATCTCCTGGCAGCGAGGGGCCGAGATACGCGGCTTCGCTTCGCTAGGATTAGGTGCTTGAGATCTTCAACTGCCGTCTATGAGGTCATCACCCTTGCGGCCAAGGATTTTCCATCGCGCAGAGTTGTTGAGTCCTTCCTGGCTTCTTTGTTGGATCCGTCTAATCCAGGAGCGGGAGAGGCGCCTGCAGGCCTTGGAGGTAAGTCTGCTCCTATACGCAGAGCCCAAAATATGATCCCTCGTTTGAGCTCCGACGAAGGCAGAGGAGGAGGCAGAGATTGCCCAACAAGAAGAGCAGAACGGTCTGATCCAGGCGGGATCCTCGTTTCAGCATGTTTTCGAGGTCTGCGAACCTTTCACTGTTAGACTGCATCAGGGCTGATGCATGCCTCTCCTCCTTCACTAGTTTGTTTGGTGTCCACTGCATGTGAGCCGCGCGATTAGCAACTCTGCTCTCGTAGGTTATTCTTGGGGCCCTAGGGTCATTCTGGTCAAGAAATGACTCCTGCGCTCCGTGCGATTTTCCAGGCGCTCTTCAGCCAAGTGGAACAGCTTACAAAGCGGTTTACATTGCTGAGGCCCTCCTTGCGGAAGCAAACTGCAAGTTTGATCTGTATATCGTATTAACAACTTGCGTACTTGCTGCAGGTACCAAAGCAGCAGGAGACTCACGAGATTTCGATCAATGTGAAGGGCGGCACTGAGCCACAGTCGATTCAGCTGCGGCACCGCCCGGTGGTCAAGGAGCTGTCAGCGTTCCGGTGTTTCCGGCAGCATCTACAGGAGTCCGTTTCCAGGTAGCGGCTGAGCTCTCCGATGGGGCGCAGCGAGTTGGGCACTCCAAGAGGGGCCAGATCCAGTGAAGATTCCATAGTGGGAGCCCCTCGAGAGCCTCTTGACTTCCCCTGAAAACTCCGACGACCCTAGCCCTGGGCATGCTCTCAAGGGCTCCCCAGTTCATATTGACCGATGCCAAATCCAACGATTCGAAAAAGAAGGCATGTGCCGATGTAAAGCAGGCCCCCGCTCTCTCTACTCAGGGCATCTTAGGGCCTTCTTCATTGTTGCCGTTTCCAGAGGGTGCTCAGATTTTGGGCGGCCACAACCGCCATCGCCCTGGACAGCCAAGGACGGATGGGACTCTAACACTCCTCCACCCCGCTGATCTCGTTTTCTCTTTCTGTCTCATGGGCTGCCACGAAAGTGGGTACATCGCCGCCAGGCGGACAGCGGAATGTCAAAGAAGGAAAGTGGCAAGTCGGTGCTGGACCTGGAGAGGCTCGGGGGAGGGAAGGCCTCAGCTCTTCTCAAGATTCTGCTGGCGGCTGGCCAGGTACTTGAACCAGCCCGTGAAGGTCAAGTTTTCTGGTGGACGAGAAGTCAAGGGGATTTTGAAAGGCCCTCCCTTCAGCTGCGCGAACGTGTACGTCCACATGCAGTGGTTTCACATGCCAGGACATGACGCTGTAGCAAACCTAGTGCTGGATGACGTCCAGGACCGCACTTGCGCTTGTCATGTGCAACATGTGTGTGCGTATGTTATTTATTGTTTCTGCCGCGGGTGTGTACAATCAGGAATACCTCCGAGACCCAGAAGACCCATACAAGGTGCCGTCTTCCGGCGCTTGGAGCTGGCCAGAGGGCCCTTGGTGCTCACTGCTTCAGGTCTCAGACGAGACCAGAAGTCTTGGACTGGTGGTTGCACGTGGCACATCGGAAGCCTCCTCAGCATTCCACTCGCAGCATGTTTTGCTGATCCGATCCTGAACTTCGCAGGTCATGCTTATTTGTCCGGTGGACGGCACAGAGGAGATTGCGAATCCTTTCGCAGGTGCCTAGGCCGTCTCCTCTGCACCACGGTTTATTCGTTTCCGAAGCTCCTAGCTGCCCAGCCATGCAGGCAGAGGCAGGCTGTGCGATGACCCGGATTCTCTGAGGGAAAGTCCGGGATGTGCCGCGGACTGCCATGCGCAACAGGACCATGTTATGCAGATGCTATATAGCCCATGTGTACAGAGTGACATGCAGTACACTCATGCATGGTTGTGCAGACACATGGTAAGTGGAAAGAAAGAGCACTCTGGCGTGTCCTACAGTAGATCTTGATATTGATATGTATCAGTTTCTTTGGGTTTTTCGGCGCACGCGCACAACAGATTCCCATTCCAGGTCTGAGCAGAAACTGCGCCAATCTCAAGCCCCGCTAGGATTTGTCAGTGTGTGCTGCAAGCTACGCAGCGACACATCGTGCCGTGGACAGCCCCTTCGAACTGCGAAGAAAGGCTGTTATGTATATGCAGTAAAAGGGGAGCAATCACATCGAGCCGCGAGCAAAAGAAGGCCGACTGCCTCTGTCACACTTACGTCAGTGCAGCCAAGAACAAGCATACTTCTCACCGCACTTTTCTGTGGCGGCTCACGCTCAGGACAACCTGCCATTGGTGTCGCATGAGATTGCTGTTGATGCGAGGAAGGTGTAGCCAACCTCGTTGGCATTATGCTATCTCTTAACTCATATTAGATGCACCTGTGGCTGCAATCAATCTCACTGCCCTCCCTTTGTTGGGGTTCCATCAGTGCGGCAATGCTCATATCATGAATTTGGGATTTGCAGTTCGGTTTTGGTGAATGTACGAATGAAAAGCCAACTTATACCAACTTCATGATATGAAGGCCATGTCCAAGCGGAGCCGGAGGCATGCAATCCTTGAGCCTTGCAGCACTGGCGCAGCTTGGCGGTGACATTGCAAGCCGTGGACTTCCAAAGGTCCTCGGAGTCCTTTCTTAGGTCAGCTGCCGCAGAGGCGCCACCAGGTGCTGTGCCCATGCTGCAGTGTGAGTCCTTGATTCAATAGCTCTGTCGCGAGGTGGTTGTGGGCCTACTGGGTTAACTGCATCAGGTACCTTCCTTAGGGACCGAGTCCTGGTATGCTGACTACGAGCTCAGATACCGCCGGGCACCAACTCGTCCGCTGGTGCTAGACACGGCTCCTGCCTCCTCTCAGGTCCGGAAGATGCGGGTGCCTGGACCCCTGTGGCCCGTTGCTCTCCTGTGCTCTCCGATGCTCTTCGAGCCAAGCCTCAAAGGCCGAGCCAGTACCCTGGCGGATCTCAGCTTGGCGGAGCCTGGCACGTTGAGCTGTCCCGTGAGTGCGCCGGCGCCGGGCCAATGGCAGGCAGTTCCAGGAAAACATCCTTGACTTTCATCACCGAGCAGGCCTGGATCTTGCGCAAGTGCTGTTTGGGTTTTTGTTCTGTCTGCGTTGCTGTCTCCCAGTGACTTCAACACATGACTGGAGGCCGCCCCCCGCTCAATGCAGCCCACTTCGTGGTTATGACACTCCCGGACGAGTCCCAGCAGCAGTGCCAACAGGCATGTTTGCAGCGCATTGCAGCGCTCTGCCGCATTCTTGGACTCTACTACCAGCGTTCTTCGGTGTGGCAGGATCCTGCAGGAATGTCCCGGCCTTCTTTGGACGGCGACGCTGCTCGTGGCTGAGGCCGAAGGAGGGCACAGCAGGGCAAGCGCCACAGAGCACCGCTCTGCTCCGAAGGCGCGCCTCTCCGCCGGAGCTTGCCTGGAGGCAGCGGTGTGGCGTGGCTCGCGTCTCTCGCTGCGCGAATCGCCTTTGAAGCCTGTGACGACAATCCGCGTCGCTGGAGGCGGACAGTTTGGTTCGGAGGCTGTGGGGATGGATGTCTCAGTCCGACGCTTCCTTTCCTCGAAGCCGGCGGTTTCGAGCAGTGTGCACCCTGCGCCACATGCTCAGGTCCCATGCTGCATTCGCGGCCTACCTGCAAGCCGCAAGCCCATGCACATGGACGAGTTGAAGCTATCGTCAACTTCCCTCCATGTGTTTCCTCTGAGGAACATTCCTCACCTTGGTCGGAGGAGGCGATGCGGACGTTGCTGCTCCTGGCTCCTGGCTGGGGCTTGGAGGTGCGTGCACCGAAAAGCCCAGAGTTGAAGAGTGAGCTGAGCTGAGCCCTCTTGAGCCCTTCGACTCGAGGCTTCAGCTCATCGCTTCCTGCAAGCCCAGCATTTGTGCCCCAACACGGCCCCAAGGGCAGTTCTGCAGAGGCGGGAAGAGCCCAGACTGGCCATGAAATGACGAGAGAGAACGGAGCAAGCGAGCTTACAGGCAGATGTCTGGGATGACATTTGACACAGAACGATTCTGTGTTGGGCGGGTTTTCCTCTCAACGAGGCCCATCCCCTCCTTTCCGTAAGAATGCCAAACCCCCCCGCACGCCTCGTCGAAGCTGCGAGAGTCGTGAGAGTGCAACCACAAAGGTAACTAGCGACCGCTGCAGTTGTACTGCCACGCACCCCAACTTTGCCATTGCAAAAGCTAAATGTGGTGCTGTACTCGCATCAATCACGGCTGCACACACCCCGATATCCTCGCTCGGACGGCCGTCAGGCACCAAGGTAAGCCAGATACTCAGAAGGACAAGCAACTATCCGGATTTCGTAACACCTCACAGGACTCGGAGGTAGTGACTCTTCAGCACGCACGCCGTGTAGCCTCATACAAGATGTACAAGCTTACTTTCAGTCGTGCAGCCAAAAAGCACGCATCGACTGTGCAAGCAAAAGGAGCGCATAGAATGTCGAGCGCGCCTAGGCATCCGTCCACATTTGCAGTGGAAAGCAGTGCTCGCATGTGCTCGCAAATCCATGCACAAATTCACCTGATAAGGTCCAGATGCGGATGGCTCATGTTATGGAAATTCTCAAGCTGCTGCTTCATACGTCAATCCCTCCAGGCTTCACGCTCAACTCGACGCTTCAAAAGGTTTCCTTCCTCAGCAATCAGAACTGTTCTCGAGGCGAATGCTTGAGGATCGCCATGATCACAAGACGAGACATCGGCTAATAGCGGGCCATGAAGTTCGCAAGCACTGCACCCACCCTCCCTTGACGTTTTGCGGGCAAGATTATGTTGCTTATCGGGGACGGTGGGAGTGGGTTGCGCGGAGTCGAAACAAAAGTCTGCAGTTGGGCTCATTGCGACTTCGAAACCAAGCCAGCTTGCTTGCCTCCGAGCTGAAGCACAGCTACATAGGTCCCCTCGCCATGTAAACCGTCATACCATACTTGCTGATGCTTTGCTCTTTGGTATCGTCCCTGGCCTTTTCGACGCTAGCAGCAGGTGCGAGGCTGCAAGGCTGGATGTTGTCGTTGCATTCTGCAGAGAGGCGCGGCCCTCTGCTCTAGTCAATGCCTGATGCTCGCACGGGCAATTTCACAAAGTCGGAGCAGTCGTCTCCAGCAGAAAAGGACCTCAGCTGGCTCATGGACTTTGCAGACGCAAGGCCAGCCGCCTCAGTTTGAGGCGTTTGGGTTGCGACTTGGCAAGTTGGTGCTGAAAAAAGGCTGTGGCTTTATTCGAAGTGCCCAGAGCCGGATCTGACTGCATTGGACAAGCTGGGACTACCATGCGCAGTGGCCCCAACTGCATCACACATGAATTCTCACCAGGTTTTGTCAAGTGCTGAGGTCACTTTGGAGCAGCTTCCGAATCTGGGTATGGAGTCTTTGGCCTATGCCACGCCCCCAGCAATCTTGTCAGCCCATCGCTCGCTAACAGTGCATGAGGCTGCGCATTTGGAACGGCGACACGAAGGCTATGCTGAGTACACGACGCAAGCTTACGCCGTGGGACATCGTGCGACAGGGCAGCCCAGCACCCATGGGCCCTTCTAGCAAGCCTTGTCGTCAAGGATGTTTCTTCAAGGAGAGCCTTTTCAACACGCGCCCCGACCACTCCTTGGAGACATTCTCTCCGCCATTCATGCGCCTTGAAGAGCAGCCAACAGCTCTTAACTCTTGAGTATTGCGGGGGAGCGGAGAGCTGTGCCGCTTCTGTGGTGATCAGATGTATCAACACTCATCATATGTTTAACTGCCGAGAAATATACGCATGTATAGCTCCGAAGCGAAAAGTCTAAAGAGGACCCGTGGATCAATAGGAGCACAGAGGATCGTTACTTTTAGATCCAAAATACTCGTAGTGCTACAAGTGGGACTGCCAGTACTCCAGTAACGGGATTACAAGCAACAGCTCACGATGACAGTAAAAACATTACGCGCGCTGGATCATTTATGCAAGGCCTTCTGCTGCATATGTTGAACCCGTGGGAGACACGGACACTGTTGTCTGTTGATATTGTCCTTCGGCAATGAGCAACTTGTCTATTGATGGCTCTCTATCGCTCTCTACGTACTTATGCATACACTTAGAATATCATTTTAACACACATATTTCTACTTGCAGCTGCATTTGTGTGTATATATATATATATGTATGTGTGTATATACAATGTATGCATATGTATTTGTATGTGAGTGTACACACATGCACATCCAACACATACATTTAGACACAACAGATATGTACGTATGTGTGTATGTGTTTATGCATACGCAGACCAACACATACACCTATAGATATATCTTATATATATACATTACCTATATAGATATGCATATCTAACACAGATAGTTATACATGCATCATCCATGCATTTGTGTATAGCTAGAGAGTCAGATCAGGTAGGGTTGCTGCGTGGAAAGATGCAGTTTTTCGGAGCATGTCGCAGTGACTGAGGCGGGCATCTACAATGTGCCGTTCCTGCACTTGAACGTGCGCCGCTTCCTCGCTGGCAGCAGCTTATGTTTGAGGCGGAACCTAGCCCTCCCTGTGAAAAAAAAAGACCCGGAGTTGAGGGACTTCCTCCAGCTTTGTCTCGAGGGACCTTTACATGCGCCTCTTCGAAGCTGAAGTTCCCGAGGCTCCCACGGGGGACCTTTTTTTGCTCGCCCTTTGCCAGCGACCGTGCTGTCCTTCTTTTCTGTGCCTTTGCCTTTGGACAGGTCTTTGGTTCATATTGCTGCAGCCAGCCGAGTGCTTACTTACATCGTGCACGAGCGCGTGGAGTGATTCACTGGAGAATTACGGGTCGGTTACCGGCGAGGTTTGTTGTCCGCTCTGATCGCCTACATCAGAGCCGAAGTTTCTACCAGCGGATAAACCGTATCCTGCGGCTTGGGCCAGCAAGAGCAATTTCATACTTCCTAACGCTGTAGTCCCCTCATGTCGTCGGTAACTGGTTTCGTCTGACTGTATCCTAATCCAGTGGATGCAGTGTCTTTAAGGTTGGGTGAGATGCCTCTCGCTTGCGCACAGGACGATCGAGTCGACTCAATGTTTCAGGCGACTCTGACGAAAGCGTCTTTGCATCAACGTGGCAGGACGTCAAGTATGATCCTCGACCAGGGATAGCCATATCTGCCCTGTTTGAGCACCTGCCGTCTGGCTGCATTTGTGGCACAGATGCTGTGGTTTATCGTGGCGGCTTCCCATTTTGCAATGCTGAGGTGGCATGTCATCTTTGGTGAACCGGCAGTTCTGTCCGTTCGACGCAGCAACCGCGAGTGCCTTGCATGCAAGACATGTTGGGCCGAGTCCATTGGAGTCCAAAGCCCGGCCGAGGCTTCCACTCTTTGCCCAGCTGGACGTGGGCGAAGGGGAGCTTCCAGACTTCTTCGCCTGAGAGAAATCGCAGCCCAAGCTCTGTGGCTGTAGACACGGCTGTGCCCTGAGTGCTGTGGCCGGCTCCAAACTTGGCTCAGGCTCAAAGTGCATCAAATCGACATGACATGTGGCCGTCAGAGGACAGAAAAGTGATAGACCTACTCGTAAAGCTTAACCGACTTGCAGTGCTCTGACTTTTTCCATTGCTGGCCATGGCTGATGTGGTCATGGCAGACGCATACTCAGAGAGACTGCTTCTCGATGCAAAGGCTTGGCCCCTAGAGTCCTTGCAGCTTTTCCGCAAAGTCCTTCAGAACGTCCTGGACAATCCGCACGACGCCAAATTTCGCAAGCTGAAGCTCAGCAATGCCCGAATCAATGGGCTCCTCTCGGAGAGTGGAGCCCAGGAGGCATTCCGGGCACTTGGCTGGATCTCCACCGGAGATGCTCTGGAGCTTCCCGCCACGGCGAGCTTAGACATGACGACAGCGGTCCTGCAAGGCACGGAGCTGCCGCCGCCAGGCGATCCCATTGCCTTGACGGTTCTCCGAGGCGCTCTCAAATCGAGCCTCGGCAAAAAATCTCAAAATCGACCTTCCAGGTGCTACCTGCTACCAGCATCTACCAGCATCTACCAGTATCTACCAGTATCTACCTGTAGCTCCAGAGTTGTCGGGCTCGGCTTTTTGGCAGTTTAGCAGAAGTGCAGGGAGGTGACACGGAGTGCACCAAGGAAGCTGGAGCTGCCCAAGAACACCCTCTTCAGCGGACTGGCTGCTGCCATCGAGCAGAGCGAGCCTTTGGGCCGAATACCCCGAAAGAGACAGCGGCTCTTGATTGGAGTCCCGCCAAAGCCTTTGCAAGAAAGCTTCCCGCACTTCGCTTCCATGACAATCGCGGAATTAGGCTTGAAAGCCTTTAAGCTAGAGGATACGTGGGAGGAGATGGTGGCTGATCTACGTGCCGTTCGTGCCAGCTTTGCATCGCTGGCCTCGGTTCTGGCCTGCAAGAAGACGCTTCAGGACAACTTCGAATTCTTGCTGGACTCTGCCAAAGCTTTGCTGAAAGCGCGTGCGATGGCCATGGATGCATCCGAACTGCGGGATGCTCGCAGAGTTTTCAAAGTTCTCTGGCCACCAGGGGATTCAGGCACGAGAGATGCCAGGTTGGCACACTGTGCTACTTGCACGCCCTTAGCAGCTCTCGCGAAGGACGAGGATGGATCACCAATCCAATTTCCACTGCGGGTCGAGAGGACCAATCTCTTCAAGAGCGCTCTTGAACAGATCTGCGAAGCCTCTGTAGCAGACCTGCGAAAGTCGCTACAAGTGACTTTTGTGGGCGAGGCTGCCGAGGATGCCGGAGGCCCACGACGTGAGTTTTTTAACGACTTCGGCCGCGCTTGCGTGGACGAGGAAGTATGGCAGAGGACTGCAGCAGGTTCACTGGTTCCCTCTCCCTTCTCTGCAGCGGCTGACGTATTTCGTGGCTGTGGTCGAATCTTTGGGCTCGCCCTGTGCCAGGCCGAGAATGCAGCGCAAGAGCAGCGAGTAAGGGAGAATGCCACACTACAGGAGCTTCTAGCGGCGGTCACACAAGACGACGACAACGTCGAGCAGCAGCAGCAAAAGCTCCTACTCGGAGCAACCCTCTCACGACCTTTCCTGCGGTGCGTTCAGGCTGATATCCCGGAGTCTGTAGAAGAGCTACAGGCTGAACTCAATGCAGAGCAGAGCGAAAGCGCTCCGGATTTCAGAGGCTCCTCCACTTTCCTGACCTCGCAGTTGAAGGACATCGGCTTGGAAGGGCAGCTGACCTTCAGCAGAGAGGTGCAAGGGAACACCGTCGATCTCACAGTCGGAGGCCGAGCCATCGTTGTGACCGATGCGACAAAGCTGGATTGGCTGCGAGCGGTGCTGCGCCACGAGCTTGTCGAGGCCGTTCAGGAGCCGGCAGCTTCCTTCAGACAAGGGGCCTCTCGGTCCCCACCAGCAGAATGCGGGTATTCATGGGTTTGAATAGGGGTCGTTGCGAAGACTCCACCATCACGTAGCTGCCAAGGTCTCTGAAGCTGCAGGGACGGCATACTTGGCGCTGTTGTCGGCGGACGAACTTCAGAAAGCCGCCTTGCCTCGAAGTAGCGCAGCTGTCAGACCAGATATGCTTATCTGCACTCTGCCCTGAAGCTGAGGAGTGGTCAGGCCTCGCGCACGTCAGTGATGATGCGTTGAAGGTTTGGCAGAAGTGCCACGGCCTGCAGTTGGTGGTTTCGTCGTACCGGCAAGTAAGATTCAATCATCCGCGAATGCAAACGCATGGCACTAAGGCAAGCGATTGTAAATCCGGTGCCCATGCTGCAAATTCTGTCTGGCCTTGAACTTGTTCAAGTGTTGAAGAATGTTGAAGAGAAAGCTGACAGATGCTGGTCCTATCCTAGATCCGCAAACATGCAGGTGGCACGCTGCACACTTTAGGCGGTTTCGACAAGTGTTACCCCACTGCCATGTCTTGCTCCACGCAATGCCTAGTTTACTGCCGACTGCTTCTGCAATGAGGCACGCGCGCAGCAGGCGGCGTGGTTTTTCGAGATCTTGTGGGCGGAGCACGCCCGAGATGCCCGCTCAAGCGTGCTGAAGTTTACCACAGGCACTGCCAATCAGGGGAAGTGACGCTGTAGACTTGTCTTCTCGTCACAAGCATGCATCGTGTAGGCTGACCCGCATCACGCTGCAAGTGCAAAGGCAGTGATCGGTGGCCTGTGGATTCCAAGACCTTCATGTTCTACATAGAGCCCATGGACGGTGGTGATCTTCGGTTGCACAGCCAGAGATTATGCGAGAGCAGGCTTCCTAGATTCAGCATTGTTCGGTAGTCCAGGCGAGCGACAGCAGGGGAACTGCTCAGGCATGTCAATGCAATGTTCAGGGATGTCTTGCTTCGGTCTCCGCCCGTCATCTGCCCGTTCGACAATATTGAGGTCAATACAACGAGGTCAGTACAAGTTAGGATTGATCCAGACGATTTCGCGCAGCTCAGCATTTGCCGAGGACGACTTGCTGCCTCGAGCGATGACTTGCGGGAACATGCTGCAACTTCCCCTCTACACCTCAAAGGACAATGGCAGCTGCACCTGACACTTGGCAGCGTAAACTCCTTCAGACTCAGCTGCTTGAGGAGCGCTTGCAGAACCAGCTTCTGAAGGCCTGTGATATGGGGCTTTCCATGCAGCTTGTTTAGTACCGAACCTCGCACTGAAAAGAACCCCGATCGAGCATGAGCCTGTCATCGATCCATGCACAGCTGCTGAGAGCACCTCTTCATGTTGCTCATTTGGAGAACAGTGACTTCAAACTTGCCGATGCCTCGCTGTGGCCATCTTTTCGAAGCAGAAGGGGGTTGCGGACGCCTCGCCATGGCAGAATGGGGCACATCTCCAGGTGCTCGCCAAGCCACAAGATTTTTCTGGACCTTTCGGATGATTTGGGCTACTCCTACCTCGGGTCGCGGACCATTTCACAAGATGTTTCTTCGGTCACTGGAAAGCCCCAGTCTGTGGCGCGAGCTGCGCTGAACGCTGTCGGCGGCAATCAGCATGAGGCCTGTGCGCTCTTGATGTCCGGATTGTCTGTGGCCGTAACCGGTGGCCCTTGTGAAGTTGCAAGCCTTGAGCTCGGTTCTCCGGCGTGGATTGGAGGTGAAGGAGTGGTTTCTTCCGTGGGCTCCTTTGCAGGCTCTTTCATCCTGCGCTTCCCCCGCTACTGCCGTGAGCGGGTAGATCTCCTGAGCTTGGAGACGATCGAAGTCTTCATGATCGCAGCTTCTGGCACCCAGGGTCCACATTGGACTACGGATGAAGAGCTCAGCAGCCCAGAGATCAGCGCGGCTCTTGACAATGCTTGTCTTCAGCGGAAGACCTTTAAGCCAGGGCCTGTAAGTTTTTCCTTGGAGCATGTCGAGCTGATTCTCATCACCGTGGTGAGGAATAATGGATCCCTGCCTCCACGCAACAGCCATCAGTCGCCAGCACCCGCAGATTCTTGCCAGACACCAAGCCACGGGTCAGCACCGTCTATCGAATCTCGCACTTCTGGAAACCTGGCAGCGGCGAGTCTTCAGTGGATTGGCGACCTCGGTGCTGGATCCTTCGGCTCTGTGCACCTCGCGCGCACCGCTGCAGGTACTGCGGTTGCGGTCAAGCGGGTACGCGTCACAAGTGGCCATGAGATGCGCGAGGTGCAGATGCTGCGGAAAGCTTCCCACCCCAACATGGTCAAGTTCATTGACTCTTTCAGCTGGAACTCGCCCGATGGCCAGGCTTGTGTGTGCATCGTCATGGAATACCTGCCAGAGAACTTACACACCAGAATAAATGGGCACCCCTTGTCTGCCTGGTACGTTCGCCATTTTAGTGTTCAGCTGCTCACCGCCGCTACGCACCTTGATGCCTTGCAGATCTGCCATCGCGACTTGAAGCCCGAGAACATACTCCTCAGCCAAGACGATGTGCTCAAAGTTTGCGATTTCGGTTCTGCTAAGCTTCTTGGCCGTGGGCCGTCTTGCAACTATGTTTGCTCTCGATGGTGGCGCGCACCAGAACTGATTCTGGGTGCGAGGGACTACACAACAAGTGTTGATTGGTGGTCATGCGGCTGCATAGTCGCTGAGATGATGTCAGGACAGCCTCTCTTCAGAGGTGATTCGAGTTGGGGTCAGATGTATGCCATCGTACGCATCCTTGGGACGCCGACGCAACGAGAGATGCAAAGCTTGGTGCCAGAGCAAGGCGGACAGCGGCTGGCTCAGCACTTCGCAAGCCTGGTGAAGCTTCGTCGTTCTGGCAGGTTCCAGGGCCTTGCCAGTCGTTAAGATTGCACAACACGTGTGGAATGTACTACAAGTATTGTAGCATGAATAGTAGAGCAACCCCCGTGAAATCTGGCAGGCCTTGGGCGGAGCTGCTTCCAGCGTTTGCGCATCTCTCCAGCAGCCTTGCCATCCCTCGCAAGCTGCTGACATACTGCCCAAAGGATCGTTGCCACCCGAGCATCTTGCTCTCAGCGCCTTTCTTGTCGAGTCGAAGTGAAGTGAAGCTTCCTGGCGCCAGCGAGCCAAAGTCAAAGAGGAGGCACCAGGCTCAGCATGCCCATCTCGTCGAGCGAACTCCCAAACGACGCTGCTTACTCGTTTCGGCTTGAAGCCGGACAAGCAGACTCAGCAGACTGAATGTGTGCACATCGACCCGCCGACTTCCGAAAACGTGCCATCGCAAACAAATCAGATTGTGTCATCATATCCCAACACGTTGGATTGGCTAACATACAATCGGCCTCGGTGTGTGCACGTGTCTACAATGCCAGCATCCCATGCCTCCGGGCCCCAGTACAGAATGGCTCGGCCGGCAAAGTGCTGCAGACGGAAAGTTCATTCGTGTGTAAGGATGCGGACTATTGCGGACTCTTCTAAGATTTTGTGCTGCAGGAGCGGTCTCCACAAGCCGAGCAGCTTACGGTTAAAACAGACCTCGGCGTAGCACATCAGCTGCATTACTCTGCACACCTTCGAGCACCCAAATTTCCCAACGCCGCATGGTAGGTTTCCTGCAATTACCCACCCATGGACCCAGGGCAGTTGACAGCACAGCATGTGCTGATAGAGTAAGTATGCTTTGTGCCTTTACGCTCTGTTCATGCAAAACTTCACCATCCGCCTCACTAGCAGTCACTAGCAGCTTCCCCGAGTAGGGCAAGTTGCAGACGAGACTTCCGGGAGGCAGTGTAAATTCGAAGGGGGGTCGGATTCAGAAAGCAAATAAGCTTTTTCATCTCAATGCAATCGTGAAGCCATCTGGCTCACCAGTTCAATGCGCTTGAACCGAGTGTTCCTGAAGTCACAAGCACCGAAAGTTGGAGGCAACTGTTAACCCTTCGGCACAGATGGCGTGGGAACCGCAATTCAGAGGGCTCAGCAGCCCTAAGGCCCCAACGAAGTAGATGCATGAGTGGACTCGCGAGCTGCACATGGAGCCCACCAGCCCGGCATCACCATCAGCCTGGAAACATAAAACTGAGAGGCGCGCTGGAACTCATCAGGGTTGGCGAGTGGGGTTGGTCTGTGAGGTACGGCGAGGTCTTCCGCCAGGAAATTCGGCAGGTGATGACGCGTGTGACTGATGGTGCCGAGGCCTGGCCCCTAGCGTGATTGAGGCGGCTTCCGAATCCCGCCCTGTCTCTTCAAAGCATCCCGTAGCATGAAAAGCTTCTTCAGTGGCTGTGCCGAGACTGCATTGACTGCATCAACTTCCCTTGCATCATCTTCCCTGATCCGTGCCAAGAAGCTCGCGCCCCGATGCAGCCCTTCTAGCTTCGAGTCAACAGCCGCATGCAATGATTTGCAGCGGTAATCTGAGGCAATGGAGGGAGCCGGACTCAGCATTCGTTGACCCAGAAGTGTGGACATCGCTGGTGTTTTCTTCACAGAACCCAGCCCATGCTGACAGCACCGTGGGAGACAAGCAGTAGTACAGTAGTCGTTCGTCGTTGCAATCGCAGTCATGGTACCGTCGTAGTCGTCGACGTGGTCGCAATAGGAGGAGGAGGGTGAGGCTGATGAGGATCAGTATGATGCTCACGATGACGATGATGCGTTTCTTGGTTGGATCCTGGAATGGCATGGCGGGGTTGGGGGAGGGTCCGGGTCACGCCGCCAAAGACCCACGAGACAGACAGTTGGAGCAGCAGAAGGCCTGAACTCATCCTGAGATCAGGTTGTTCACACCTTCAGAAGTGGCCTTGCCGAGCCACTCAACGAGCTCGACTGCTACAGGCCACCCGGAGCAGGAATGCTGCAGTGAGGAATCACTTCATCTGCAGCTTGTCTTCAGATCGGTTTGTTGCCGTCAAATGCTTCTGACCCTTGCCTGTCAGTTTTTCTGCCGATTGTGTGAAGCACCGGTCGTGCCAGGAAGGCTGCCATGACTTTGAACGAGGCCCGGCAGGAAAGCGTGACCGCAATCAGAACGACGTGGTCATCTCCTTACACATAGACGTGCAAAAATTGTATACACGACTATATAGTCCAATCACTGTCATCTGTACTAGTAACTACAAGCCATGACGGAGCAAGAGTGGGGGCGTGAACTTCATGCCTTCTCCATTCCAAAGCCCTTTTCCGGCTAGCCGCTCTAGTCTAGCCGAGTCTAGACACGGGCCATGTTTCAGAGAATGGTTGAGTTGGGGAAGCCAGAACTCTTGTGGGCTCACGATCTGGACTCTGGGAGGCGATTCGTTTGCGTGGCTTCCAGCAGCCTCCAACCAATCCGGCCGCCTGGTATGCCTACAAGCACAAAACCCGGCCCGGAGACCTAGGAACAGCATTTGTGCTTCTTCAAGTTCAAGTCTCACGAAGTGGTGTTAGATAGGTTGGAGAAGTGGGCAGCGCCTGCAATCTGGACGTTGCTCCTCCTGGGCGTCGTCGAGACTCCGCTGTGGTGGGAGCCCACTTGACAGCGGATGCGGTTCGTGCAGCAGTGGACAGGTGCAACAGCAAGCTCGGTTCCACAGGAGGCGATTGAATGCTGCCGCATGCCGATGCACCGCCATGAGTGATGACGATGACAGTGGTGGTGGTAGCAGTCTACATTCTCCTGACAGTATCCTGTGCAGGTTCTTGCCCGGCTGGCGAAAGCCCCGAATTCCTCCTCAGCGGTTTGCTATACCTTCCTGTCGCGTGGGCTGTGGCAGCCTCGGGCAGTTTCGTACGCTGCGGGCCGAGTTCCGAACAGGCCTTTGCAATCACACTCAAGGTGGGAGTCGAGCTGTGTATCCTGACCTTCCTCTTGGTGCACTTCGTGCTCGAGCCTCGCACATTTGCGACTCCTTGTCTTGCGAAAGTTGTGGAGATGCCTTTTGAAGCGAATGGCTAACTATATCTAATTGCGATACCAAGCTCCGAGGGTACATCTCCGACTGTTCAGCGCCATGAAGGGCTACGGTGCCAATCTTACAATTCACAGGACTTCCGGTCTGTGTCGTGGTCGGAAGCCGAGGCCATGCCACGACAGCAGGCGCCAACGTGCCTTCCAGGGTTTGACAGCACGTGAGGATTGTTTTGCTGTGTCGTCGCAACTTGCAACACTTGCGGCATGTGTCGGTGCGTCTTTCGCCATCAGGCAAATTGCTCGTCGAGGGAGCGCTGATCGCTTTAAGCTACGTGGTTGGCACCTGAGCATTCTCTCGGATTGGACGGTTGGCTGGTTGCGAGCGCAATGCAACATAACTCGTCAGCAGGTTCGTAATCAGAAAGTGAGCCGCGAAAGCCTTCTAAGCCTTCCTCTTTCATCGCATTCTGGACTTCGTCGAGGACTTGGCTTCCTTTGTCGCCGGCTCGACGATGCGCGTTGCGCCAGTCCTCAGGCACAACTCCTGTCGTCACGCGTTCCCTTCACACCCTGGACAGAAATTGGCCGAATGAGATCTGTCGAGTAAGATCCGAGTACAGAAGTCATCTGCAACAAGTGCTTCAGCTTGCGTGGTTGCAGATTCTGCCTGTCAATGTGCTAGATTCGGCCTCGCTGCATGTGCAGTGCCACGACTGCAGGCTCGGGGAAGCTCTTGATGTGTATAGAACATGGACCCTCTGCCGCTGCATTCTCCAGGAGTTGCTGCTGTCCTTCATCCGGACAACAAAAGCCGTGAGCAAGGTGGTATTTTGTGGCTGTGACACCCTGAACCCCGATTCCTCAAACTCTGTCCAGGTTGGCATGTTTCTGGTCTACACGGTGCTCCTCTTTGCTTTCGTGACTGCTTCCACCTTTGATGATGTCGAGGCATGCTATCCGTCTTACGGACTTTCGCTCGCTCACCTTCTCTCTCTCTCTCTCTCTCTCTCTCTCTCTCTCTCTCTGGTTCTAGCGACTTATGAGTCAGAAGCCTGGATCATCGTTGGGGTTTCACAGAGTTTTGCGGATCATGCCTGTGAGTAGAAACGGGTCATGAGCCGGCAATGCAGCGTCGACAAACGGGGCTGTGGTGGAGAGAGGCTCTCATTCTGGTGTAAGAAAAATGACATTCGCGATGACGATGACAGCGGTAGTGGTGATGATGATGATGATGATGATGCTGGTGATGGTCGTGACGAGGATCATTGCGCGGATTGCCCTGTCCCTGCTGGTGGTGGTGGCGGTGGCGGCGGTGGCGGTGGTGCCGGTGCCAGTGACCGGCCTTGTTTTCGCTGCACCCGGGGGGAACCCCGGGGGCCGTATCCATTGCACCTTCGATGTGAGAGGGAGGAGATGCTAGGAGTGGGGATGGCCCAAAGTGGTTTGCTCCTCGCAGAAGAAAGGAGAAGAGAACAGTCGGCTTTGCCCTGTGGCCTTAGACGTGGCATGCCGTACGATTCCAAGCTAACATCTTTCAGAGATTTTCTGCCGCCACATGCAGGACAATGATCCATTTGGCACTCCTGCGAATACAGGCTTTACGTCGTCGATGCCCCAAGTCTTGCGAGGGAGTCATCGGAGTTCGTGCCAAAGATCAGGTTCAGCAGCGCGGTGTACACATGCTTCGCAGCTCTGACAACAGCAACACTGCCGGATGCACTGGTGCTCCTCTCATTCCCTGGGTTCAGTGCTGGGACTCTGACCACTGATTTCCCTTGCTTACGTTTTCCTGAGGTGCCAACATACAGCACAGAACGGATCTACGCCTTGATCTGGACAGTCTTGCATGCCAATCGGCGATTGCGCTTCGTCGGTGAAACATGGGGCATGGGGAGGATACCCTTCATCTTCATGGGGTCCGTGCTTCTGAAGCAGGTACGATCCTCAGAGACGGATCCGGTTAGCTTTCAGAAACGTGAGCAGAGGTAATCCTGGCTGGTGTTTATACCGACTACAGCCAGAATGCCAAGATCAATTTGATGGAAGGCAGATTGGAGGGCAACTGACCCCAAGATCCCCTAGCCCTAGGCACCAGCTTTGAGCGAGGCCGAGCCTAAGGCGTTGCTGGCGCAGGTCGCAAGCTTCGACAATCCGGCATCGAGTCCGCCTTTGCCCTGCTGCCTCCTAGCGGCAATCAGTTTGCACTCCTGATTTGACTTGATTTGACTTGAGCTTGCCCCCCGGCAGGAAGACAGCAAAGGAAGAGAAGGGCGCTGCCGTGAGGCTGCGGTCAGGCGAGCTCCACGCCCGACAGCCTGAATGCCAGCAGGTTCAATGATTTCGAGAAGCTGGTGGACGCCATGAGTGTGCTGCTCCTCAGCTTGGCGTCGCTCGGGATCGGCTCGCCGGCCCACGGCCCACGGACGCATGCACCCCAGAATTAAAAACATCAAGGTGCTGCTGGACATGTCCGGGACGAAGGTCCGCAGTTGTGGTCGTAAATTCTGGCATACCGAGAGTCTGCTTTGGGTTTGAGGAGATGCTGCGCGTGATCTTCCAAGCCTTGGACGACAACCTGGACGGCGTCTTGGACTGGTCCGAGTTTCAGGACCGCAGCTGCAGCTGCACCCAACCCAGCTGACAGCACATTCCAGTAGTTGTCTGCAGGAGATGTGCGATGTGCTTCAGCTCCGAAGCTGCAAGAGCTTTCAGCGATAGGCCCGATAGGAAAAGCCTGCAGGAGATCGCATCGAACCTCTGGTGCTCAGGTTTCAGTTCGACATCACGAAACGTGATGCACCTTTGAAGGAATGCCTAACCGGAACATCCTTGGGAAGGCAGCAGGCCTAGCCATGTCTAGCCGTTATCTGCAGCTCTACGATGAGCATTGAACTTGAACCGAGGTGGATGAAGAAGCTCATGGAGAACGGCTCAACTGGCATGAATTTAGGCGAGGAACTGTTGGTGCAGAGGCAACAGGCCAGTCCTGGGAGCATGCAGGCTACGCGTCGCGATATCCGGGTTCCACCATGGACGTGGTCAGGCTCCCGATCATTTTGGCTGCGGGGCTGGGTGGAGATGGGGCCTGGCCAGGCTGAGTGCAGTTTCGTTTGGGGTGGGTGGGAAGTTCACGGGACCAGGGGGAGCCGAACCGCTCTTCATGCCTGCACGGACCGTGCCAAGGTCATGAACACGGTGGTCACCGCGAATGTGTTTTGGGTCGTTTTCGAATCCATCATCGACATGAACGACATCAAGGAGTTCAGGGAGTGAAAGTCTCGCTGCTTCCTTCTGGTCTCAGCGAACAGGAGCCCGCGTGGGTAGTCAATGTGGACCTCTCGTTCTCCCTGGTCTACATGCTTGAGGCATCCGAAGTGCCGTTTTGAGCCGATGTTGCTCTGATGCCCATGCTCCGACTTCTAAAGACTGTTGGCTGGAACCAGGCCCTCCTGAAGCTGTCCTACTGGTCCTGGGAGGAGTTCTGGTTCCATTCCGACAACAGGCAGGTGGCTTTGCATTCTGGCCGTCTTCACACACAACTATCGTACATAATAAGCTGATGGTATTATGCAATATAAGAAAATAGATTGATGCATGTCTTGTGAGAGGTTTGACCTGGTTACCAGCATCATCCTGAGTGGCGCCCTGCACTTGGAGACGCCTCAAATGATTCTTTTGTGCTCGTGGTAGGCATGTAGGACTTTGACAAGAAGGTTTAGCATCGACCTGCAGTTATGGTACCAGCTGCTGCTTCTGCAGTAATATCTCCAATCCAAGGTGGCTGTTGTCTTCCTGACGGTCCAACACATCTCGGTTGAAACGCTTCGCAGTGCCAACGTGCCTTCTCCATCATGAGAGGGTGTAGTTAGCCTGTCGCCCAAGGCCCAAGGCTGAAGCTAGACTAGGATCCTTGTTGCTCGTGAGACCGTGAGGTGCTACGACTACTTCGAGTCCTGAAGGCTTTGAAGCACGTCAAAACCTACAGGCGCACAAGCATGATTGTAAAGGCCCAAGCGTGCAAGCAAGAGACCCTGAGCATGAGAATCTCACACGCCGATTGTGGCCCTGTAAGGTCAGCAAGCTCTTCAGCACGTGTCGCGAGGCCGGCATGGCATCGACACTTGTAGCAGAAATTTGAGCCGCAGCAATCGACTCCGCCATACCTTCTGAAGGTTCTGTTGCTGAACGTCTTGGTGGTGTTGCTCTGGGCCTCCATTGGAGCGATGCCCTCGGTCCTTCACTCGACAAAACTGCGCTGTTGGGTTTTTCTGGCTCAGGTCGAAATCTTCGGAGGTCGCTTGGTGCCTTCGAACCCCAGGCTCTCAGAGGACTTGGGGTATTTCCAGAGCCACTACCAGGCAGCACTGGTTTTGAGACATCCTTTGCCTCTGTACAACGCATATTTGTTTGGCGGGTTTGCATGGCAGGTGTTGAACTTCAACGACGTTCCGATGGGGATGATGACACTTTTCGTCGGGCCCTGTTTCATGTCTTTCTGCTCCTTCCCAGTTACATCGGTCGCTCCTGCTTCTCTGCTTGTCATACATGCTGAACCTTTAGAGAGCGTCGCGGAGACCTAGATGTGGACCCTGGGCGAATGGAACGATGACCTGGCCACTGCCTGCTTGGAGTCTTGGCTTGCGATCTTCTCTCACTTTGGTACTGCGTGGTGATTGCATAGGAAGGGTGGAAGAATGATCTTGGCTGTCGTCGTCGTGCCGACATTTATGCCAGTTCGCATTCGTCGAACTATCTGCAACTTCCATCGAAACTCCATCTTCCGGCCAGTGTACCGGCGCCTGATTTCACGAAGCCGCTTCTGAGATTCTGGATGAAGGCCAAGTGCTCATCTAGCTCCCGACAGGATTCCCTGTAAGACCTGGGCATCGTCATTGCCCCATGATCTAGAATCAGCAGTGTTGCACATCCACGGTCTGCGAGAAATTGCTAAGCCTAACAGCAATGGCTTTGTTACTGCAAAGCTTCTTCGTGCTATTCGGACGGCTTTTACTATCAGGGACAAGTGTTTGTCACTCTGCCAGCCGTTCTCCAAATCTGACTTCAGAAACTTCCATGGATCTGCAGTGAATGTGTGAATGCTTCAAGGAGTTTCGGACATACGTAGCGTAAAACCCTTTGAGGAGTGCAAATGGCTCCAGAAAGCCTCGCAGAGCAGCTGAGGAGCTGGCTGAACCCCTCTCCATCGAAAAGGCGCAGGGCGGGCATCGATGAAAAAGGCGTCAGAATGAGAGATTCAACTTGGGCGACAGGTTGTCATCTGGAGTTTTCTGCTGTCGTTCTACATCGCATCGCCTCTCCTTGCATACAATGCACCTTGGCTGAAGCCAGCACGTGACCGATGCGTTCTCTCGGGCTGACAAGGGCCTGCAGTTCCGGGAAACACTAGCTGCTAGCAGCTGGAAAGAGTGAGCGTAGGATGTCGTAGTCTGCCTAGCTTCGCCACGCTGCTGGCATTGAATTCGGCCGATCCGAGGTTCTGTCAGCCTTCGCAATCGATGTCTATCAGAACATTGAGAGCAGCGCTGGAGCCTCGGAGTTCTAGCGAACCCCGGCCAGTGGCTCACCCTCTGCACTTTTCAACATCTCGTTGTATGCGTTGTTTGCCGTGAATAGGGGTATTCCGTCGCAGGTCTCCCAGGAGGAGGACACGTCTCGCTTGCGACTAACAGCAAAGTCGGTGCATTCTTCGACACCAGCAACCTGTGCCTCTGCAGGAACACGGCCGAGCCGAATGCGAGGTCGAGCGCAACCTGTTGAAAATCCAGGTGCCAGGGTTGTGCCGGTGCTTTGTCCCCACTCGCGGCGCGCGAAACAGGGGGCTTTTGAGTGTATGAGACTATGTGATGAGATGTGATGCTACCATGACTTTTCATCGTACAACGAAATCGATGGCAGGCGGAGCTAGCAGAGGACGGCTGGGTGCTGCACATTCAGGACATTTGTCTGCAGTGCGAGGTGAACGGTTGTGCATGCGGTTTGTTGCCTTCTAAATCAGGCTTGTGCAACTTGGTCAGCCTAGATTTGGTTTCGAGCTTGCCGATGTGAGATGTCTAGTGTGGAGCGGGTAAATGCGTGTTTGCATAACTATGAATCACCACAAGCTTGGCTGGATGAGTCAGCGATGCCGAGCATCCGATTGACGGTCACTTCTCGGACGCCTCGTCTATGCTTTTTTCGCGAGCCCCCTGATTGCAGGAGTCTGCTGATCTCGCGAAGCTCCGCGTGCATACTTCTTTGTTCAACGTGGACTAGGCCTTGCAGGCCGCACTTCACGGCGTTGACTTTGCCAGGCGGCATGGTTTCTCCAACTTGGATGCCTTGGTGCCAGGTCCACTGTGGCAGAGGCTGCAAATGCAGACTCACGGTCAATGCAACTTCTTACATCAGAGGTCGGGCTGGCGTGAACTTGTAGAGTCGAGATGCAGTGGGACTCCGGCATAAGACCTCTGACTGTAAAGGAACCAAAAGGCACAGGGCTTGCAGCCCTGATGGCGGAAATGCAGATTATCCAGAAGCCTTCGCTCACTTACCCCTTGTGCCGCAAAGCGAGCGTTCCGTCTTCCGGAGGGTTGCCGCGTGCAGCCAGGGAGGGCCAGGAAAAGCTCAGCCCAAGGCAATGGCTTCAAAAGTGACGTAAGAGGAAAGCGTGTTGTGTCCAGCAAGCTGCTGCACATGATGATGCGCATAGAAACTCGTCATTGACCTGTGGCTCAAGCAATGTGGCCGGTGGGAGAGAAGCTCATCTATCGAGGCCATTGCAATCACACTCACGTCAGTACAGATACTTCGGCAATTGTGCATTCGGCTTGAGTCTGATTGCTGCTGCCGCTGAGACCTTCGCTTGTTGCTTGCAGTGTCAGGCTGAGCCTGCATAGTGAGCTGGAGAGGCAGGTCTGCACATCACTTGCCTTCAGCTCGTCTTCACGAAGCCCTTTGCATGCCTCTTGCAGTGCCTACATTTCAGGCAGTTTTAGCTGCCACCTTCAGGCATCTCACCTTGCTGCTTTCCCTTCCTTATGGCTCGAAATCAGGTCAGCCGATCAAGTGATACATCATCTGCGGTCAACTGTCAAGATATCCCAACATTCCTACATAAACAGTCTCTCGCTTAGCTGCTTGGCCCACTACACCGTCGGTATATAGACTATGGGCGAAACAGATTACTGTACCTTGAGCTCCGAGCGAAAGCCATTAAAATCGACACCCTTCGCCTTCACATCGATTTGGTCCGAGTCCGAGTGTAATGCGGAAGCTGAGGAGAATCAGAAGCTGAGAGCAAAGCACTTCGGAACCCAAGGCCGTAATGACTCGATCCACCGCTGGGGATTGAAACTCAGTTCGCCCGACTTGTGGTGTTCACAAGCCTTGCTACTACCTTCAAGTCCGAGCTTTGGCATGAGGCAATCTTGCTGAGCTTGCCTGAGTGCCTTTTGGGGCTCCTCCAGCTGTTGGATGCGCAGGTTGCGGCAACGGAAGCTACACTGCTACAGAGTAGTTGCTGACTTGCTGTTTCATCAGCCCCGGCTGGCTTCAACCTGGTGACAGGGGCTTGCACAGCTTCGCCGCTGCGCACACGTGGGCTGGGGCCCTGTGACAGATCTCGTCGCGTACGCTGACTCGGAGCCTGCAAGTACATACACACACACACATACACATGGCGTCCCGAATGTACATGTTCTGTGGGGCTAGCATGGACGGCCCATGCTTGCGTCCGATCGAAGTCCTGTTCAGGTCTCGCAGGTCATCCGTGTATCCCACACAATGCACAGATCCACTCCCGTGGTCACAAGTTGACTGGTCCCACCTCCGATGTTTCAACCCGAGCTCCCAGCCCAGGCTGTCATGGGTCAGCGCTTGCACATGCCGCAAAGGTTTCGATCTCAGCGACTCGGAGCTTGTTTGTGAAAGATATGATGATTATTGACAGCGTCTCCAGATATCGGCACTGCCCGCAGCATTTTTGCCTGGCTTTAGCCACTTTTTCCGCTCCTCTGGAGGAGGAGCCGTCCAAGTATAAAAACGGGCCATCGTCACTGCCCTAGCTTGCAAAAGCCGGCACCTGCGACTTGGGAGATGCAGCAAGACTCTACTACACCCAAGATGCAAAAAAGGAGCAAGGGTAGAGTCCGCAGCAACTTTGGCAGACTCAGAGGTATCTCTAAAGGAACGCAGTCAGAAAGCTGCCCATCATGTTGGGGATCCCTGGTCTCGCTGGCGCCGGGGCAAAGGCGGCCTCGCCGGTGATGACATTCTCCAGTGCTCATGAGATCGTGGAGATCTGGGCTTGAACTGCAGACTTTCTTTTCCTTAAGCCTTCTCCCTGGGATCACGACGCGTGTGTTCCCCGGGTGTTGAAGGGTTTGCGGCCTGCGGCCTGCGCAAGGATGTCACAGGACCCAGGTGTCCGAGTCGGCAGTTGAACAGGCCACAACCCCTAAGTCAACTATGTTGATTAGGATGTTTTGGAGAATTGTGTTCTGCAGTTGGCAAGGATTCCATCGTTCTGGAAGAGCCCGCGGAGCTGCCGCCATTCTTTGAAAGACCTGCGCACGCCTCAGAGCTCTGCAGGTGAGTGCAACCTCTCAGTTCCCGCACCCTCCAAGGTGGCGCAGACATCGCACTGGCTGCTTACGCCTGACTCGCCAGTCACGCAGTCCATGGAAGCCTTGCTGGTTTGATTTCACAGCATGCCAAGCCCTCGCAGCTGATAGCAAGATGGGGCCCCTTGCCCTTGAGGAACTCCCCCACAGCCTGGTGGTGATGAAGTTCGGCGGCACTTCCCTGGCGAGCGCTTCGCACCTGCTGCGATGTGCGAACATCGTGCGGCAGGTCGGGTCAGCACAGGGGAACTGCGCTTGCGCATAGATCTCGTCGGGACCGGGTCGGAGATAGCTGGGCTGTTTATCTTTCGGCCAGCATGTCCTCACCTTGACAATCATACAAGCACCCGGACTGCATGGCAAAAGCATCGCAACAGAACTGAGCACCCGTCGCATGAGCTGTTGCCCTATCATGCCAGAAAGAACCTGCACTTGCCTCCGCAGTAAGATGACTTGGTTGCTGTTGTGAGGGCAGCTCTTCGCAGGCTCTGCCACAAAGACCGGTGGTGGTTGCAAGCGCCATGGGCAAGACCACCAACGCACTCCTACACGCCTCGACGTTGGCCTTGGAGACCGGTGAGGTGGATATCTCTGCGATACGGACCGATCTACTCTGAGTTGTGCAAGAAGGTGGTGCTTTGTGATTCATGAGTACAACCTGCGATAGGACTATCCACGAGACAGCATTGAAAGAACTTGGGCAGCTTGACAGAATTCACGATGGCCTGGGCAGGATGCACTGTAGGGTGCCTTGTGGTCTGCCCAGGGTGGAGATGCCGACATCCATTTCAGAGCTTCTCAACGAGCTTGAGAAGGTTCTCAGCGGGGTGGCCCTCCTAAAGGCTTCCGACAGGGCTGGAGATTGTGTTGAGTGCAGAACCTCTCACTGCTGGTGTTCTTTGCAGGAGATCTCCATGCAAACGCGTGATCGAATTGTCTCTTTTGGAGAACGCCTCAGCGTTCGAACCTTTGCGGAGGCCTTCAATTCCTCAAGGAAAGATCCGCAGGACCTTTTCGGAGACAGAATGTCGGTTGATGTCCTTGATCACGAAATCAAAAGCTGGACAGCGATGGGGCTTTCTTCCCAGCACTTGCCGCTTCCACTTCAGAGCTCCCAGCTTTTTTTGAAGCGCTTTTTGCTGGGAGGAGCCGGATGCTCGGGCCCTGGATGCCTGGCAAGTGGGCATGAAGACCACCAGCGGTTCCGGAAGCGCCGACTCCGCTTTCTCTTCTGTGGAGATCCTCCAGGAGTCTTACCCCGTCCCTCAGCAGCAGGTGTACGGCTATGCGGTGTTGCGACGTTGTAGGAACCGTGGGCTGTTCAGAGTTGAATTGCGCCCTCGCCAGAGAGGCCATCAAGCACCACCTCGGGCCACTGAAGCTTGCGTATTCCTTCGTGCCAATTGTCACTGGCTACATTGCCAAGGCCGGCAGGGCATTGGGCAACCTCTGTGTGATTTCGATGTACTCGTTTGAATGACAGGATGCCCGTGGTGTGATCACTACCCTGGGCCGGGACGGCTCGGACCTCACCGCCACCGTGATCGGAGCCGCCGTGAAGGCCTCGGAAGTGCAGATTTGGAAAGACGTCAGCGGCGTGCAGACCACGGATCCCCGGGTGATCGCGGCGGCGAAACCCGTGGCCTGGTCTACAGAGCACAAGACTTAGGCATAAGAGTCTTCTGTGCATGGAGCTTGGGCTCCGCAGCGCCCGAAGCCACGAGGTGCAGGTCCTCACCTTCGAGGAGGCCGCGGAGCTATCGACTTTCGGCTCCAAGGTGGTGCACCCAGCGGCCGTGCTGCCGGCCTGGAGCGCTGGTGTCCCGATGAGCGTCAAAAACTCCATGGCCCCGGAGCTCCCAGGCACAGCCACAGCTCACGGAAGGAAGTGCATGTTCACATTTTCACGGTGATTGATTCTGGATAGAAGTCTGGTCTAGCCACTCACACCGTTGACATTTGCAAATGCTGTTAGCTGCTATTGCTGCTGCTGTTATTCTTGTCGATGGTGGTTATGTTGTTGGTGGTGTCCATCCTGATTGTTGCTGTCGGTCCTGGTGGCGGCGCCGTTTCCGGCCGTCTGCTTTTACTGCTTGTATTGCTGGTGTCGTGGTGGCTGCCGCGGCAGCCAGTGGTATTCTTCCTGGATTGTTCTCCGCTCTTGGTGAAAACTCTCGAGTACCCATCAGGCACCAGAATAGTGCCGGAGCTTGGTGGCAAAGACGTTCGAGAGGGCCGAGTGGCGGCCATCAGTAGCAAGAAGAACATCACCATGATCGCTCCTTGGTCAAAAGGCTTGACCTTTTTACAATGACGAGCTTGTGCATGGATTGCCTGGTTCTATCGGGCTTGATGGCTGAGGTAATCAAAAGCAGCTGCAAGCTTACTGTCCAGAATGCGCGTTTGAAAAGGCACAGGTCATGGAATCATGGATCCCTAAAGGCCGAATGCTTGGACAACATGGCTTCCTGGCGCATGTCTTCCAAGTCTTCAATAAGTTTGCTGCCTCCGTGGACGTCATTGCCACCTCGGAAGTGACGGTGTCACTAACCTTGGATGAAGGCCGGCGAATCCGAACCGCGAGCTTTGTAAGCAAACGCAAGCATGAAGCCCTTGCTGTGCCGGGCTTCTTTTGAAAGTCTGCCTGCAAGCAGGCTACAAAAGTGTGGACCTCAGTGCGATCGAAGACGAGCTCAAGGAAGTGGCGAAGGTACCGGATGCTGCGCAATCAGTCCATTGCTTTCGAAGAGAAACAGAGGAAAGCTCGGTTTGTCGAAAAGTCCATCGCTTTTACAACAGGTGTCAGCGCTGCACGACATGGCCATGCTGACGCTCATCACGCACAAGGAGGACTCTGTCACCGTGCTCAAGGAGTCTTGCGCTGCTTTCGAGGAGACTTTGGACAGTTTATCAGTTTGTCGTTTTGTCTCTTCGCAACTTCGTAGTTGCGCTCTTGGAATTGCCTTCAGGAGCTTGGAATCAGCGTGGCTTGGCAAAGTTGAGTGTTTCACAGGCAAAGCGTCCTTGGCCAAGCCCGTGCAATCTAAGTTGGAGATGGTCTCACATGGAGCCTCGAATGTCAACGTCACGTTCGTGCTGCCTGGAGACCAGTTGCTCATGGCCTCGCAGCGACTGCATAAGGTCTTCTTCGAGCAGGCAGCGACGAAAACCCTAAATGAACATGTTGTTTCGTAAGTCCATAGCCGGAAAAGCTACCGCAACTAACATTCCATTCCAACAAAGTTTTGCCAGAAGCGGGTTGTGATGTCTTAACTGAATCAAGCCATCTTGGCTGCCCTTCCTTGCATTTTGCAATTCCGGCCTGTTGGAAGCGAGAGTGCAGGGTGGATGAGACGGTCACGGCTGCGCAGCCGCTTCGGAGAACCTGCTTGCCTCGCGAGCCCTGTGTTATCCCGGCCCTTTTAATGCACCTCCAGGACCGAACCTGTCCTGTATGGCCAGTGCGGCCGCGGTCGTGTACACACTTCTCTTGTTCCGGACTTTTGTTGTAAAGTTTCTGGTAGGGTGTGAAACACCGTCGCAGCGCAAACTGAGCCATATCTGTCCAAAGCCCGACTCTTGCCGGTCTGCGCTCAAAAGCTCCTTGCGCTGCCTTGCGTCAAGAGAGGGTTGCAGGAGTACTTAAGCGGCCTCCCAAGCCTGTTGGAACCAGCATCCATCATCTACTATTGGTATCTGGTGGTCCCGTTTGCCAAGCATGAAACCTCAAGGCCGCGAGCAATCGAAAAGAAAACGCTTGTTCGAGAAGTGAGGCTGTTGTGGAAAGCCTTGCCCTCTCTCTAGCCTAGGTGGCAGAGCTTCGGGCTGCGATTCTGGAACTGCTCCGGGCAACGAAGCCTTGGGCTCACTTACTGCGCAGCGTTTGTCATGCTGTCGGATGTTGCCCTGGCCGTGGCCGCCATGCCATTTAGCTTCATCCAGGCGACGGCATGCAATGTTGACTCAAGTGTCTTGTTCAATGCAGGGCTGACTCATGCACAATGAGAGTGACTGGAAGTAGCCACCTGCAAGTAATGGTACCAACGTTCGCTGAAACGATTGCATCATATTGCCCCAGGTTCCCCTTCGTCCACGCTGCCTATGTGCTGGGCTTAAATGGGCGGCAGCCTCGGCACCAGGGCATTGTGGAAGCTTGGACACGGCTGGGTTTTCTGTTGCCAGACGGTGTCTCTGAGATGATGAGAACGCCTTATTCAAGCTCGTAGCCCCCGAATTCAACCCCCCTGGAAGCCACTCGAAGCTTCAAGATAAATGAAGACACGTCCTACTTGATGTGCGGTGGGCCTCGAAGCGTCAGTGGACAAATATTGGCTGGGGATCTACGCGAAATGTACCGAATGAGCAGGGATTGCGGTTGAGCTGAGGTCCCACTACAGCTTGGACACTGCCACAGACAGGCCCCAGAGGTCGGAGAAGACGGGGCCCAACGAAGCATCCTGTCCGCCGCTAGGCACTACGGCATTCCTCTCCGCCTGCCAAGGCCATGTGCATTTTAATAGTCTGATGTAGGCTGAACGAACTGTCCTAACTGGATAGGCCTCTCCCTTTTTCCAGGTTGCTGTGCGAGCTCTTCCGCCTGGAAGTGCCCAACACCGTCGAACCCTCGATGTCCAAACTTTGGCGCTTTGTCCACCACCTTTGCGCGCGCGGAGCCTCGCCAAGGATTTCACGACGATCCGCATTCAGAAGTTTGCATCCTCGGTCGCTTGGCAACAGCTTCAAACTCAGGGTCTCGGGGTGTCTCGGGCAATGGCCCTTGTCAGGTGAACTTCAATGGCACACACCGTACCCTCCCGGTGCCATGTGCCTAGCAGCCTGTGCGTTCATGCAGACTTTCCTGTCGATACTGCAAAGTCAGATACGTGAAGCATTCACTTCTTCGCTTTTCCATGCCTGCCTTGTACTTGTACGAACCATGCAAGGAATCTGCACACGCCATTCTTCCCGGAAGCAGAGGTTTGGGGCAGGGAAACGTCACACCTGAAATCCTCTGAACGTCTTAGAGCCAGGATGGTGCTTCGAGTCCTGAGCCCCATGTGGAGGATGACCAATGTAGCTCAGGCTGGGGCTCTTCTGTCTCGTTCTCGCTTGCTTGGATGTGCTTGCCATCTGCCAGGCGTTCCAGCATCAGCGCTCTGTTCCAGACCCAAATCGCCTGTGGGGATTCCTTGTCTGGTGCGAGCATCTGCGGTCTGTCTCCAAGGTCTGACGGAAGGCTGCAAAGGCTGGCCTTTGTTGGCTGCTCCCACTGATCCTTTGTTCGCAGCCGGATCAGAGGTGGCCGTGGCGAGCTTTGCGAGAACCTGGAAGGAGACCAGGTCAGAAATGTCAGAAGGTTCAAAGATTTTCGCCGCCTTTGGCACAGCTGACAGGGCCGTCGTTGGCGCCGCTTCGTGCAGCCGGCTGCTGGGCTCGGCTCTCGGGTCCGCGAGGGCTCGTGCTCCGCTATCTCCCGCTCTCTGCTGATCTCTGAAGGTCGAGCGCGCCACGCTGGATCCAGTTCCCGATGGACCGCAGATGTAGGTGCTACTGTGTGCTAGCTCTCACCCCTGGCCCGGCCCTTTCTGCAAGAAGGGACCGTGCAGTTGACTTCCTTCTTTTGCCCAAGAGCAAGGACACCTGGCTTCGATGGTATTGGCCAACTTCCGGTGATTACTTCGCTGGAGTGCCAAGTGAGGGTTGTCGGCGATTGCCCGTCTTGGCGTGAGCATCGTCGCAGACTCCACCAGGTCATCATTGCCACCTGCGAACCTGCAGACTTCATTCGAGCCTCGGAAGCACTTGGGCGTTCAAAAGCACATCTGTGCTGGCAACCCGGATGATGCACATGCCAGCATTGCGTCTGATTGGTGGCGCAGCCCGGAAGAAGAGAGAGAGAGAGAGAGACAGAGACGAGAGCGGTGCAAGGTGGGCTGCGCACACGCCAGCGTCGCCAGCATTTTGTCTGCAAAGTCGCTTCCGTGGAGAGCTCTCTAGGTCCTAGGTCTCTACGAGCATCCCGTATACTCCCACACCGACACTTTAAGAACCCGAATTAGTTCCTTGACCGTTGTCATGAACTTAGGATGCTGAAGATTGGATTCCGGCTGCCGGAGCCGTGGAACATCCTTGAAAAGGACAGCAGACATGCCGTTGAATTGCTTGCCTGTGGACGCCTGTGGACTGATCCGCTGATCTCGAATCAGGCGGTGTGTTGCAGATATCATCGCACTGCTTGGGAGGAGGACGGAGAAGACGACGAGGGTCACGAGAAGGCTCCGGAAGGTGCGCTGAGCGCCGGTGCGCCGCTGCGTCGAAGCGGCCGAAGCCCTGCAACGACGGGAGGCGAGCGCCGGAGCCCGCGCCGCTTGAGCAGTGCACGCGTGGTGGCTGCGAAGAGGCGGGGCCGTTGCAGATTGCACTGGCTGCACCTTCCCATCTCTGATGGCATTGGTGACTTGACTTCTGGAGATTTGGAGGCTTCTTGGCCTTCAAGGTGTGGCTGTCCCAACTCTTGAGGCCCTATAACCTTCTATGTTCGAAGAGCCGCGTGCGTAAGCGGGCAAAACTAAAAAACATGCTGTGAGGAGATCGAGGAAGCCTACAACCGCGCGGTGAAGGCAACAACCGAGAATGGGGCGGGAGACCCGGGCTCAGCGCATCTCAGCGCCTCATCACTGCTTGCTCTTCCTCCCTTCCTCTCTCTCTATCTCTCTCTCTCTCTCTCTGTGCTTGCACTTCTTTGGCCCTCGCGGCCCCCTGGCGGAGGCCGAACGAAGCGAGACGAGAGAGGCACACGGATGAGCGTCACCGCGCTGAAGAGGCTAGTCATGTCTGACCACTTCCAAGCAGCTAGGGGAATCGATGCGGACGATTTGGTTGGGATGCTGCCAGGATCTCAGCACGGGTTCTTGTCGTGATTTTATTGGCCAACTTGCTCGATCGCCTTTGAGGCGCAGCTTTCCTGGGCGAGTCGGGTGCTGCATGATGCGGTGCACCCAGTGCAAAGAAACCAGCCTAGTCGAAGACATTGGTTCAGACATCGAGCCAGTGCTTGAAGCAAGTCGGCCTGCGCGGACGCGCAGAGACAAAGAGAGCAACTAGGCGCATGGTCTCCTGGCTGAGGCTCAACACGCTGCTCAGGAAGCCTCCGCGCAAGGCCCCGACGCTTCTGATCACTTCCTTCGCAGGTTCTTGACTAAGTTTGCGTGATTTTTGGGGGAGGCTTTCGTGTTGCAAGAGCCAATGCACGCCATGCAATGCCGCACAATGTTCGAACTGTTTTTGAAAGTGCGTATTCGGACAATTCCCGAAAGCTGCGGCTAAAGTCTTTTCCATGGTGGTTTGGATGCCATGATGTGGTGCTGTTGCTGTGAGGTTGTTTCTTAGCTTGTCGTGTGGTTGCGTGGCATAGAGAATGGGTTTTCGTGAGTCAGTTGGTGCCTGGGGATTTCGTGACCTTGCTCCATCTAGCTACATACCTTTATCGCACGGGATGGGGCTGGCGTCGCCTAATGCCAACGTGCACAACTGCCGCTGTGACGATTCGTGTTCCGAATTGACAACGAGCTGTCGGTGGACGCCGCGAGTCCGCATCCTCCGATAAGCGCTTGCGAATTCCAACACGGTCCCATGTAGGCTCGAATTGACAACCCTCTCGGCATCCCGCAAATGCACAGGGAAGCAGTTTGGACGTGCTCCTGAATCCCATCTGAATTTCGCCAGAACTTGGTGGAAGGATGTTCGTCGCCCGGGCGGGGGCGGGAGAGCACTAAGGTCGTGCTCTGGAATCACGCCAGTACGCAGGGGGAAGCATTTTATAGAAGGGTTGTGTAGAGGGGATTGGAGGGTTTCTCGTAGTAATAGAAGCGTCTATGGAAGGGTCACAAGGGTCGATGGATGGATGAGATGATGTGGGAGTCAAGCAGCGTGTTAAAGTGCAGCTTGCAGCTGTTGCCTTCCGCACCCCGGAAGGGATCGTTCCTCACTGGATGGAGGACCGGGAAAAACTGCATACGTCACACGCATGCGTTTCTCGAAGCACACGCTGGCAGGAGCGCGTCTCTGAGGAGCCCATCGCCATCGCCTCGCGGTCACTTCTGCCTTTGCCAGCTCCCGGAGCCTGAGGCATCCCTCGAGTCGACCTGTGAAGGTACTGGCAGTACTGGTAACAAGATTCTGAAGAGTGACCAGCTTAGATGGCGCCGAGTCTGCACAGGTCGTGATCTCTGAGCGGCAGACAGGAGTTGTTGGCCTTGGTGGCGCGCAGGGCATGCAAGCAAGGAGAACACTAGCGCCCCTCGCAAAAGTAGCCAAGCGTGCCCTCTGCGATGCACCACTGCCAGGCTTGCCATATGAATCCATGTACAAACGGATCTTCCGCTTCCATACCAGTCTATGCCGTCAAACACCTTGAAACTGTGACACTTCTCGACTCTGCATTTCCGGTTTCTGGTCGCTTCGCCAACTGCAAGACTTACCAGTAGACCACTGAACAAGCATGACTTGCGGTGTGGAAGTCAAATTTGCTTGGACACGCGTCCATGCAGTGGCCCAGACGGGTCAAATGCTCTAGATGGGTTTTTGGGGAAGGCATACGTGCAGCTTGCGGTCTCCCCCGCTGCCGGGCTTGGGCTTGGTGCAGGATGCTAGGCAAAGGTCTGAGAAGCTTTGGAGAGGAGCTGAGTCTTCGGGTGAGTCTGCGCAAATGTTTCGGCCTCTTGGGAGAATGCCCCTGTCTTGTAGCTCGTCCTGCGCATCTTGAGTTCATCAGGGTGAATCTTCAAGACGGGCACTTCCAAAGCCTTCATTCTGCAAGCTGGCAGCTTTGCTAGTAGCTGCAATGTTCTGACTGGTTCTGATTGCTCCTAGTTTTGCATGCTGTCGGACGTCGAAGTAGTTCGACTAACTTGCGAAGTTGGATCAACATCATGTCTGCGAGCCAGCCGCGCAGCCGATAAACTGCCCAGAAGGAGCTGTTGGAATCATCCCGCCATCCCGGCCTGCTGTTGCATCGGGCAGCCGAACGGACAGAACACCTGCCCGCCGGACACGAACTGCTTCATGCGTCGCTCGACCGCCTGGGCTCTCCCACACTTGTCGCACTCCTCGGAGCCGCCGCGAAGCGGCTGTGCCGGAGCTTGCGGCTCGTTGCAAGGAGCGAGGGTACATGCCAGAGTAAGCAAATCTCTTGAGCCCGGGAGATTGAGTGTCCCTTCACATGGCGGCCGCTGCCCACGAGCTTGTGGCGGCTGGATGCAGGCATAGCTACACGCGTGCACGCGCATGCCCCATGACGCAGCACGGAGGCTTGGGCAAGGTGACCAGCTCCGGCTAGGGTCCAAACCCCTAAAGGCGAAGACTTGTTCGGATGTTGGGAATGGGTATGGGTAAGAGTGGCTTGGACACCAGTATGCATTGCATTGGGCTTTCTTCCTTAGCTACGTACTTAACTTTTTTCAGGGATGTCCCCGCACAGTGTCCTACAGTGAGTCGCAAGGCCACTTTGTTCGAGTCCTGCGCTGCGACACAGCCGTCAATATGATTTGATTGATTATTCGGTGATCGACTGATGTCGGGGTCTCACGGGAACGTGCCTGGTGGCTGGTAACTTGAAGAAGCACTTCTCAAGAGTATGTACCACAAAGCGCAACCAGACAGATTCAAGCCCTTCACTACGGCAGACTTCCGTGGGCACCTGCAAAATTTTGAGTAATTTACAGCTGGCTTGGCTTGGGCTCGGCTGGCCGAGAAGCGAAAGTCTGGGCATTACCCGAGGAGCCCGCTCCGCCCAAAGCTGCCCAGCTTGCCTGTAGCTTGCATGTGCTACGCAAAGGTTCCCTTTTAAATCTGAGCTGCGCGTGGTTTGAGGCAGTGCACCCAAGAGCCTTCCAGTGCTTGCCCCCAGGCACTGCTGTCAAAGCTAGCATCAGCAGTGCGATGCAAAGAAAAGGCTCCTACTTCTCGCCTAGGATGTCAGAGCCATGGATTTAGAAGTGGTTTCTGGATGTCTCTGCAATGCACACCACGTCTTGTGTAACTCCTTGGATGCAGGGGGCTCCCAAGCCAGCCGGGCCCGACGTTTTCGGGGCAGCTGGGTCGGCACCACAATCCAGGACAGAGCAATTGTGAGGCTAAGCGCGCGGATCAGGGTTGAGACAAAGGAAGGCTAGTTCATCTCGGACTGAGCGCCGCCGGCATTGCAGCAAACTCGACAGTCGGCGCAGGAACATGGAGTTGTGCCTGTTAAATGCAGAGAATATCCCGGATGGGTGGCGCCCTAAGTTTTGCAAGTTGTGCAACTTTGCTCTCGGTCTTATAAAATGCTGAGACAGGCCAGAAGTCCAGTCGATTCGTTCGTGAGGTGTCTTCTTTCGGTTAGCGCGGGTGGCTCGCGCAGACAGGCGGTCGCCGAATGCCTCCTCGTTTTGACTCCTCCGGGACACCAAATGAACCGAGTTCCTACTCCTACTACTATTACTACTACTAGACTACTACTAGACTACTACTACTACTACTACTACTACTACTACTACTACTACTACTACTACTGCTCCTGCTCCTACTCCTGCTACTGCTACTGCTCCTGCTCCTGCTCCTGCTCCTACTACTACTCCTACGACGACTACTATTGCTGACAAGACGACTAACCCACACTCATCATCATCGTCATCATCATCATCATCATCATCATCACAGCAGAAGTAGTATGGCCAGAGTTGTCTCGGTTGTGTCCAGGCCGCCTTGGCACCGAAGCAGAAGTTCGCTTTTTCCAACTCTTCCACCGCCGCAGCAGTAGCCGCCGGGGGCACCGGTCTGAAGGCCTCAGAGCTTCGACAGCTGTTGATGAGCCGTGACATGTGAGGTTTCGAGGTCAGAGAAGTCTCGGAGCGAGAGATGTGTTGGGGGCATGGCATCAGGTGGACCTCCTTTCGGTACAGGGCAGGGCCTGCTGGGCTCTCAATCACCACGGCTTTTTTCTCACAGAGAAGGGGCTCTAAGCTCCGAGGTATTGCCAGCTCGGAGCTACTGCCTGGGCTGCAAAAGGCGCGCCTGTTCCAGAAATGCTAAAGAGCTAAGCCGGGCATTGCTTCCAGGCCTTTGGTGCCGGGACTGCCGGTGAAGGTGAGCGAAGTCGTCGTAGGGCGCAGGATCTCTTCGCCTGAAGCTGCTTGAGAGGCACTGGGCACCAAATCGAGGCCACGATCCCAGCCATTGAACCTGGGGTCTTCTTACGTGCAAGTCCGAAGGATGAATCCTGTCCAGGTCATAGTGGCCCCCCCTGGGCAGGACGCAGGCGAAGAGGCGGGCATCGCCCCTTTGTGCACTAGTTGAATAGTTCTGGTGTCCATGCTCAACCTTCTCCAGGAGCTCACAATGAAGCTGAACTTCAACATCAAGCCGGACACATAGACACGCACGGATCTGGAGTAAAGCAGGGTGAGTGAGCGCGGCAGACAGAGACAGCAAAGCATGGTTTCGCAACAAAGGCCTGCCTCAAAGGACAGGGATGGGGCGGAGACTTCCCGCCTAGCCTCAAGCGTGCTTCTCAAAGCTCAAGTCCACGCGCGAGCTCCTGGTGATCGCAAGAGCCGAGTGTTCTCTGAGGCATTAACACAGCCAGAACTGACCTGGAGGAGCTCCGAGCTGTCGCGCGCGCGCGTGCATTTCTATGTAGTGGCCAAAGTTGAGCTTGCAGGAGCGAAGCTTCGCTCCCACAGATCTTCTGAAGCAGTCCAACCTCTTGGACCCGCTTTGGTGCAGCTGTCGGGCGGGTGGCAGATGTTGCGAAATGCAGTGGAGTCTCAATGGAGTGACAGTGAAGGACCGCAATGCAGCCACGCTGGGCCCGGCAGTCGGCCCGAAAGCGCAACCGAGTCGGGAGCTAAGAGCAGAGGCAGCGACAGGATCAGAGGTGAAGCGTCGTGGCTTGGAAGCCACCAGTGCCGAGGCCCTCAGAGATCTTCGAGGCGGCATCATGCTGCTCTCCAGGTGCGTGCCCCAAAGCGGCCCAGAGTCTCCGTTTCTGAATGGTTCCAGTCGCGTCTGGCCTTGGGTGCAGAAGCATGCGCTGGGCTGACGAACACTTGGCTCCTCGTCTCCTCGTATCAGCGTTTGCATAGTCCCTCCATGGAAGGGGAAATCCATGCAGCTCGAGAAGCACTCAGACACTGCAGCCTTTGACCCCATCGAGTGGCCATGAGCTCTGCCACAGGTTCCGACAAGAACCCCAAGGCCCCCCACCGGACCCTTCAGCCCCGAGGATCCCATTGCTGCCAGAGCCGACTGGAGCCCTCTTTGCAGTGTCCCCCGCAATGTCTTCATGCCCCGGCGTGCCGCCAATCAGACGCTGCCAGCATCGGTAAGCTCTTTGCTGCGGCATGTCCAGGAACAGGTCTGGTGCGAGCATGGCGCTCCAATACGGGCATACATGTCTATACCACGGCAGCTCTGGCAGGCACTCCACACTGATTGCGAGAAGCTTGCGGCCAGACTGATCCGGCTGCTGCACCTCATCCACAGCAGTACTCGTAGCATCCGCTCTTCGGTGGTGTCATGGGCCGTGCAGGCACTGCGTCTGTCCGCGCATCACGGACGGCGACTCGCCGAAAGTGTTGGAAATTGACCTCAACGTGGTCCGACCCCTTTGTGCTGATGGCATACCAGACGAGGCAAGCCTTCTGGGAGCCCAGGCCAGGTTGAAAGGCCAATGCTCCTTGAGGCCCCGGCACTTCGAGCTGCCCTCTGGAAGCTGCTCTTGGGATACCTGTGCCCTGGCCTCCAAAGTGGGCATGGAAGACTCATGTGGTGTGAGGCTTTTGCTTCCGATGTCCGTATGTTGTGCGCAACTTCTTTCGGCAGTTGCGAGGCCCTGCGATGCCTTCCGCTGGGACATGGCTCTGGCCTCCGCTAGAGCAGACTATGCTACCTTCCTCCAGGCGCCGGCCGCTGGCAAAAATTACGGGTGCCTCTGATTGTCTCCTATTATCAAGCTGTCATAAGTTGTCTAGTTGTCTGTGTCTGTGAGGAGCTCCTCTCCGAGCTCCCCCAAGACCTTTTCGACGAGCGAGGGGTCAAGGCGGTGCCTTGATTCCGGAGTGTCCGTTCCTGCGCTTGCGACGAAACTTTGCAGGACGGACCCCCCGGCTGGCCCGACGACGAGGACCACGTTGTCCCGCTTGTCGAGGTAGCAGCACGAGCACGTAGAAAACTCACAGAAGTGTGAAAAGATTTTCAACATCCTAATCGTCCCTCGAGGTGCTCGAGCAGATCCGGAAGGATGTCATGCGCACCAGGCACCCCGTTCTCCGCAAGTGATGCCAGCAGTGATGCCAGCTCAGATGCCCTCCCTGAAAGTATGGTCCGCAGTGACCAGCGGAAGGCCCGAGATGGATTTCTTCTGCCGCACGCTACCCACAGGGTCTGAGTCCTTGGGCAAAGACGCGATCGAGGAGCTGCATCAGGCTTCTCTCAGATGCTAGGAGCCCGATGGAGCCCGCATGTCCGGTGTTGAAGGACGGCCGCCAACGCTTCGACCCTTCCGAGGTGACGCTCGCCGTCACGAGTCGGGATCCAGAGTGCATCGACGTCGAGAGCCCCAAGAGCCACTACGATGTCGTGGCGCGGATCCTGCTGCTTTATGCCAAACTGAACCGCGGAGTTCGGTATGTACAGGGCATGAACGAGCTGTGTGCACCGCTGTACTATTTGTTCGCGCAAGATCCTTTGAACTATCAGCATGCAGAGGAGACTTGCCTGGAATTGGAATTTCCGAAGTGATCCTGAGCGTCCTAGCATTTGAGCAGCCCGTATATCTGGCGAACAAAGGCAGACACCTTCTTCTGCTTCAGCCTGCTGATGTCTGACATGCGCGACACTTTCGTCAAGACCATGGACAACGAGGAGGGGGGCATGATGGGTCGTATTGACCAGTTTAACGAACTGCTCAAGGAGAAGGACCTAGAGGTGGGACATGAGCTGGCAGTGCTAGCGGGCAGTGGGGTACATCGCAAGGGTGAGTTCGTGCTGGCAAGGTCTGGAGCCACCTCGAAGACCTGCGAGTGTCTCCTGTGTACTACACAGTTCCGCCACAGCCTTACATCTCACCCCGGGCCCCAGACTCTGGAGCTCGCTTGCTCCGGTGAAAGTCATGTCGAACATGGCCAGGTGGCTGACACTGATGCTCACCCAGGACCGACTTTCCATCCTTTGTTCACTCAAGCACAGTTTGCTTCCTATGCCTAATAGTACTGCACTGGCAGTGCAAGGGCGAGGCAATTGCCACAGTTGTGCAACGAGGAGCTTGACATGGCAGATGTACTTCGGCTGTGGGACTCCTTGCTCAGCCAGACCCTCAGAAGCGCTTCGGGCTCACACCGGCCAAATCACTGTGATGATTCGTTTGGCGAAGTCGAGGCGATTTGGCCCGACCTCACCCACTTCTGTGTTGCTGGGCCCAAGAGACCAAAGTACAAGAGTTTCCCATGAACAACTGACCGACGCGATGCTGGAACTCGCCAAACTTTTGCAGCTTTCCGCACAGCAAAGTTTTCATGTGAGATGCTTGCTCAGCATCAGCAAGGTTACCTCTGCGTCGCTATGGTCATCGGTATCCGAGAGGCACAGCCATTGAGGGGGCAGTAAATGGTGGACTAGAGTAACTAAGGCTGCATATGCTCAAGAAAGCTAGTAGACCCGCAGTTGCATCACATGCACCTGGCAGATCCTGGCAGACTCTCGTAGCCTGAACCATGAGCGGCGCTCCAAGGTGCTACTGGCTGGCGACTTCACAGACTGCATGCGCATGCTCCAGTGCCCCTGGCTGATTTCACGGGTTCAAATTAACCCCAGTGGTACCTTGCTGCCAGGCATTATCCCCCGGTGCCTGTCGACGAGCTGCTGCAGGGGGCAATCAGGAGCGGAGACAGCGCAGTGAAACACACGGAGAGGGTCGCAGAAGATCGCAGAAGCAAAGTGCAACGTGGAGAGAGCAGGCTCCGGGCCGTCGACCGGACGTATGGACCTCAGAGATAGCAACAACAAGGGCAAAATGAACATCCTACCAAAGACAGCACACACGCACACACAGAGCACACATCTGCATGCTGGAAGGGGCATTGGCTTCTCCTCCAGCGACTGCGAGGCACAGCCTGGGCCAACGGCCTTTTGCTAAACTCTGCGGTCACCTCGCAGGCAACAGCCGATTCTGGAAAGAGGACGGGCATTCACTTGGGGCAGCGGTTTCAAATTGAATCTCTATGTTTGGCAAGTTTGTCTGCATGGGGTTCAAGCGAGCAAGCCGTTCAACAGCACGACTTGAGTCTTCCGAGCGTAAAAGCAAAAACACAAAAAAAGACACAGGCACGTTGCACACGTTTTCGAAGAGTAAGCGGAACCACAGATTAACTTCCAGGAGATGATTTTGAGTGGTATTGGAGTTCCAAGCAAAGTCTGCCGACACTTCATGTTGTGAGAGCCTTTTTGTTGCTTCCGATGAACAGATCCGCACATTGCATCAGCGATATGACAGCTTGAATGCGTATGTTACAGTCGATGGATCCAACGATAAGCTTCAACAGACATCTCTTCGTGAAACCGCTTTGCAGGTGCAAGACATTGTTGAGACGTTTGTGTCACTCCTAGACAGGATAGTGAGCAGGCTATGTCTAGAGATGCATCATCATCGAAAGGTGACCCGGAGGGACGTGGAAACTTCTTAAGGATGTGCCAGCGCTACAGATTGCAAAGAGTACAACCCTTTGGGAAGCTGGGATGACTTTCCATCCTTGGAGGGCTCAGATGAGGACGATTGGGCATGCACTTCTCCGGGCCTTTGCAGTTGAAGCACATCAGGAGCTTGCCCAGCTGGTGGCCATGGTGAGAGCAGAAGGGATTGACAATACATCGGAGAGCGCTCAGAAACCTCGGGGATGCGGACTGTCGCAGTGCATCCCAGCCATTGGCGGGAAGTTGGCACCCGCTTTTGATCCATTTCTGCATCGTTTCACCCTAGCAGTCCCATGGTCCGACGCAACAATGAGGGGCTCCAACTCAAAAAAACACTGCAGCCGACTGAGCAGGTCGGTCGAAATTAGGAAATGCGCCCCAGGCGAGATCTTACCTGGATGACCACAACATCCTCAACTTCGTGGAGCGAGTGCTCCGAACTCTGGTGCAGGAGCCCTCTGAGAACTTGCTTTGTCAAGGCTGCACCAATGTGCAGTTGAAGCCACAGAATCGCAAAGCGAAACTCCACCATCCAGGACCGACCTGCAGATCCCTGGGGCAGGGGCCTAAGAGCGCGAGCCTAGAAGAACGGTACACAGCCATAGGCCGCATAGACTCGCGTAGACCCTCTGATGCCATGTAAATTTGAAGCCAGAGTCATTGCACACAGCCACGAAGCTCTTCACCATATCTCTTGTCATCATACTAAATGCATAGCTGCGCCCATTGCTGCGGACCACATAAACTCAAACCCACTCCGAGGCGCCATTGCTAACCTGCTACCAGAGGCATTGATCTCTCGGGAAAAGGGCGGGAAGGAAAATATGTCCCGGACATTGCGAGAAGGATGGTCCCACCTGCTGCCTGACCTGGGGAACAGCCATCGTAAAGCAACGGTACAAAACTGTGGAAGGCCGCGGCCGCAGGTGGAGCCATGCCGGAGTCGATCAAGCCCCAAGGCAGCTCCTGGCAGGGCCTGGCTCCGTCCTTGAGAGCCCTTCGCGTCTTCTGTGCGCCTCACGACCAGGGCCGTTAGACAAGCTCGAGGAGGACCCTCGCCTGCTTGCAGATCCTGTGAAAGATCCGCCTTCGAATCCTGATGTCTGATCGGATCTGATCGGATCTCCGGAGGAGAAGGAGGAGGTCAAGGAGCCCGAGTGGAACATGATGCCTTCCGTGGGCACGTGGTGCCGCTCTCGTCATCTCTACATTCACGGGACTAGAGATATTAGAGCTCGAGTCAGTATTGTCCCATGACTGGTTCGGCATGAAGAGCAGATGGTGCATCCTGCGTCCTGCAAGTGATTCATGAATTAATTTCGATAGGCACTGCTTAAGAAGGACTCGACTGGGTCGGCCAGGTACATGATCCCGACTCCCGTGATCAAGACTCAGGCAGCCCTCATGTGTGCAAGACATGCAACATGCGTGTCGGAAAGCACGTGTGCAGCTGCTGGAGTTTCTGCAACTGACCTCGGAAATGCTTTGGTCGGCAGGGCAGCCTCGTGCCTGAAGCAGAGTCTCAGGAGAGGTCATGTAGAGTGCTACTGAGCACGATTCGGTCCCACCTAGAGCAAGAGCTTGCCTTCGCGAATCATCACGAGGAGCCACTGCTTTCCAATCGAGGGGACGAGGCGGTTGCCGCCGAAGCTCAAATTGCTTTTGACATTCTTGCCCGGCTCTGCTTCACAAACGACAACTGGAAGCCTGGAAGGCCACGGAACACGAGAGAGCTGTCGCGGGGCAGTTTGTGGAAGACCTTGTTGCTGCCGCTTGGCGCCCAGATCGGCATGTTGATGGACGGGCTTGAGGTAATTTTCGAAGATTGGAATGCTACAGTGCAGATAGCGAGTTGCATTCTGGCTTATCATAAAAAAGGTCAAGAGTCTTGGGCTTTCTCATGCGCAGGCAAGCACATCACCGGCCAAAGCGATGTCACAAGGTGCGCCGCCCTTGCTAGAGCCCTACAGCCCTGCGCACTGTTGCCATTTGCCCAAAGTGCCGTAGACGAATATTCGCCCCACACAGGTCAGGCCAGTTTCGTGGGGTCAAGATCAAATTGAATCTAGTGACTCTGGTGGTCCTCACACCGCACTTCAGAGAGAGATGCCCGTCAAGCTCGAATTGATGTGGATGTAGTGAAGACAAGTTGTTCGAAGTCATTCATTTGGACCCATGTTCGCATGAAAGCACTTGGAATTCGGGTAGTGTGTTTGCCGTCAGACTTGTACTGCGCTGATCTAGGCCTTTACACCGCATTTCCCTGGCTGTGCCTGGTTATGCCAGACTCCGCATGAAGTAGTCAGGTACAGCATTGTCGGTCTTGGGATTAGGATCCATGAACTGGGCCTGGGTTCCCGGAACACGAGACCTGGACTGAAGCGCGCGGGCCATCACGCGTGCTGCGCTTCGGGTACAGCATTTCACCGCGGGAGCTACATGAGACTCCGCATCCAAAGAATCGCCGCAAGGGAGGAAACCGGGTCGGCTTGCATGTTGTTACAGCCGCTGGCTTCGACAGGTACCTCGCCGATGGTCAGTGCTGCTGGCACAGAGGCCCTGAGTTGCAAGAGATTCTCTTTGGGCTAAGGGCTAAGGACGCTAAAGCTTCTTTGACTTGAGCAGCGCTGACTCGTAATTGCAACCTCTCGCTTCCCACACCTTCGCAGGTAGACACCACGCTGGTAAAGAAAGCAGCCGAACCTCAGTTAGGGAAGCGCATGATAGAAGTATCGCTTTTTTTTTGACTCCTTGCTGGTGGAGAGGGCACTTTAGCCATCGAAGAGCGAGGCTTGCCAGCCTGCAGCGGCATTTTCCGTCCAGCCGTGGGATTTTTTGGCTTCGGTTGGAACCTGGCACCTTGGCACTGCAAAGAGCTTTCCGACTTGAAGCTCAAACTTGTGTTGCAGCAAGAATGGTATTTAGGCAATGTGGGGCACCCACATGTCATTTGCTGTGAAAGGTATGTGCCACTGCGACAGTCTCCGACTGCAGAGGCAGACAGACTGATGACGATGTCTCCCACATTGTCGTCGCGCAGTAGCTTCTGTCATGCTTGAGGTGATGTTCTGGCTTAGGTTTGGGAATGCCAGCATAATTTTGTGAGCATAGTCCTGTTGAAGCACGTGCAAGATAGAAGTGTCGAAACCAATGCACTTCGCAAGGGGCCCAAGGCACACGCAGCGCGGGCAGAGGCCAGGAGCTCAAACTTGCACAGTCGTTGAGAAGTATTTGGTTTTGCAACTAGCGCCAAGCGCTGTCCTCCAACAGTGTTGGTATGTTCTTGTGGTTGTGGTTGTTGGTTGACCTGCACACTGCGTACCCGTTATATATGAATAGAAAGGAGAGCCCGCCGCCCCAGTTGTTGTTGTTGTTGTTGTTGTCGTTGTTGTGGTGGTGTGCACTTGTGCACTGAATGACAGGGACCAGCGTCAACACCGCAGCACCTTGCTTCACTCAGAATTGTGAAGCATTCCGTCCTTTTTCGCATCCGCCCACACCGGCCTATATAGAAGATGGTGGGGTGCCGACTGAACGCTGTGCTACTACTTAAACTGCACAGGACTGTTTCAGTCAGATGCCGCCCGCCAACAGCGACCCCATTCCAAGAGTCTGGGAAAAGACTCTACAAAGTGTTTGGTCAGTCTTTGCGTTCTGTGCTGCATGGTGTCTTAGCGAGATGTCGTTGTTCATTGTTGTTGTTGTTGTTGGTGGTGGTGGTGGTTGTTATTGTTGCTGTTTCTGTTGCTGTTGCTGTTGTTGCTGTTGCTGGGTTGAAAGTAGAATGTTTTAACCGTAGCTGCAGTTGATGCACCTGTAGCTGTAGGTGCAATCATCGGCGCAGCTTTTGCCAAGGTCTAGGACACAGTACGGCAGAATATACGACACGATACCGGCGGTTCACGCTAGCATACATGTCGCGCAAAAATCGGAAAGCTTCTGCAACAGCACATGCTGCCTTCCAACATGAGAACTGCTAAACGTGTGAAGCAGCTGTTGTGGTATTGTTGCTCTGTGTTTAGTAGTCTTGTTCAGAATGTAATTTCGATAGTTGAGAACCGAACCAGGTCCAACAAGCGGTGGTTGCCGCGACTTTCGAGGCAGAGTTGTCATGCTCACCATGCCGCCCGGCACTTCGGATTCCCGACGAGCCTTCTCAAGGCCATGGACACCAACAAAGACGGCGTGGTGTCAAAAGAGGCCTGCTGAGTATCATCACACGAAAGTTCCGTGCACCATCCCGCATGCAATGTGATTCCAGGAGTTCGAGAATTTCGTTGCCGGAGCGGCTGAGGCAAGTGTCAATGAACACGGTGAAGCTTCCTGCTACGAGTTCGTAAATCTTAGCAGTTCGCCCAACGAGCGAGTGCAAGGCCACCTCAAGCAGATGTGCCTGACTAGCAAAAACGATCCGACAGAGCTCCACTCCCCTCTCCACAACGCGACTATCTTGACGCCTCCCATACTCACCTCTCAGGAGCCAGAGCCAAGATCCACCTTTAAAACTCGGAAGGCGGTGGCTCCAGCGCTGGACTGCGATTGGCGGCAACGGCCCTCTGTTGGCACCTGGTGCCTTTCCCAGCAGTCAAGCAAATCAAGCCAGCTCAAACCAACCAGGGTAAGCGATCAACCAGTCCATCACTGGCAGGGAAGGCCCTCTTGTGACCGTGATGGTCGGCAAGACTTGGTCGCGGTCAGGCGCAGTTGGATTGAGCACCTGAGGTACATGCCGCTTGAGGAGTTGCCATCGCCTGCGCTTCCAGTGATCGTCCCAGAGCATTTTGCTTTTCAACGTGTTGTGCATATCTTCCCGTCCTGCACTGCATCGCCTCTTCACTGGATCGCTGAGCGGCCGTCCCAAGACAGAGGTGCTGGCCACATCCGGCACCCAGAAGGCCAGTCGGAGAGCCGCGCAAACGTTGCAACCTGAACAAGCAGGGGGTTGTAGCAGGAAACTTTGTTTCAGGAACTGGTTGCTCTCGGTGAGGGTTTGGGGCTTAGTTTGGAATATTGGCGAACCATAGTTTTGCGGCAAGAACCCTAACAAGCCATGGGTTTTATTAGGATTCCTAATAAAAACCCTGGTTTTTAAAGGTTAAGGGTTTTGGGTTCAGGGTGGCTTAGGGTACAGGGTATAAGGATTTCGGATACAGGGGAGAGCGGGTTCTGGGGGAGAGTGTGTGCATAGGAAAAATAGGGCTTTCATGATGAGGCTTTACAGAATTTAGAATCGATGAGTTTTGAAGGGTGGGATTTCAGCGTTTAGGGTTGAGGATATGGGGTTTGGGGAGAGGAAAGGAAGAGGAGGTAAGGCTTTTTGTCTCAGGGTATAGGGTTTAAGGGTCACGGGTTTATGGTTCAGGGTTTCAGGTTTAAGGGTCTAAGGTTTGGGGTTCTGAAGCGTTTATAAAGCGCTTCAAAGGGCTTCTGAGGGTTTCTTATAAGGGCTTGCAGAACTTTCAAACGGCTTACACAGCAGCTTATAGGGGCTTTATTAGGGTTGTAAGGGCTTTTACTGGCTTATAGCCTTTGAAGGGCTTTGTTTTCTAGAGGAGTTCGAACGGCTCTCGAAGAGTCACGTTGTAACTTAAAGTCTCAACCCAAAACCCGATTTGGGTTTCGGTCGTCCGGCTGGTTTCCATTACAATTCCCACTGGTTGCAGTTACTCGCCCCAACAACCCACTTCCAGTTACATGGACCCTTGGTCCCTGTTATGTCCTGGTCGGTTCCTGAAACATGGTTCCCGTTACGTCGCGCGCTGGTTCCTGTTGCCGCCCTCACCCTCAGAGAGCCACGTTGGCATCGGCCGTCCTCATGGCCTGGTCGTCTCGACAGGCCTTGGAGGTCACGGCCGCGGCTGCGGCTCCTCGGCCACTGAAGGCAGCTGCTTTTGCAGTGAGGGTGAGGTTCTTGCACATTCTTGCATGCGGCGTTTGGAAGATGCGGTGCGAGCGTCACCAGTGCAGGGCACTGGAATCAGCTCCAGCACCGTGGTCGCGTTCGCCGTCTGCTCGGAGGGGCTCGGAGGGCCCTGCTCGCGCGTGCACGCGCATGCGCATGCGCGCGCATGCTGTGTCTGAGGTGCTGCCCGGCCTGGACTTTGAGGAGCTCGCGGCCTCGGAGCAGAGCGGCCTCTTGCTCCAGGAGGCTCGGAGGGGCCGGGCCCTTCTGGGCGAAGTTGAAACCCTTTTTCTGCTCAGGTGCAGGCGACCATGGCGCCGTTTGCCCGACGGAGCCCCAGAGCCGAGCACTGCCCGGGAGCGCCACACAGCACCACGTGCCGCTCCCTGCGAGGTTCTCTTCGCATCGAGCTGGGCGGAGCGGAAGCCCGGGGCCCTTTCGGCAGAGCTTCCGAAAGTGAAAGGCTGAGAGCTTCTTCTTCTTCTTCGCCGCTTTCCGAGGAGGGCGTGGAGGTGAGGATGACCATCAAGAATGCGTCCTCCGCTGAAGCCAAGGCCCGCACTGCCACTGCCTCAATTGCTCGGCAAATGGTGCTGTGAGCTAGCACCAGAGGCTCTCAAGGCCGAAATTCTTCGAGCAGAGGAGAACTTCTTGGCCGAGGTCCCCCCTAAGGTTTTAGGGATTCCAGACTTCGGGTGAGCACCTGAGGCATGCCCATGCCCGTGGCATGCAAGGATACGGGTGGGTGAGTGATCTATGTCTCGATGCACTGATGATAACACGTGCTTTCGTGCAGGGTTTGCACAGTGCACGACGGGCCATGCCGTACATCCAGACTTGCTTCAGTCCAGATTGCAGTTGTCCGCACATCGCATAGCAGGTGGAGCAGAGGCTGGCGGCTGCGCAGATTGGGCCGACAGGTGGTGGCCCCGGACTTAAGGCCACAAGCACACTCCGCGCCGTGCCATCTTTTCCTTCTTGAGGTGTGCCTCAGCGGGCGACCGACCTTCAGGTCATGGTGGCTTGGCTTCAGTTCCCCTCTGTGCCAGTCTGTCCTAGGCTTGGGGTCCGAAGGATTTCGCCTAGGTGCGCCACACTGCGTCCTTCGAGGAAGGCACAGTGGACGGGCCTCCCTCTCAGCACAACGCGATATAAAGCGGCTCGAACTTTGCTTCGAACGATTTCCCATGTTGTGTCCGAGGCATGCCACTGCATCCACCATGGTGCCGGCAACCACCATGTATGCAACTGGCACCACAGGCGATACAGAGGTTCGTGCGTCTTGAGCCCTTCATTCTCCGCCGTGCTCTCAGGCAACGGCTTCAGCTCTGCTTGCGCCTTATGAGAGACCCCGACACGAAGTCTTTCTTTTTGTTCGGAGGAGTTCGGGCAAGGACCACATTGAGGGAGTGTGAGGACTCGATTCTAGCCTCTGTGCAAAAGGGAGCGACTGAGGCCATGCCCACCGAATCGCAGTGGGCCGGGAGCTCGGTCAGCTCTGCAGGATGGTTTCTGTACATCACACGAAGCCGTTGACCGAGAAGATCAATGCTTCCGAGCCTCGAAGAACATCCCAGGCGGCCTTCGACAGAACGCACCCGGAGCTTCCAAAGGACGAGGCCAGGTGAAGTTGGAAGCCCCAAGAAATTCCCCAGAACACAGTGCAGCAACACAATGCACAAGACGATACCGGCAACTCAAGATACCATACATGCCGTGTGAAACGACAGGCTTCAGCAACAGCACGTCCTTCCAACACGCGAACTGCTAAAGTGTTTGATGTAGCTGTTGTTCTGCTGTTGCTTTTTGGTCAGTTGTCTTGCTCAGAATCAGGTTCTTACTGGTTTTGAGTTGGTTTGAGATTCCAGCGGCACCAGCAAGGTCCAGCAAGCGGTTGCTGCGACTTTCGAGGCAGGGTTATGGTGCTCACCATGCTGCCTGGCGCTTCGGATGCGCGACGAGCATTCTCAAGGCCATCGACACCAACAAAGACGGCATCATGTCAAAGGAGGCCTGCTGCAAAGTGCTGTGCTGCTGAGTCATCACACGAAAGTTCGCTGCGTCTCTCGCACGCAATGTAATTTTTGCAGGAGTTCGAGAATTTCGTCGCCAGAGCGGCTGAGGCAAGTATCAACGACTCAACCTTCTGAAAAAGTAAGATGACATGAAACCCTGATGCCGAATCGCGAATCTTGGCCAGTGGGCATTGCAGATGGCAGCAAGTATTTTGTTGAAGTTGTGGCGAAGTGCCCTAAATGTCCCGGAGAACACGGTGAAGCTTCCTGCTACGAGTTCGTAAATCTTCGCAGTTCGCCGAAGCAGTGAGTGCAAGGCCACCTCAAGCAGATCTGCCTGACTAACAAAAACGATGATCTCCATAAGTCAGAAAACCTCAGGCGCCAAAGCCCGGCCCGCCGGCAGTGGAGACGGCACCGACCTTACTTGTAGCTTCTAATATCAATGAGTCTTAATCTCGTCCGTCTCAGTACATGTAGGAGAAGACAGACGCAAAACGACCGGCCTAGTAATGGTTCCCAACTAGGTGCGCAGCTTTGCATTTCAGCCTTGCCGAGGCCAAGCCCGCGGATTCCATGGAGGCCACGGGTATGGAGAAGTTTCTTATTGCGATTCGGAAACGGCGAACTGGTAAGGAGGAGCTGATTCCAAAGCTCTTGCTGGATCCGTATGCTGGGCACTCAGGGCTGAGATGGTTTATGGCCTGCACATGTCAGCCTCAGCCAGTGGACACCAGCCGAGGCTATGGATGATGGTTTCGGCACTAGCCCCATTCAGAGTGCTGTGTCGGCGCCTCGGGTAGGCTACTCCTGCGGCCCATGACGGCCGCGAATCACAACCACCGGCCACGAGCAACGTCGCACTTCTTAAAGTGTACGTGTCGCCTCCCACGGAAATGTCTACAAAACTTTTTTGCACCCGCTCGTGACACCCAGTCACCCTCTTCGAACTGTGGGATGACTGAAGGTCTGACGCGCGACTTTGCAAGGACCGCGTTCGACTGTCGTGCATCCTTCCTGCTGGCTTGTCACGATGCCTTCTGCACGAGTTTGGTTCATTTGGCTTCTGAAAAATGTTGATCTTCCGGCTACCGCGAAAGAGAGGGCTCAGGCCCGAGACCGCCCACCCGCGGCATCCTGCAGTCCCTGCCCCTGCTTTTGCCAGTGTATCACAGAATGGGACCGGGAAGGAGCGAGAAGCTGCCGTGGCCGCAGCCAAGCGCCGAGCAGCCAAGGCGGCAATTGCTGCACGTGCGATGTGCAACTCCTTGCAGGGTAGGTCGTGGGTGCAACTCATGGGGTGTTATGGAACCGGTTAGGCTTGTGTGCGATTGAGCTTGCAAGGCCGCAGCGACGCAGATCACGGACTTCATCGTGGATCCATACGTGCCCTGGAATTCATGCAGCAGGGGGGTGGAGTAGTAGTAGTTTAGTAGTTGATGGTAACAGCTTGCCAGGACAGCACATCACGGTAAATGCTGCAGGCGCTGGAGGATGGCAGCGGCACTAGCCCCATGCAGAGTGCAGTGTCGGCTGCTCAGCTTGTAGGGCAGGGATATGTACAGGTTTGCACTGGCTTGTGGGCGGCAGAAGCAAAATGAGGCAGTTGCCTCTGGAACAGCTACCGTATGTCTCGTGGGTGATCGATACAATCTGCAATGCCAGCATCAGTTGAATCGGGTAGAGTGTCAAGCCTTTCACAGCACATCCCGGCGGCTAGGTCCGAGTCACGGCTTGCAGAAGCGGGGCACCTGGAAATTCGATTTGGTGCGTCTGAAGCTAACCCAACCTATGTAAATCTGCTCCCCAGCCACACTGGCGACATAGATAAAACCATAGAAAGTAAGTGAGTCTTTCGTCCCTCGGAGATCGGTCTCTGACGGAGCTTTCGCGTCGGTCTGCATGTCAACAAGATATTCCGAAGATCCTTGTTCTCGTGTACCATAGCAGACGCGGATGGTTCGGAGTGACAGATGCCGTTGCAGACAAACAGCTGTGCTACCACAACGACCGGAGCAGCCTGTAACCCGACATCTGAACCATATTGAACCTCTGCCCTGCAAAGGCGATGGGGTGGCAAGTCCTAATGGACAGGGGGTCGTTGCGAACCAGAGCGGCTGCAACACAACGAACACTTCACGCTCGATTCACTCATACATGGTCGAGAGTTTATTTACGTTTGGTTGGCCAAGGAGCGTGAGCAGGCGCTGATTTCCACAATCAGGCGGTCGGTAGAGGAGTTTTGGTAGAAGCTGATGCTCATGAGTTGCCGTGCCTGTAGCTCTTGTGTGCGCATGCACGTTTGCAGGAGGAGTTTACCAAGGCAGACACGAACAATGATGGTGCACGCTCCTCGTATTCTGCTTCGCCTGCGTGGGCGAGGCTGCAAATTGCAGAGCATGTCAAGGTGGTCTCTGCAGAGGAGTTTGCGGCCTGGGCCCATCCCCATTCGTCCTCCGAGGTGCGACCTGTCCGTTCTGCATGATCTGCATGAGCCATGCCAGTGAGCGGCAGTGCATCTTTGGAATGCCATGGTCGGTAAAGCCACAGCTCTGCATGGAACAGCCACGGCACAGGCGCAGCCTGAAGAGGTTGCAGCCGTGGCAGCCTCCTTTGAGGCCGATATGGACATGCTGAGTAGGCTTTCGAATCCCAGATCTGAACCTTCTGTAGGCTATCGACAGCAACCATGACGGGGTCCTGTCGAAGGAGGCCTCCCACCATGTCTTAGTGTCTTACCCACTGTTGGGCCATCGATGAGAACTAGGCAAAGGACAGGTTCAAGTATATTATACATTGTGCAGCGTCCCCCAAAACCTACCACAGGACTACTTGATCGAACTTTGCCACGGTCCATCATCGAAATGGTGTTCATGCCCTACCCCTCTCTGTTTGCTGCACTCGCTCCTCCCTCTCTCCCTCTCTCTCTCTGTCTCTCTCTCTCTCTCTGTCTCTCTCTCTCTCTCTCTCGCTCCTGTCTCCCTCCTCTCTCCCATCGGAGAGTGATTCGGTGAGAGTGATCTTTGAAAGCATCTAGAGTGGTCTAAGTCTAAGACTAGAAATAACACACCCTAGCTCGCAGTGTCGCAATGGACAAGCACAAACAGCAGCAAACATTCGTGCACCAGAAAAGGACAAGAAGCAGCAGCAGCAGCAGCAGCAGCAGCAGCACATCAGAAAACCACAAACAGGACCACAGAATAGTTTGAACCAGAACAGGCAGGAATGGCAGCCCATAACTTGCACGAGAAAGCGAGTACAGTCTGCACCAGAAAAGCAGCGGAAATTTTTGCATCTCCTAAACAGCACCCCAATAGCTCCAGGACACCAAGCCGCCCCTAAACCCCTCAAAGCCGGTCTGCTCGCTCGCTGCCGGCTTTGCCCTTTGCCGCCCAACCTCATGCAGTATTCACACCCTCCGCGGACTCTGTGTTCAACTTTTTGTGGGTGTGCTTGTGGTGACTATAAGTGGGTTGGGGCCCGCCGTACCCCTGCAGTCTGCCTTCCATTGCAGGAGGGCACAGCCATTCAAGTGAGTCGCCGAGCGTGTGTCCTGCTATGATTCAGGAGTTTGAGAACCACTTCGTCACGGAGGCAGGATGCTCTGGTTCGTCATGGTTCGTCCTGCCTTGGACGATGGTCTTTTGCTGGCGTGCCAGGCCTTCCTGCAAGTAGAGTTGGCCAATGTCATGCAGGCAACAGAGCTAAAGAGGGGACAGATGATGATTGACGGGTTCTGCGACCCTTCACCACTTCACTTCACTGTAAGACCAAAGCAGCCTTGTCGCAGGCCGCGACCAGAGGAGCCGCGAGCCGCGCGACGAGCTCTCTAGCAGGCAACGGCGCGCCCCATGAAACTGGCTGAGAGTTCAGACTGCCGGTTCATGTCATTTCTTGGGTGCTTAAACGAAGCCCTCTGCTCACCTAGTCGTCGTGTCTGTAAGCGCTGCCCCTGTTGTACAGCCGCAGAGCAGCCTCTGTTGCCTTGCAATTGCAAGGGTGATCGCACCCATAGGCAGTCAATCAATCAACCATTCAATCAAACAGTCAGGGTTTTGCCGAGGCAGTTGCTGACATGAAAGATACCCTTTGTGTTGCGGTTGGCTTTGAGCCATGCCACAGCATACCCCAAACAGTTGCCAAAGGAACATGCAACAAGTTCAAGTGTCCGTTCCATTTTGAAGGGTTGCTTGTGCCCTGATGTGTCCAATGCAGCCTCGAGGAAGGGCTTTTGGGCTACACTACAAGCTGCGTTAGCTGCATCCAGAGATCGCAGCTGATTTGCTCTAGTTTGGGATCTAGTTTGGGATTCAGGCTTCATCCGAATGATCTATGTATCAGCATGTCTTGCTAGCACGAACGGGATTGGAGGCAGCGCCGCAGAACAGGGCTCAGATGGCAGCATGACGGCCACGAGCTCGGAAGGAGCAGAGCTGCTGCGAGTCTGCTGTGCTTCGATTCTCGGGCGTCCGACAGCTCCAGGTCGCTGAGCAGCTTGCAGCCGCTGCTGTTGCAGCGGTTGACGCGGCTGTTGCCGCTCCGCCATCAACGGCGGCTGCGACGGAGGTCTCAGAGGACTTGCAATCGGAATGCATGGGACTGGCCAGATAACAGACCACCAAGCTACATGACATGGGCAAGGACGATGCCTTTGCACTCCCACCACTGGCCGCCGCCCTTGCGAAAGCACGTGTTCGGCAGCAAATCGTGGGTCCGCACCGAGTATACGACGAGTAGGTAGGAGTCGGGAACATGAAACGCTGCACAGCATTGTATGGCCCATGCTGCCCCGCTGCAGCGAGGTTGTTAGTTTCGCAGAGATGGGGGCGACGCCAACAGTGGTCGGGGAACCAAGGTTTACTTGTGCACAGTGTGGCACGTTCCCGAACCACGACGCAGAAGCTGTGCTGGTGCTAACAGTGCTTATGCATGAAGTGCAACCGATCTCGGACAAGTCCTCTTCCGGCACTAGCTGCAGGTCTCCATCGAATCAGCTGGTGAGCGCGATGTTGCCGTGCCTGTCGCCGAGGCAGCGACAGAGGGCGGAAAAGGGTTGTAGGCAAGAGCCTGCCCATGCCGGCGCCAGCTTCTCTGAGGTGGCTAAAGCTGCTGAGATTGGGGCCAATGCACCAACAGTGGTCGGGGAACCAAGGTTTACTTGTGCAGATTTTGGCACGCTCTCGGAACATCTAGAATCTCTACGGGTGCCAACAGCACATAGGGGCGAAGCGCAACAGCTTCATCTTCAGTTCTCGATCAATATCGGTTCCCGGGGCTAGCTGCAGGTCTCCATCGAATCAGCTGGTGAGGGCGACGCTGTGGTTCCCGTCGCCGAGGCAGCGACAGCCAGCTCGGAAAAGCGTTCTGGCAAGAGCCTGCGCATGCATGCCCATGCCGCCGTGCTTTCACTAAGGTAGCTAAAGCCGCTGAGATTGGGGCGAATGCCCCAACAGTGGTCGGGGAACCGAGATTTACCTGTGCGCATTGTGGCAGATGTCTACCCAATACTCGTAGCTTCGAAAGAAGCTTTTGCACTCACTATCTCTCGCCGCTCGGGGATACCTAGACAAGCGCAAGCTACAGCATTCTGCCTCTTCAGTTCTGATTCGATATCGATCCAGTCCCGTTCCTTCACTGGCTGCAGGTTTCCATAGAATCCTCTGGTGAGCGCGATGCTGTCGCACACGTTGTGGAGGCAGCGCCAAAGCATTCTAGTGAAGTGCCTGCTCACACGTGCCACGCTACGCGCAGGTGGCTAGAACGGCAGAGATGGGGGCAACCCCGACGGTGGTGGGGAGCCAAGAACAGTGAGTATTGCGATTCCGATCCGTAAGCAGAGGAAGCCCCACTTTCGCTGGCAGTACCTGGGAAATGTAATGGCTCCGCATCTATGGGTATGAATCACGCAGCAAAACTAGGTGCTTGATTCGTTGTGCATTTACGTCAGTCTGCATAGTAATCTGTGGCAAAACTCTCAACTAACGTGTTCAGAGCATGTTTGGCTGACTTTGGTTTGGTTCGCAAGCTGGCTTCAGGTCTCCCTCGAATCTGCAGGCGACCGGGGTATGGCGCCTGTGGTCGAGGCAGCGAAACTTGAAAATAGCACAGAAGAGCGATCTTTCAGTGGTTAAGGCCGGCTTTGAGAGTTTCGACAGAGTCAGGTGCGGACTCCTTCCGCATCGTCCGGGCCGGATGATGCAAAGGAACTTGGGGCCGAGATCGCTGCCAAGGACTTGCTGCAAGGCTTTAGCAATGATTGCCAGTTCCTTCATCGGCTACCGACTGCGAGTTTGAAAATGCTCCGACATGCTGCCCAGGTCGCTTTCGCCCCCCCACCTCAGCAGCAAAGCCCTGCAGTCTAAATCATCACTTGGACTGCGACCTCAACGCGAAGCACCGCAACACACACAAGACAAGAACACTAACATCCAGTTGGACTGCTACAGCCACCGAGCCTGAGGACTTGGTGCTGGACATCACTGCCGACAAGGATTGGGGTACCCAGAGATTGCCTTTCCCTCTCCAGTCATCGTGCCCTCTTGTGTTGGCGGAGGGAAGGGGCAATCATTGTCGCTGCAGCTGCTATCAGGCATAAGGCTTCGTCATGAAACATTGCTGATCGGGTTGGTCTTCGAAGCCTTTCCGGCGTCCCTCCGTCATGAAATGCAAGGAACTCGTGCATCCAAACTCTTCACACCACACGGAACGGTCCAGAAGCTTGAATTGTTGAACGCCCTCCAGGAACGTGAAACCTCATCATCGTCATTCATCATCAGCACCAAAACAGTCCCATCTGCACCGTCATTCTTAATTTCCATCACCCATCACCATCATGATCATTGCATGAGCATCTTGGCAAGACGGTTGGTGCAAATCAAGAAGGACAGTTGAAACTCGACTGAGCCAGGAGTCCTTGCCGGCGGATGTAACCAACGCCTTGAAGGCAAAGCTTTACACCGTCTCTTCTGCCACGACTTTGCCCATCTTTGCACTCGAGATGGGGTCAGCAAGCTGTATTTCCGCCAGATGTTCCATAAAGGGCCCAAGTCCGTACGGAAAGGCATGCCAGTCTCAATGAAAACATACCATCAGAAATTGTACGGAAAGGACTGCAAAGGCAATCGAGTGCAACGCCTTGCCGCCCCAAAATGCTTGAGGAAACGTAAAGCCTGCCTCCAGACCTGTGCAGGCAGCGACCACAGGAGCAGCGAGCTCTGTGACAGGCTCCATAGAAGGCAAGCCTGCCGTCAGTCCATGTCACCACTGCTCCTAGTTCAAGCCTGGTCGCAGAAAGTCCTGTAGCCGAGTTAGAGTGCTTGTTCTCTAGGCACCATCGGCACCGCTGCACAAGGGTCGGACAGCAAGAAGGCCGCGAGCCAAGAGCATTTGGCTGTTCGAGGCTCCGAGGCTGTCTAAGTCTATGTTCCATGTCGGCATGAGGATAGCAGATGCGAGGCTGGACAATGACGACGACGGACAGAACAATCACAGCGTGATGCTAATGATGGCTATGGTGATGGATGATGGAGCTGGGGATGATGATTCTCATGAGTAGTCGTGCTGTCATCGTCGTCATAATCATCATTATCGAAGCCATCATCATCGTGGTGGCGATCTCGTCCCAGTCATTGTGCCATCAAAGTCCTTATGGTTTAGATTTGGTTCGGGGGTCCAGCGGCAGAATCTACAAGGTCCAACAAGCGGTGGTTGCCGCGACGTTCGAGGCAGGGTTATGGTGCTCATCATGCTGCCTGGCGCTTCGGATGCCATTCTCAAGGCCATCGACACCAACAAAGACGGTGTCGTGTCAAAGGAGGCCTGCTGCAAAGTGCTGTGCTGGTGAGTCATCACGAATAGTTCTGTGCGCCCTCTCGCATGCAATGTGTTTCCAGGAGTTCGATAATTTCGTCGCCAGAGCTGCTGAGGCAAGTGTGAATGACTGGACCGTCTGGCAACAGTAAGATGACATGAAATCCTGATGCCGAGTCGCGAATCTTGCCCAGTGCATGTTGCAGGTGGCAGCAAGTGTGTGGTTGCAGTTATGTTGCTTTGCATAGCAAAAGAGCACAGTTTGTTCTGTGGTCTGCATGTCGGCCCTGGTGCTTCTTACGCTAAGTGTCCAGGACGACAAGGTGAAGCTTCCTGCTACGAGTTTTCAAATCTTATCAGTTTGCAAAACGAGTGATGAGCAGAAACGATCCGACACAGCTCCGTCCCCCAACCGCGCGTGTATCTCAACGCCTCCATGGCCACGGCAACCGTGCAGGAGCCAAGTCACGCCGAGCCGGTGAACCAGGCACCCCAGCACTCTTGTCCTATGTATGGCGAAGATCTTAGCAGCTTGCTTCACCACGCCTGTGAGCACACAAACACAGCCTTGATGCAGGCCGCGGACGTGTGTCATTCTGAAGCTTTGCCCCAAGAAGGTTCCTGAAGCTGTCTGCGCAGGCTGCGGAGCCTGAAGCACCGGAGGAAGAAGACGAGGCCTGGTGCAGTGCTTTGCCGAGAGTTTCGGCCGCCAAGTGCCTGAAGGACCCAGAGGCCATTCAGGAACGGGTCCACGAGGCACCTGTTGCGCAGGCGAGACGCAGGGTGACGACAGTTGCAGTGAGGTCCTCGAGGAAAATAGCAGACTTCGGTCCGAGAACGTGGCTTTGCGAGCCCTTGACTCAGAAGTCTGCCTGCCGAGTGATACCGATACGGCATCTTGCAAAGATATCTCCGCTGTACCTCAGCCGCGGCAATGGTGCCTCTTGTGGTTCTACTTGTGCATCGCCATAGAACATTCGGAGAAAAACGCTCGGCTGTTTCTTTGCCTCAGGTGGAACTGGATGCCCTCCTGGCCATGGCTGTCGTGGAGACCCCAGATGCCCTAGCTTTTGGCTTCGTGCGGTTTTGTCATTGCGTCCTTGGCTGACTTGCACCAGCTCCTGTTCAGACGCCGGAAGCGACGCCGCCCGGGACTGCGAAATGAGATTCGCACAGATCGCTGCATCTTGCAGGCATGGCGGCTGTGGGAGATGTGGCCGTTGCATATCATTTCGCAACAACTTCAGGCCGTCTATGAGCCCACAACTTTCCACGCTCCCACGGCCATCGCTCTTGTCAGGGACGAGAACTGGAGACTACAGTATCAGTCATAGCTGTAAAGCCTCCGCATCGCGCGTAGCGACTACCACAGATTTCATCTAAGCAATCAAAACTCTGACGCACATCGCGCAGACCGAGCCTGTCTGAAGGACGGTTCGTGGTTTCACGTCGCCCACAAACTCGGGCTGCATGGCCTCAGAGTCACACTGGGGCTTTTCAGAGCTCTGGCTGTAGACGTGCTGACGGCAGCAAGCTCAGTCGAAGATCAGGGATATGAAACTATCTTTCCTTTTTGCAACGGGAAATCTGTGCACGTGCATCGCAGCAATTTACTGGCTTGTGGCTTGGCTGTCTCGTCCAAAGGTAACTAGGCCGAACTACGGTGCCGGTGCTTTTCCCAGTGCTGCCAAAGGTGGCTGCAGATGGACCGCCAATTCGCAATTCCATCAACAGCATATCCAATCTTGGTTTGAGAAGATGCGACATTCGGGTTACACATGCATAAGGGAGCTGGTGTCAGTCTGAAGGACATCCTGGCAATGATTGACAAGTTTCACCTGTGTAAAAGCGGGAGCAGAAGAAGAAGATGAAGGTAAGGATTTGGAGGAGAAGGAGTTTGACGGATGCGTCGCCTGTCGGCTCGCAGCTGTATGGGTTCACACCTTCAAACATGCTTGCCCCTCGATTGTTCACGAATGTGCATGCCTGATATCAGCACGTACGGTTGGGTTCCAAGTTGCGCTCTTCAGGGCGGTTGAAGCCGAAGCAGTCTCCTCTGCTTCAGCAACGGAACCTGCAAGCCTGCATGAGCTCGGATGCTGATGGTGCCTCGGCCTTACTGTTCTTGTGCTTCTTTGCCTTTTGGAGAGCCCAGGGACCTAACAGAAGGGGAGCAGCAGCATGCAGGGCTGTGAAGAAGAGTGCTGGTTTGTTCCCCGGAAGTTGCTGCCGCAACGCATCCTGCCATGCATGCTGCAGCATTTGCTGGATTAAGCGGCAGGGTGAGCCGGAATCGGCTACAACATGTGTCAACCCTGGGAGAGCCGGCATGAATAGGATGCAGTAGATCTCTTGAAAATCGTCGAGTCAGGTGGTATTGACTGTTAGTGGAGAATCGATCCAGACCGGTTGCAACATGCAGAATGGCATCTTCACTTGTGAACGTGAACTCCCCGTTTCCTGTCTTAGGTTGTGCCATAGCGCCGCCATGTTTTCCCGTCCATGGCTGCTGCTTTTGCCGACTGCAGTGCTTGCGGCCTCTGCTCCTCGGCTCACTTTTGCTCTGTGTGAAAATCTCCGTCCTTTGCTTTGGCTCCGCCCCCGCCTCGCAGGACAGCGACCATTCGGCACATTCCCATCCGCATGAGGCTCTCTTGCCGCGTGGCCGCGGACACGAAATCACTCCTGAACATGAACTTCAAAACGACTGTGCATCAGAGATTTGCCGAGGTTTCCTTTCTTCGCAATGCTGATCGGCATCAGGGCTGCGATTTGCTCTCGATGCAGTTAGCCAGCCAAGAGCCGTCCCAAGCCTGCATCTTGAAGTGGCGGTCAGGTATGTGTATCACACATCTTGGTTCACGCTGTCCAGTTGTGGCTTCGATACCGTACACCGTGTCGCTCCTGCATCTCGGCTTCGCTGCATTACTCCGGTGCCGTGAAATTTCCACTCTGCACAAGGATCGCTGGAGTCCTGCTTGGAGCCATGCACATCGAGAGCTCTCAAGGCTTGGCGCAGCAAACGAGTCACCCGTAGCTGGTCCGGACTGAATTGACTCTATGCGGCCGCTTGCCCGAAAGCTTTCGAAAACTAGACCCTAGGCATTACTGCGACTGCGCTGTGGACAAAGGTTTCGCAGTACACCAGCAAGCCAGTACAAGCGTCAACACCGACCGGATGCATTTCAAGCATACTCGTGGTGCATGTGCCGAGTATTCTACTTAACTTGGATTGAACATGCAGCCCCGGGGTTCAGGGTGTTTAAAGTTTAGAGTTCATGGAGTTGATCATCTGGGTTGAAAGAACTTGAAAGAACCGCCCAATTTCCTCGTTGCGCGAGAGAGCCAAATCTTCGATGCTCCTGGGACTTTACAAGGGCGTGTGGTGTTTGCATACTCATGGTTCTCTTACCAATCTGTTTGACTAGTAGCTCCCAGTTTGATCCGGTTTCCTCCACTGCCCACGGCCTTCAGTCAATTCAGGCCTGGGCACGCTGTCGAGGAGCATCGCCCTCTGGATGGACATCGAGCCTCGAATGGACTTTGTTCACCAAGCCCTCCAGATCGTGACTGATGCTCATGACAAAACCCGGAGCTGTGCCGGGTTCTGTCCGGAAGCTGCCCGGGACCTCTGCCGAGGACCCACATGTGATCTTGTACTCTTTCCTGCCTGTGCTGCTCTTCGGAGATGCATTGTCCATTGCACCTCAGCGAAAACACAAAGGCCTTGCTGTAATTGTTCAACTTTGTTGCCTTTCGAAAGCATGACATGCCATGACATGCCGTACATGGGTACTCGTTCCCCAAGCGAGTTGCGATACGCTATGCAGGAAAGCCCGTTCTGCCAGTTGAGCCATCGGGAAACATCCGTTCAACCGAGGTATGGCATGATTTCCGTCGGACCGCCATGCAATGCGCAGTGTTGGCAGGCTTTGGAGACAGAAAGCGGGAACATGGCGGGCATAGACATCTCGAGCTCGGACCAGCAGAAGTACACAAGACTCTTAGATACCCACCGCACCCCAACCTGATATACGATTACGCAACTGCTCATTATCACTACGTTTCATAAAACTCTTGTGTGAGTTGCCATAATTTGTGTAGAGAAGTTGTGATAGCTCTGCCCGTAGTCCCTTTCTTGAAGAGAATGAAGAGAGAAGACTTCTGCTCGTTCCTCAGTAAGGGATGCTGAAACTGTTGCACGCATCATTATCTTGTAGCTGAGATGACCTCTCTTACTTCTTGTTGAGGGATAAGGCGACTTCTTCAGTGGTGTTGCAACGACACGAAACTATCGTATTTCTTGGTGAATAGTGCAGGACCCCTCTTATTGCTCGACCAGAGATAATGCAGTTGTCATGCTGCGTATTCAAGCTATTGTACCTGGCTTCTTATCAAAAATGCAGCTGCATGCATGCGTACGTACATATGCACATACTGGGCACATATGCTACGTGCGTCCATAGGTACATCCATGCAACCTTACATCCAAGCAATGCATGTAACTGACAGCTGGCACAAGACGCAGAGCGACATTCGGTCACTTGCCGTAGTTCCAGACTCGGTCTGGAAGTGTGCAGAGTTTGATCAGGCCCTGGCGTGCTCATCGGAACCGGACTCATGTTCATCGTCTCGAAGTACATTTTTCCCTACGGCCGCGGACTCAGCATGTCTTAATTTCGGAATGCAGCAAACCTCTTGCCAAATACCACGCCAAGAGATAGGCAGCAGTGCAGTCGAGTTGTGGCGGCTCTTGCATCAAAGCTCCAGTTTGCAAACCTTGCACTGTAATTACAAAGAACATAAAGAAGTCCTTGAAACCCTTTTGCCTAAGTTCTGACCAAGGCTGGGGAGACTATGAGTGTGCTGCCTTTGCAAGTGTGCTTGCTGCTACGGATCCCGTGGCTGTGGTAGGTCTCCTGAAGGCCAGGAGTGTCAGCAACTTTGGATTGGATGCGTGGGTGTCTCACAAATGCAAGAGCACCCGACAGCATGCAAGGGCGAGCGGCGTGTCAGAGTATGTGACCTCTGCCAGGAGATGGGGGCTAGCCGCGTTCTCACCATGCAAATAGCAGGAGAGTCCTTGCTGAACGCTCCTTCGCTGCACTGTACGCCTTCGGTGCTTCACCACGTGTGTTGTGCTCTGCTTGAATGAGGATGGTGTGGCCATTGTCGTCTGGCTTGTCTTCTTCGACTTCATGAAAGGCTGCAATGGCTGGCAATTGACATGTAGGCAATTTACGGCTTCCGGCTCAAATCATCACCCTCCAGCCCAGTTCACTGACGGTCCTGATACCTGTCAGAATGAGGGTGACAAGCGAGCCCGCAGAAGTCACCACGGGCTCCAGTCTAACACCGCGGGATCCAGGTTCCTCAACGGGTGTGGAGTGTGGAGGGCGATAGTCTGCCAAGACGCCCCTGGCCTGTGGCTTTCGGTGAAGTACTTGGGTAACTCTGGCAGTGTCTTCGAGAGGAGCGTAAGGGGTGCCTGTACCAAACATTCGAATGAGCGTGCAGTGCCTGGTCGAGTGAGAGCAAGACAAGACCGTTGTGTTGCAGATGTGAGATGTACTCGTCTCCGCCGGGGGCAGGAAATCAAGCAGATGGCGGTGCCATCATAGGATCATTCCTGCGTGCCTCAGCTTGAAGCCCCTCGGGGTTTGACTTGCCACAGATTTCTGAACAGTTCCGGAGCAAGCGCAGCTCACACAGAGAGGGCTAGCACAGATTCTGACCACGCATGACGAAGCTAGTTGAAATGCTGCTTTCGCCTGGAAGGGCCGTCCTGTTCCCACAATTAGACCATCGAATGCAATAGGCGGAGAGAAGCTCAAGCATAAGGGCTGCGTCCATGGGGGTTGAGTTCGAGTCAGAGCCCATTGTCGCTCCGAAGCTTCGGCCAAGCAGAGTTTTACGTGCCCTCTGAGGCCTAGCAGCCGGTGGCACAGCCTTCGGAGTCTTCTGCGGAGTAGTGGGCGCACGCTTCTTCGGCGGCAGTGGACTCACTGACCTGACACCCTCCCCCGCTCATCCAAACTCCGCCAGGTTGGGCGTCGCTTGCATCCGATCGTTTGGTCCACACGGACGCCTTGGTGCAGGCAGGGCCAAGTGAATCATGAGCAGGTTTGAGGGTTTCCACGATGTCCCCGCAGTGACAGAGTCAAGTCTGATTGGCTCGAGGTCAGCCTGACCATCACTGCTGCCTACCTGGCGTTCTTTATTGGGGTGGCTAGGCGTCTCAAAGATAGTGACTGGATAGTGCTTTCCCTCCGAATCCCGGGCAGAGGCATTTCGTGTCCATCAAACCTGCAGCTGCAATAGGCCCAGGCTGCAATTGGCCCCCACAGCACGGCATCGAACCAACCGGCGTGTATTGTAGGAAGCCCAAAGCAACTGCTTGTGTGCATTTTTCGCAAGCACAACAACCAAGGAGAACGAGCTGAAAGTCAGCGGGGTTCTGGCGGCCATTTTCGCGGCATTGATGATGAGCAAATTTGCCACGCCTTTGGTCTGCCACAAGGAGCGTCGCAAGTGTCAGGGGCCAATGCGTACTCTTTTTGGCCAGGATCCTGCTTGGCATTCTGTCACATCTAGACAGACTGTCGCTTGACGCCACAGTGAGTAGACCTACACCGGTCTTGCCACTTGCGAAAGAGAAATCACGTCATGACAGATGCAGACGGGTAGTCACAGTCTGAAAAGGCTTAGTTCTATATGTAACTCCAGTCCTCTTTGAAGATCGCAGGAGGGTATGCTCGCGGTGTGGCACACCATGGAGTACTTCGGGAACACTGTCCTCTTCGTCCTCTGTGGGCTCTTTGCATATGAGTCGTGCTCGAAGGTGGCCTGGGCAGACTTCGGTTGGCTACTTCTTCTCTACATTCTGGCGACCCTGGCAAGAGGGTTCATGGTCGCAGTCCTCTGGCCGGCCGTAAACTTGGTCGGTGGCTCCGATGTCACGCTTCTTGCCGGCAAAGCAGGACTTAGCTGTCAGGACCGCTGCACCGACAATTGATAAACTCGCAACACAAGCTCCGCTCTCGACTTAGGAAGACAACCTGGAAGGAATGCGCCGCTCGAAGCCCAGCCTGGTTGTCTATTAAACAGATTGAACTCGCAGTATCTTCGTAGCCAGAGCTAGAAATGGCTTTCTAGTTGTAGCTAGGCTCTTCCGCCAGGAAGTGACGTGCAGGCCCAACTCTAAGCGCCCCGCCCTTTCGCATGACGAATGTTAGAACATAGGGAAGTCATTTGGATCGATGAAGCTGCGACGGTCGTCGTTTTCGTCGACCATCATGACTTTCGACGCGATACGCATCACAAAGCTCATGACCAACATCAACACAAAGCTAGAGCCATCATCACCATCATCATCGTCATTCATGAACCAACCAGTCGGTCCTCTCATCCTCATCATCCTCCTACTTTCCATCATCATCATCATCATCACCACAAGGTCGCTTTACATCAGTGTCCTACTCCCTTCACCTCACCGACTTCCTTGCCTCGCAACCATTGATGTTGTAGCCACCACCGCCAGCTATTGACCTTTGGCACCTTTCTTCGATCCGTGCTGTGGTCATCAGCTTAGACAGTCATCAACATCAACACCATCATCATCATCAGCAGCAGCACCTTCATCGTCTCCTTCATCGTGCTTGTCTTTTCCATTCACCACACAGTGTCCAGCCATGCACGGACGCTTTGCGACCACAACTCGAAAACAGACAATTCGTCTGGCATGAAGCTGTACTGCATACATTTTCATAATCGGGAGAAGTATCCCGCCGCTAACCGCAAAGTTGGCACTTGGAAATTTACACTACCTCCGCCACGAATGAACAGAGAGGCAACATGTGCTGGCATTAACAAAAGTACGACACTGAGCCGTCAGATCGAGTCATCGCATGAAAATTCTGTGGCCTCAAGACTGCCACCGAAAGCGATGATCCATGCCACTGAAAGACATAGCCTGTGTTCAAAATGACTGGGAGGGAAACCTGGAAAAGGAGGATGCGAAATAGACTTGCGTTTTCTCGCAAAATGATTCCAATGCACGCCCGAATCCCGGTCTGTTTCGGGACAAGCTTCTAGAGACATTGTGCTGGAAAAGGAGAGATGCGAAATGGACTCGCGTTTTCCGGCAGAAAGCTTCCAATGCACGCCCGAATCGCGGTCTATTTCGGGACAAGCTTCTAGAAACATTGTGTCTGTACTGCAAGACTCAAAAATCACAGGGAGGGAAACGTAGAAAAGAAACAGACTCGTGTTTTTCCGCAGAAAGCTTCCAACGCACGCCCGAATCCCACTTTATTCTCGGGACAAGTTTCTAGAGACATGGCGCCTGTCCAAAAACCTAGTTTATTTTGATTAGACCAGTAGAAAACACCGGACTGCTTAGTTTCTCTCCAAAAACCTAGTCAATTTTGAGTAAATGCTTAGTTTTTCTCCACAAACTTACTCGTAGTTTATTCTGATTAGACTAGGAGAACACACCGAAGTCCCCAGTTTCTCTCCAAAAACCTAGTTAATGTTGAGAAGACTAGTAGAAAATACCGAACTGCCTAGTTTTTCTGCAAAAACCTAGTTTATTCTGAGTAGACCAGGGAAACACACCGAACCGAGTGCGATTTCTTGATGTGGTTACGAAAATCTTTGTCGCAGTTACGCTTTGTATGGTTTCAGCGTACACTCAAAGGCAATGCTTCAGTGATCATCCTTGCAAAGCCCAAATAGATAACAAGTCGCACGTGCATGTGGCATGAACGAAGAGCTGCATTGTTGTACGATGTTGTACGTCTCTGTCGTCATCTGAATCTGTGAGCGCCATACTTACTCGCCTTCGCAGTAGCAATCAAGTCATGTTCGTCATCGCTACCATGCTGCCGCTGCGTTCAGACGGTTAGTCTGCCAGCGAGCCCGCACTATGCTATCGAGCAAAGTCATCAGCATTATAGTCAACATCATCACCGTTGCCAGCGTCATGACTTTCGAGATCATCGACTCATCGACACCACCATTTTCAGCAGCAGCACCGCCATCATCATTGTCATCACATTTTTCATCGTCAAAATCAGCAGGATTAGCAGCATCATTATTTCCGCAGGCCCTGTTTGCGAGTCGCACTGTGGCCATTGCCCTCACGAGGAACGTCACACCACGAACATCGCTAGTACGAAGGTGGAACTAGATTGATGCCTGTCGGGTAAGCTGTTTCCACTCCGACAAGTGCACCGTAAGGTAACGTGTAAAAACCCTGTCGCAATGCTGAGGTCATGGTTTGGGGAGGGCTACGCGGTGCTGTTGGCCTGGCCCTGGCATTGTCCATGCGAGACATGGTCCGCCAAGCAAACGGTTTCATCGATCATTTTTGTAGCGAGTCATCATGCGCTTCTGTCTGTCTCAGACTCGCGTGCTGATCCCAAGGAAACGAATTGCGAACGCAGGGGAAGACAGAGACGGCAGACCGCATGGTCACTTACCCTGCAGCATGTGCCAGATGTCAAGCCCCAGCGTGCAAGGAAGAGGCAAGCGAGTCTTATGCTGGTGAGTGCAAGATGCGTCATGGTCTACGCTTGCGGTTCTAGCAGGACAGCAGAAATGTGTGTGCCCCGTGTCGTGCAATCTTCACAGTCAGGTATTCTTCGTCTCAGGCTTTGCAGCCCTGACATTGTTGATGAAGCCTGGCATGTTTCTAACGCCCATTGAGGCACTCCAAGACTTTCGAGTTTCGTGCTACAGCTTCTTGCACCTTGCAAATCATGGTTGGAAACCCCAAGCATCCCCAAGCCAAAGCAGCAAAGTCCGATCCCAGAAATGCCACGACCTGTGGAGCACTACTGCAGCGCTTGGAGCTCACCAAGCCTCCGGAGGCCAGAGGCTTGGGCTCGGGTCATCGAGCCCTCCACCATTACGGTTCTGATTTGGGCCTCTCTCTACCGAAACCCCATGTCTTCCTGAGGATCTTCTGGCGATCGAAAGCAGTTTTGTTTAGACGGCATGGTTTCGCTGTGCACTGTTGCTCTGCTTGAAGATGTTCTACCCCTGGTGAACCACTATCCGTGTTGTCTGTCTGCAGCGGGACAACCGCACGCGACGCGTGGTCGCAAAGCATTCAAAGTAAAGTTATCCCCAACAACATAACACCCACATCGCCAGGCACAGGTGGTGATCCTGACAACTTTGCGGAAGGTCTTGCCATTTGGTTGCAGTGATGAGCGGTTCGACTTTATCCAGCACTACTATCCAGTGCCCCCGTCCCAGGGTGTCGGTCTCCAAGAAAGCATTCGAAGATCGGCTGGCAGAGGATGGGCGCTTCAAGGCTGTTCACCAGCCCCTGTTCTGCCCTGGCAATTTTTGAGAGCTGGATATTCATATTCATATTCATATTCATATTCATATTCATATTCCATTATATTATACATATATATATATATATATAATATTGGAGTCCCAAAAAGCCGCAATGGCACCTTCGTCACCCAGGCAAGAACTGGATGCGCTGCTCGAGCATCTCGATGAGGAGCTCGCCCACCACGGTCACCTCGAGAATGAGCATGCGCAGGACTTGCTGCCCGCGCTTTTCTTCAGGTTTTTTCAATTATTGTTACTTGGAGGAATTCGTGCCCCAAGACCACACACAGTTGGTGGGCAAGTCGATGGAAAGTTCTGCGGCTGCAGTCAGACTGTTTCCCACACTATGCTGAAAACGGATCCCTGCGATCAGGTTCCGATGAAATTGCGAATGAGATTACCACAGATGTCGTACCCGAGGCCGAGGACGCATTGTAGGGTCCAGGGTTGGTGTGTGGGGTTTGGTTTCTGCTCTACTTCAGATGCCTGAAGAAGTTCGAGAAGTATTGGCTGCACGCTGCTCACTCGACTGCCGGCGTATGTGTGTGTGCTGACAGGAGCCTTCCGTGGAGATTCTGGCAGAGAAGGTCGCAGAGACAGGCTTTGACCGTGATTTGTAGGCTCCAAAGTAGCATGTTTCAGAGCAATCCTGAGCGACCCTCAACGTCCCTGCGAGGCACCACAGACCAGGAGGCCACATCAGCAGATCCTGCACCGAAGAAGGATGCTGAGAAGAAGGACCTCTTAGACAAGAGGTTGAAAGTTTGACAGAGGGTAAAGCCGGCTGGCTTCCGTGTGCAGGAGGAGCATTGGTGGTGGGGTTTCGAGCAAGTCCAACCTGCAACTTAGTCGCAAGTCGCAACCGTTCGCACAGAGGGGCTCGGAACCAGTTGCGACAGCAGGCATCTGGTGCCATGAACAAGCCTACTGGGCCCTCGTTCTTGGAGAAGCGGCCTCTTGGCCGTACGGTTCTGGTCGGATCACAAGAAAAGGCAGGCATATGCAACACACAAGTACTGGAACAAGGGGGCAGTGTTTCTATGTTGCTCAGGTATGGCGTGGCAACACGGGGCACGCATCAGGACTGTAGTCTCGATCGAAGACACTACCCGCTCACTGCCGTCCAACACCGAATGCCAAGATATACCACGCTAATGTTGTTGTGAGGAGCGTATTGTCTACCGCAAGCTATTCCTCTCCATGCTTCGTGGCTTGGCAGAAAAAGGTAGCGCCAGGGGGAGCAGAAAGAAATGATGATTTGCCTTACACCCTTGCTGCTTTCTGCAGGCGCAGAGTACATGCGCCTCATGGACACTGGGATGCTGCCGCGACGCGCCGAAGGCCTTACGGGGGGGGGGGGGCTTGGGCTTGCGCCGACAGAGTGCGGAACAAAATTGCAGGAGCGGAGCTCCTGCTGGCGAGCATCGATGCGGCGGATGACTTCGCCTCCATCGGCTTGAACGACTGCACCTTTACGGGTTTTCCAGCCCTGTAGACCTGGCCCAAGCCCTGATGCTGTGCCACAAGCTGTCACCGGCGGAGGACTGGAAGATTCTCCAGAGCCAGCTGCTGAAACGTGCCTTCCTCGAGCTGGGAGGGATTGATTGTAGAGAAGATCCAGCCCACTTGGCATTGGCTGAAGCTCGTGTATCTGCAGTTTGTGCGATCAGGCCGTGGGAGCGTCTTGGTCAAGGCAGGGCTCAGAAGCTCCTTTTGCTCGGACATGCGTGGACACTGTCATAGTGCAAGCGTTGTGTAGCGTCTCCGACAGCAACGCCTGCAGCAAGCATGGCACTGCTTTCATGGCAAGACTCTGTTGCGCATGAAGACAATTCCAACGTGCCGACGGGCATCCACATGACACAAGAAAAAAGATCACGCCTACTCCCGGCGAAGGCTCGCGAGTTGCTGTCGCCCTACTTCGCGCGGTTGGGCTGCAATAGATTCCCATCTTGGGAGGGCTGAGACGAGCTTTTGCTTAATAAGCGGCTTAAGCACTCCCCTGCTCAGGTTTGCCCCCGTTCCAACTGTCAGTGGCAACATGGTCTTTGATCTCTTCACCGTCGTGGCATTCATCGATGCACACCACACCGTGCCTCAGGTGGCACTAAGATCTCACGTGGCTTCAGCACGCATCTTCGTAAGTGATAAGCTGAGGTGTGCCACCGGCTTCTGGAGAGCGACTGCCTGAACGGCGATGCACGGGAGGACGTCGTCAAAGAGTCCTCCACGGCCGCTTGCCGCCAAGCTATAGGGACTTTAGGGCCACAGGGATTCTGGAAGCTTGGAAGATGAGCATTCCGCATCGGCCTGAGACACCGGAATCGAGTGCGGCTTGTGGAAGCTCAGGAGTTGGAAGCCGCGCGTGGCCTGGCCTTGCTTTCGGCACAACTCTCTCTCTTGCCTCACCCCCTCCCTCAACACATCAAGAGTTTCTGGTGAAGGATCGGTAGTGGGAAAGAGCTTGCAAAGGGTTGAAAGCTTGGTTCAAAGGCAGTGTTGCTTCGAGACTGTGGACGTTGATGCGGCCTTGACAGAAGTCATGTGGAGTTTGTTCGGGTCGAAACAAGATCGAAGCAAGAGGGCGTTCTTAAAGACTTCTCGAAAAGGCCAACGGCCCGTAAGAGGACGAGCATTGATGCATCTCTCTTCTGTTGCATGATGCGGGTTGCAACCAAGATCAGCTGCTGAAGGAAAACTGCACCTCGGCTGCACACTGGGGAACTCCTCAGCTCAAGCTGTGTAGAGCTGCTAGTACGAAGGCATCGGCGCGAAGCAGATCAGCAAGGCCAGCTTTAGCAGGGACATGAAACGACCGAAATTACCCCGAGCTGGAGCCTGCACAGCAGTCTAACCACGCTGAGTGCCGCTGTTTGGGTCAAAGAAAGTGAGGACTTGAGTGACTGCGATGACGAGATTGAAGTTCCAGTCCTTCTTTGCAGCAGTCCCCGGACCTGGTCAGGTTCGTACGATGCAGCTGGCCACGATGCTTTTCGAGGTTCAGAAGGAAGGGCAACAGTATTCTGCATTGCTAGACAGCCATTGGAGCATCTTTACAAGGGGACAGCAAGGATACCTAATGATCCTGCCGTGGCCAATCTCGGGCGCCAGGAGCAGGTGTCTCGTTGGTTGGAAATGGGTGCCGCAGCTGCAGCATGACAATCCTGTGCTACCGTAGCTGACCATGACATCAGTGTAGAGTCAATCCATCTTGTTCCCAGCCCGCGTTCCAGGCGTCATTTCTGACAAGGAGATGGAGGCCGCGATGCACTGGCCAGCGGGCCGCAGCAGGGTAGCATGGATTGTCGGCGTTGCCAGGGCTCCAAGAGCGCTTCTGGCAGGAGCTCCTCCACATAATCAAGCATGGCCTGGAGCACTCGCAAGAGACCATGAAGAAGAAGGCGCACAATGGTCGAGTGAGGTCTAGGACTCTGGGATTCTAGGTCAGCATCAGGAAGAGCGATGTGGCTCGTCATGCGTACTGATCTGTTGCAAGCGCACTGTTGTGTTACTGCAAAGTCGTGAGTGTGTGCGCACTACAGCTCCGCAAGCAGCTTGGAAGGAGGGATCTTGTGAAGGTCTCAGATTGGTATCGTAATGAATGATCTTGACGCCTTTGCGGATGTTTGAGAAAGTTCAAGACCAGAAGTGTTCCTGCGGATTGCCGTTGGCGGTGCTTGCTTGGATCACCACTACCAATTACTGGCGGCAGACTCTGTGAACTCCCTGCTTGCCTGAAGGCCTCAGAAGCTATTGCATTCCGTAACCACATACTTCATAAGGCCACCTGTCCTGGCAAACCTAGCTTCAACAGATAATAAGAAGTGCAACAGATGTAGTAGCCATGCCAAGCATATCCAAGCATCTCATGCCGTGCCCTGTGCCAGGTACTGAATCAGGTGCGCAAGGCTCGGACTCGGGCTGGGATCCAGCAGAATTCGCAAGCGAGTGTTCCGCGAGGCCAGAGAGACCATGATGACCTTCCGATCCAACACAGGCGAAGAGCGCTTCGTTTTGCGACTTTGCTGTTGTGGAATCAACTGTCACGCTGCTTTCAGGCTTGCTCGCCTCGCGTGAGACAGAGTGAGATCGAAGGACATCGGGGCAATTTGGGGTCTTCTCAGTCTACTCTTGGATCCCTACCTTCAAAGACTCAACACTCCACGCGGGTTGCAGAAGGGCTTGGATCGGGGATGAAAGGCGCACACTGTTGGGCTGGACAGTCTCGCTGGACACATGTCAGGCACGTTTCAGAGAAATCACTTGGCAGGAGCATGGCCTTGACGAAGCTTCGTAGAATACCCGTGAGCTTGGGCAGCACTGTACAACTCGAGAGCGGTGCAGTGCAAGGCAAGGTGTTTCAGAAGGCTGTGGTAAAGGGTGACTTCTTGAAGGTTGACCTTGGAGGAATCCCGTTGCTGTTGCCGTCTCAGTGTCCAAGCTTTAGGGTAAATGTCCAGAAATGTGCTCAACCACGATGCGGCGAGCAGATAATGCGAGTTTGGCACGGTGCAGCGCGAATTCCCGGCATGGGCTGTAGCAATGGCAGATACAAAGGTAGCCATCAAGAGAGTCTTTCTCAGGAGTTGCCGGGAGTTCGGTCTGCCACAGTGTCGGAATGAGTCGGAAGCCTCGGGGCCTCCCTTTGGGACATCTTTCGGAAAGCCGAGTTCATCTAACTACGTCTAAGTGAACCCCTCTACGTCACCGGGCTGCCTCGACACAGACTCAGGGTTTGCGCCAAAATCGTGTCCCTCTCACGAAGTATAGCGAAAATGCACATCCTGCTTCTTACTGCAAGCTGGTTTTGATGAGCACAGACCCTGAGGACAATGCTTTCCGAACACACATGTTCCTGAGTGTCAGAGAGAATGGATGGTCGCATCGCAGTCGGTAGAGCTGGCGTTGCTGCCCGCTTTCGGTGAACTTGATGGTTTTACGACATGCCCGTGGCTCCATTTCATGATGTAGTTAATCGAGCTGCCTTGCACATGTCCATGCGCCTTGGCACCTATGCCCTTGCCAAGTGTTTGTTTATGATTGCCTGCTCTGCCAAAGGCAGAGTGAGCAACAGTGCCAGCGCCGTAAGCTTGGCCTCGAAATGCCTCGAAGAGGACAGGAAAAATTGCGATGCACCGACCTGGACATTTCGGCTGTGACAGCTACGATAAGCCTTGGCCAAGGATGGAAGTCCTGACCGCAAAAGGCGGGCAGCATTGAGGGCTGCGAGATCCAGACGTGCTGGTGTTTGTGTTTGTGTGCCTGCTGTGGGACAGCACTGTACCTCAGGTAGAAGTATAGGTATAGGGGTGAAGCGAGTTGGGACGTACATGTTCGTGCTTGCCAAGCGATGTTGAGTGTAAAGCACAACTCTACAATCCACGAGATATATTGATGAATATTGCTCTTGGTACTAGTATTCCGGATGCAAATGATCACAACATTGACATGAGCACATGTTACTTATGGATCTGCTGATTATCTTGCATAGTGAGTCTGCTACGTTCGTGACGTGCTCCGTCTACTTGACACATCCATCCGTACATGGTAATCAACAACAGCAACCAACACTTGGTGACAATCTAAACACCGCTTGCATCCCTCCCTCCTCGATCGCGATGGCACTGTCGAATTCGACCCAACTAGATAGATTGCGCCGGCCAAACAAAGATTCTGTGTATGTTTAGTCTGTTCTCTCGCGTGGATTCAAGGCACACCTGCATGTTCCAAGCTCAGGTTGCCACATGGGCAATGGACGGCGCATGTCTACCCCCACATTTTGAGAACTTGTTCGCAACAACTCTCATATTATTGTGACAGCCATCTAGCCACTGGCCGAGCTTTGGGAGCAGGCGGCGGCTGTCTCCTGGAGCTGTTTGCCCAGTTGATGCAGCAGGACGGGGATTTGGGGAGTTCAACAGCTCAGTGGTTCGGGCGTTTAGTGCTTCAAGGATTAAGGATTCTTTGTGTTCAGGGGTTCGAGGTTTGAGCCTAGCAATCTGAAGAGTCGACACAGGGCTTCAGGAACCCTGAAGCAGTGGTTGCAGACCATACATGGCATACACGGCCTGATGCTTCCGGCTTCGAATTGCCAGGTGCTGGGGCTTGAGTTGTTACTCTTGGAAGTTTGCTAAGGCTTCGGGTGGGTAAAAACTGGTCATGCCAGATCCTCCACACATCCTGCTTCGCCTTCACACCAATACCACTTCGAATCACCAGTAGCAGCGTTATGTGGCGGCTCTTGCTTGTGCTGGGTCCTCATTGCAACTGAGACCTGGAAGTAAAGCGGTTTAGAGGGTGGATCGCCGTTTCTGTCCCCTACTGTAGGACCAAAGCTGGTTATGGATGTTGGTGCGAACTATGGCCAAAGCAGTGCCTTTCATGCACAACGGGCGACGAAGCAGCCCAAAGCTGTGATGGGCTGCTCTGTTGGCTGTTAGCACTGCCAAGGCGAGCGATACTTGGCTGCAGGTTTCAAGGCGTGGTGCATGTGCACTCAGTGCATGTACAGTCATAAACGAAATGGGCAAGAACAAGATACGAGATTTTCTGTTCACAAGTGCCAAAGGAGAGTCGCGCTGCGCAGGTCGTGGCCGTGGAGCCAAATCCTGCAGCTGCTGCGGTGCGACGTCCTACTTTCCGCTTGCTTGTCCGAATCAGGGCTCACAGCATGAAGTGTTTCGCTCGCACCTGCTCCCTAGTTTGTGCCGCAGTTCTTAGTTGCGGACTGTTTCCAATCCCTTGAGGGCCTCCGCGATCGCCTGCAAAGTCACGTGAGCGCAGGGAGCTTGGTGTTGGAGGAAGGCACTCGCTGAGAGCACTCATGCAGAAGATGCCGTGTTGCGCCTCGTTGCTCTACGTCAGAAGGCTTGTGCCTGACGCTAAGAGTCAAGAGCGCAGGAGAAGGCTCTTTGGAAGGAGACGGATGCTTCTGGGGCCCCGGTGCCTTGGAAGCAAGCCACATGTCAGCTTGCCCCTTCGGCCATCCATGATTTCTTTGCTGTCTGACATTGCTTTGCTACGGCCCACGGCTCACACGGCCCTCCGTTTGACATGCCTTTCACTGCTGAAGGAGGTTCCGTTCAGTGCACGGCTTCGTAAGCCTCCAAGAGTGCAATCGGCTCATAGCACAGCTTCCCAGGTGGGAGGATGTAGCAAGGCAAATGTCTCCGAAGAGGACTTATATGTAACTTATATGTAGGAGGAGGCCGATTCGAGCACTGGCCCTATTCAGGCATGCTTCCAGCTGGAATTTAGGGGTTGACGGAAATCGAAATCCCAAAGCCTGCAACTTTCAAAACCTAACAATGCCTAAAAGCCCAAAGCCCTGCACCCTAAATCCTGCAAGCCTTATGACTGAGCTCTTCTTGCCTATCGATGGTCTGGAGTGCAAGCCGGACAGCGGAGTCTTTAGGATTTTGTGGGTTAGGGTTTAGGTCTTTAGCTCGCATGGCTATCGACAGGTTGGGAGAGTCGAGGTTTTAGGGTTCGACAGTTTAGGGCTTTGGGATTAAAGGTTCAGGTTTAGGCTTTATGGTTTGGCGAGCCGAGAAAAGCCCAGTCTTAAAAGTTTTTGGGTTGAGGGTCTTAGGGTGTTCAGAGTTTGGAGTTTAGGGCTTGTCAATCCAAGTTTCAAAACCATGGTGTTGGTGCGCGTATCCGCACGTCCGGTGTACGAATCAGTTCGCAGCTGCTTTTGTGCACGGTCTCGGCCTGCCTGTCTTGTGCTTGGGGTTGCACCTTTGCAACCTCCTACTGCTTCATACGTCTTCTGGATGTTAGGCGGTTGGGCTGCTTGTAGCTTCGTCGACGGCCTTCAGGCCATGTGTCGCTAAATGTCGGGTGTCATCCGGTCGTTAAGGTGACTTCTGTCATGCTGTACGTCAACAAGGAAGACTCTGAGTGGAGCAGCGGCGCTGGCCGTGTATTTTCCTGTGGCTCCGGGCGTTCTGGAAATCTTGGTCTTGTCAGTTCGCCAATCGCCAGGCTGCCTGCGAAATGTGGGAAGGAGATACGACACAGAGGACTGCGCTTGAGCCTGTATTCCATACATCCCGCAAAACAAGCCTCCTCGATTCTTCCGGAACGGCCCCACCCTTAATTCGAAACAGTGCTGCCAGCCATTCGGGGACAACCCCAGGCAAGGATCCAACAAGACACGTCCAAGCATTTTTGACATCAGGTTCTTCAATGTAACGATGTGGTGTCTATGGTGTCTGCTCTTCTCTTGTCGATGCTACTCGCAGGCCGAGGCCGTGAATGTCGCTACTGTGACCCTCGCTGCTTTCTGGATGCAGCTGGCATTGGTTTTAGGCTGACGAAAGAGTTCCTAGCTATTCAACGGTTTAGGGTCTTCTCGCAAGTGCGTTCTTAAGGACCTTTTCGTTCAACATGGAGTCCCCTGGCCAAAGACTGAGCTGACTGAGCATGAAACACGGCCCCACTGGGAGGCTAGGCTCAGCTAACCTCTGTGGGAGGTATTTGAAGCTAGACACCGAAGGAGCTGACGGCATGGTTCTCCAGCAGGCACTCGGGCTGTAGTTCTTGCATACGTCTCTGCTTGCGTCTCGTGTCAGCTCTGGCAGTTGTCGGCTCTGGACTCGAAGCCGGCATACCTCTCTTTCGTGCCTCGGTGTTACATGTTGCACATGTTACATGCGCTGTGAAACGAGTTTCACATCGCTGTTGCTTTGCCCGAGGAGCTGAACAGTCTCGGCTACATCTCGCAGGAGGGCCCCGAGCGAAAAGTCAGAGACTTGTATGGACATGTTGTGATCGCAAGTGCAGGCATTCAAGCTTGGCTATCAGGAATTCAAGGCGGATTGTGACGGATACTGAGCCTAGCGACGGAACATTCGCTGGCAGGTGGTACCACAAAGCCGTCACAAAGCTGAGCATCTCCAGGATGAGCATGGAAGGCTGGAAAACAGGCACTGCAGCATCGGTCAGCTGGTCTGCCACTTGCCAAGCATAGGCCACTGACTCACGCTGGCAATTTCGGCGAGGACTTTAATGCTAAGCTAGTTTCCACGTGGCATCTGCTCAACATGCAGGATGCAGTGGGAGTGGCCGGAGAAGGTTGGCAGGATGAAGGCGTGCAGACTGCAGCCGCACGGCTCGCAGCGGGGTGCATGGCATGTGTTGTGTGAAGGGGCTACGCTGGATCTCTGCCGCAGCTTGTGCTTGGTTCGCGGCCCGGCATTGGAGGGCAAGTGGACGACGTGACATGAGGCGAACAACCCAACGAACACCCATTTCAGGACTGGTTGCTGACGTCTCCTCAGGTTCACGATGCAGAGGCAGACGCACCCACTTTCGCCAACGGCCCTCCGAGGCGGAATCTAAAGGCAGACTTTCAGCAAATAGTCAGTCACTTCACTACTCGTTAAAAGTCTTCAAGACCCTACAATGGCATGACCGACAACAGTTGTGGAGTTCAGGAGTCTTTCTGTGAGGATCATGCAAAGACGAGGCGTCTATTTCTGATGAGACTGCGTCCTGCACTCTCTCAGCAGGTACGTGGACCGAGACTTCGCTACATTGCGCGCATGCTTTCCGATCGAAAGTCTAAATGATGAGGCCGGAGGCAAAAGCGTGCGCTCAATGCAGACTTGTGTTTTCTTGTTCGGTTCTCCTTAGTTTCTGCGCAGTGTCCAGGAGTGGTACGACATCCATTGCCGGCATATCTCCGTTAGCTCCTGCCGGCAGCAGCTTGCACCGGCACCGAAGCGGTCGATAAACAGCCGGAGCCGGATCTGCCTCGAGGATTTGTTTGCATGGTGCAGGCTGTTTGATCATCAGAGCCTCCTTCCAGATTGGCTGGGTTCTTGTACATTCCCAGAAACATCTCTGTGCCGCAGCCGCCACAGCTACTCCGCCCATCCTAGCGAGATGGCGTCCAAGCCGCTACCGGGCCCGGGGCTCAGAGGAAAATCTGTTGGAAACACGGCCGCAGCTCCATCTGCATACCAAAATGGGCACCTCAAGAGTTGTTGATGTTTCCGACTGTTTGAGTTTGCCCGCGGCCAAGGATGGGTTGCTTTCTCGACCTCGGGCGCCGGAAGCCCAGCATCAGCAGTTTAGGAAGACGGAGTAATTACACGGAGGCACTTCACAGAACATGAGCCAAGCATTCCGTGAGTGTATTCAGCAGGTCGGGGGCATCTTTGGATGGATTTTTATCCACCCCGTCGCTGAGCTGTCAAGATTATGCCTTGAGTTGCTTTGAGAACTGTTGCATTGTCGCCATTCGTACGGAACTGAGGTGAACACCCTGGCAATTAGGATGAACCTCGCGAGTATGCAGGCCTTGTATGGGTCGTGGTCCCGAATGCGATCTTCGCACAGTAGTCTCTGAAATGAGTCTTTGTGCCTCACTTCTTCGCTTCTGTGTCTTTGTGTCAGTCTCTTTGTCTGTCGCTGCAGGTGTGCCTGCGTGTTGCATCTTGCAGTCCAGCATATTCCTGCATCATGCCTCTGAGTCCGCTTGACCCAATGTCGAGGTTCGCATAATCTGATTCATGAACTTTGCAACGTCGCAGTGTGTGTTGAAGGGATGAATATGTCCTGAGCGCAGAATCCTGGAGCGAAGCTGAACCTCGCCACTTTTGCTATGGACACCGTTCAGAAGGCGTTCGCCTCAGCCTGCACGGATCATCCGCTCAAAAGTGTCTTGCTTTGCTGAGCAAATCTAAGCCAGTGGCCCAGAAAGTGCTGACACACCCAGTCCGGCTTCTCAAGCCTGTACAATGGGCTGGGCGCTGGAATTTGGAGACAGGCAGTGCTGCCGTAGATTGCTGTTTCCTTGACCTTGTCTTTTCTGCAATGAACAGGTGTTCTACGCTAGCAGCAGGTATGGCTTGCCATACGCCGAGACGTGTAATACACATAGGAGAGTAGAGTCAGGGAGAGCAGCCGAGGTTCCAAGTCTTCCGGGATACCCTGACCCAGTATCGGGAGGTTGATAGCTCGGCAGGGGATCCGTCCCAGGTTGGGTGACTCTTTCCCGTCCTTATGCTATCCGAACCGAGATGGACTTCGCTGCCCGGCTCTCCTGTGCTGGGAGCCCAGAAAGGAACCGCTGTGGAGACCAGATAACTGATGGCAGATGTATAGAACCAGGCACCTAGAGCCTATACCTATAAACATTGGTGGCCATGAGCCCGGCCATGTTCGAGGCCACGGCCGCCGGCGGCCTCGCCGCGCTCTTCTCGTGCCCCTGCGAGGCCAGAGAGCTGAAGCGGAAGCGGCCCTTGTCTAAGCGAGTCCTATGGCCGGACGCCTCTCTCTGATCCCCTTGAGGCCTCAGGTTTTTATTGGCCGATCATCCGCAGGTCTCCCTGGTGCGGCTCTCCAACGATGCGAGTCTGCCTGAGGCCGAGAGGAGAAACTACAAGGCCTACTCGCGGAAGATTCATGGCGTGGCACTGTGCAAGTCTACATTTTCATGACGTGATCGGTCTTGATGTCCTTGCGCCCATAGGGTGTGATGGACTGTGCGCAGCGCATTGCGCGAGAAGAGGGCGCGCGAGCCTCAGCTCCGGTCCACTCGGGCAAGTGGGATCCTGTGGGTTTTGGTAAGCCAAATGGCCCGTCGCCCAATGCATTCTAGGTCACTGCCTTCTGGCGCGGGAGCATGCCGTTTGTCACGCGAGCCTGCCTGGTGGGGGCAACGCAGGTGCTCAGAGAGAGCTGTGATCACAGTTCGACTGCCGCCCATGCTATGCGCATGGATCCGCTTCAGTTGTTCGGTGAAGACTTCCTTGCAGCTTCATTAGACAAAAGCTCGTGAGCGGCGGTAGAAGCGTGGAGGCGAGTTCAACAAGCGCCACGGCCTAAAGGAGAGCGCGGCCACTGGTGCCAAGACATGTCCTAAATCCAACGCCATGGAATGCCTAGGATGTACGCAGCTTGTCGAGTTGCAGACTGAAGATTCCAAAACCAAAAAACCCGTCCTGGCAGACGATCTCACTATCCAACGCCCGAATGCACTGCGGCTGCGGCCTGCGCCTTGCCACACATGGCGGCCATGGACTAGCAGCTACGAGGCGGAAGCAGAGTCCTGCTCGGACTGTGGATAAGCTACCCGTCTCGTACGACTAGCACATCGCAGCGGCACCGTGCAACTCACGATGGCAGATTCGTTGTGATTGCAAGCAACCGATACCTCGTCCATTTTGCAGATGCGTGCTCAAGGAACCAGCATTTCTAACTTGGCAGAGGCTCCGCAGCTTCAATTTATCGTAGTCATAGCTGACATGTGAAGTTTCGGAATGCACGGAAACCTGCAAGATCACCCTTAGTAGTAGCAAACAACATCTTCCAGGTTTACAAGCCATGAGAGCCATGGCAGCACAGCTCTCGGAATCGACGTGGAGACCTTGGGCCGGCTTCCAAGCCTGTCCCAGCCAATCTCTCCCTGTCTACAGCCAGCCTGTCCGAATCCACCACCCTCCGAGTTTGCCCGCTCCCTTCGCCTTCGCCTACGTCCCTCCCAAACGTGGGCGAAGCCCTTCACGGCTGAGCGAGGCCTCCACAGAGGACATGGGCCCGGGCACCCGAACGGCCAACGTGACCCGCTCGGTGTCTGAGCCATCGCAGAAGATCCGACACGACTTGGAGGCACCAAAGGACCCAACTGGACCTTTGGAGGCGCCAGTCGTGGACATGTCAGATATGGTCACGCCCAGGAGATCTGAGCACTTTCCACACAACTCTCACTTGGTCTGTAGAGCTACGTGTCCAGTGTCCCGTGCTTCAGAGGATTGCACTCCGGAATACACTACCCGAAATGGCCATTCTGAGTGGAGATGTCCAGAAAAGGCCAACCGGCAGGTCACACGGGAACCGAAGGTGGCAGCTTCCAAGAAATCTCTTCAAACACTCTGGCAGCCCAGCGGCTCACCAGATGCCTCTAGTGCCAAAGCCGTGCCGGCAATCAGAGCACCAGCACCAAAGACTTACGCATCAAACTTCGCTCGAGCGCAGGGCTCACTGAAGGCGAGAGGTGCCGCTTCTAAGGCCCAGGCCCCCGCAACCAAACCTCGGATGCCCTTCACCGCTGTGGCAGGGCAGTGTCGGGCCAAGGCCAAGGCGGCCAAGGCCAAAGCAAAGCCCAGGGTGACGCCCCGCGCAGCGTCGGCCTCGACGGTCTTGCCAGGCCGAACCGGCACCAAATTCAGCAACGTGCAGGGCTCCGCGCCTGGGCAGTTGAGGGATGAGAACGCCGCCCTCCAGGCCAGGCCAGGCGCGCGAAACCGCGCGCGGCGCGCGGGCGCGGGGGTCCGCGTCTGCATTCGCGGCTCCGAGGCCGCCGTGGCCTCTAGAGCTTAAGCTCCTTTTCTCTGGCGGATTTTCAGGCGGAACTGGCACGAGCACTCGAAGTCCTTGCCGAGCTCGAGCGTTTGAAGGTCGCGGACGCGCAGCAGTGCCTTTGCTTCCCACTGCGATTCCGATTAGGTTGACACAAGAGGCCAGAAGCCGCGAATCCTCACAAATCCCATTCTTTGTTAGGCTCGGGGATTTGGAAGCCAGACGACAGGACTAGTGGACGAAAGCTGGGAGTAGGCTCCAGATTGCCGGCATGTTTCAGCTATCTGTCATGCCTTTCAGACTGCAGCATGTTCCAGGAGCTTCTGCACTGGTCCTCAAGAGCACGTGCTGCTTTGGGTGAAGAGGCCAGAAGTGCGATTTGGCCAAGGCAGGTTCTGAAGAGCCAGAAGTGATCGTGCAGGAGAATGATCTCACCTCGCATCTCCGCCAGATGGCCACAGACGCAGCTGAGGCTGGGGGTTTCCTGCATGTTGCTGTCCATGCAGAAGATGTCGATTTCTGATCCAATCGGTTCAGGCTCCAGTGCACTTGCTCAAGTGCCGCGCAATGATCGCAGGTCCGCCAGTCGCTGGATGCTGCCCAACAGACCTGGCAGCAGCGAGGGTTGAGGTGCTCAGGGCCTGTGCTGCCACGAAGCAGAGAACACCTGACAGCAGACAGCCGCTGCGAGGCCAAGTATCCGCAACATGTCCCTACCGACTCGCCTCGGCGCAGCCCGCCAACAACTCGAGTGACAGCGGATGGTCCATGGTGATTTGCACCACAAACAATCGTGTGGTGCCTGCATGTTGCCCGGATCGTTCAGATCTTTCCAGAATTCAAACATTGCAACTTTACACACTGCGTCGCTCTAAAGGCGCGCTATCAAAATGCCGACCAGATACTTTGTCGGCCTGCACTTCACAGCCACCATCGGACCATCTTGAATAGCAGAGTAATGTATGCTCTCCTGAAGCAAGTGGCTGTCGGAGGCAACGTTTGTACACAGGAGCCGTGCGTGGGTTTTTGCCATTTCTGGAAGGAGGTAGTGCAGCGCATGATGTAAGCCTTGTTGGAAGAAGCCCTCGCGGTGCCGCTATATGCTCCAACCCTTTATGGGGGGTAATCGCCTCAGGCCCTATTGGAGTCTTAGAGGCCTTTTTTCCACCAAGAGCCTTGGTGCGCCGCGCTCGTGTCGAACTCGGCTACCAAGAGGTGGCTTGGGCCTTGGAGCCCAAGATACGGAAAGCTGTCAAGGCACCCCAAGACCCCAAGACTGCATGCACAGCACGCCCCATTGACAGCGGATCCGTCACTTTCGAAGACAAGCATGTTCCCGTGGCAAACGGCAGGATTACTGGGCCCCAAACGAGCCAGCAAGTAAAGTGTCTAGTTGAAGATGCATCCGGTTTTGTTCAGCAGGTGACATGCGACATGCCCCTGGCATGTGCGTCCGCCGGCCGGGGTACATGGCCGATGCCCCAGTGAGATACAGCGACATGCGCTGGATGATGCAAGATTCCCCTTGTGTCAATGCCAGGGTTGTAGGTCGATAAGATCATGTCCGGCTGTGGCTGCCGCAAGACCGCCAAATGCGCCGACCATCCAAGGCCTGGGAAGTGCGTCGAAGTGCCATCCAGATGGCAGGCACGCTATGAGCAGGCCCCACTGGGAGAGCAGTGAGCAAGCTATGAATGGCACGGACGGTTTGCACCTCATGCTATCTATGCAGCAACTGCCGCAGCAGCAAAGAACGACCGTGCAGACGCGCCTGCGACTGCAATTGCAATATGCGTTGACAGCAGCTCCATTCGTAATCGTCATCACTTGTGGCTTATGAGGCATCTGGTCATCATGACTTCCAGTGCCCCTGTTTAAAATTGAACTAGAGCTCAGGTCTGTATTGACTTGCAACCGAGAGTTCCCTCAGGCGCTTGGCCACCTCCTGCTCCCAGATGTTACAGCATCTGTGCGGAGCATCGGGGGTGACTCCATCCTCCCGACTCAGGTGCAGAGCTCAGCGAAGCTGTCAGAAATCTTGGAGTCTTAAACTTCTTAAACTTTCGCCGATTGTTTGCTAGTGACTGCTAGTGCAACCGAATCACCTCTCAGAGCTTTACTTCCTGCCCTTTTACATTGTAGTACCAGACGTGACTGCCACACGACTGCGCATATTTGTCGCTCGGTCTGTCAGTGGCAAAGCTCCAGGCGGCTAACGCAACCGCTTGCCGTTTTGCGGAAGAGTCGACACGGCATGCTACGGCAAGGGCTGCTGATCTCATATTCGCTACTCGAGTTGAACACAGACTGATGGCCGGAGTGCCGCGAAAAGGGCGGTGTTACCGAAGTGGGTGGACGGTCCCGGGTTGCCGACAGCCACATATTCGTTCCTCCTTTGTTTGATGCGGCCAGTCCTGCTGCCTCCGAAGCCTGTCTCACAATCTACTCTGCTGATTGGATCTCAGATGACCACACGTTGGCATCAGACAAAATGGACACCCAAAGCTCTCCCAAGTGACAGGGCCGAGCTCTTCTTCTACCCAGTCCACGCCAGAACCAGCGCAACTTCTAATCTGTGGCCAGCTTCAAACAAGGTCAACGATCGTGGCGACGGATTGATTCTGGGTCACCAACTGTACAGTAGCGCAGGATGTTGCTCCATCTACACGTTGTGGCCAAACACTACATGAGGATCGATTGAGCTCCTTTCTTTGGCACACTGCACATGCAATTGGAACGGGGCTTGTCAAAGTCGTTGGAGTGTTCGGAAAACTCGTACGAGCGATGGAACAGTCAGAACAGGGGGTTTCTTCGACAGTGCTATCCCTTTGACGAATCCAAATCTAGAGTCCACAGACTTGCAGGTGATGACCACCCTGGCTCTGAGCTCGAAGTGGGATCTGGCCATCGCTTTCCTGAGCGAGCTTTTCAGGATGCTGGTTTCAGCCACAGAGCATGGGCAGCTGCACGTTGCGACAACTTTCCAGGGACCGGCGGCCCGATCTGACTTAAGAAATGCACCCCGGATGGCGCAGGAGCCAAATGGACATCACTGTGTACCATGCCTCCGCCGCTGTGAAAGCCTGCCACAAGGCCGCAAGTGTGCCGTTCTGTGCTTTTCCGCGGAATTGAGTTCTGAAGCTGAGCTCTGCGACTTTCGGAAGCCAAGACCATGTTTTCCCACAGCCACCTTGGTTCAGATACGGCCAGGGTAGTCTCATTAGCCGACCGAACCTTCATGACTTTTGCTGGCACATTCCTGCTTCAATTGGCCTTGCACGCTCCTTTTCCGCATTGTCTCCGATGTCAGACCTCCGAGATCCCTTGAGTTCCAAGGTAGACAAGAGGCAGCTCCTTCCAAAAGTGCTTTGCCAGCCTGGCCAGGAGGACAGCTCCGGTGGGGTCGGGGCTTGCCGGGCTTTCCTTGCAAGCGATACCTGACTCTCATGTGATCGACTCTTTGCAAGGCCTTGGCTTCTTATTGGGCAAACGGCCCTGGCAAGTGGACTGCGGGCAGTGGCTGCGCCGCATCGCACCGAGAGAAGGCTGCGGGATTTCTGCTTCTCTTGCGGCACAGCTTGACTTGCGATACCGGGTGTGGCAGGACTTCTCCTACTGGACGCAAACCTGGGCCGCCGGTTTCACGGCACTCAACGGAGAGCCTGCATACGAGGACCCGGCGATTCGGACTGCGGATGGCGTGTTCGTCTGGGACGCAGAGTACTGCTGCTTGGTCGAAGGCTCCCATGTCAACTCTGCCAGGTTGTGGTGTTGGTTTTTGTTTCCCTGTGGTAGTTTTCCTTGCTAAGATCGCAACTACAGAGAAGGGCTTCAGCGAATGCACGCAGAGCTGGGGCCCAGGTCTCGTCTCTGGATTTTTGGACCTGCCCAACAAGACAGAGCTGCTAGAGAATTATTCCGCGGTCATGAAGCTGCAGGACTCCGTTCCACCCGCTTCTTCCGCTGCATCTACCACACTACCCTTCACTATTTTCCCGAAGCCGATTCCCAAAACGTCCTGTGTGGAGACAGCCATTCGCAGAGCGCACCAGACACCAGATCCTGCGCAGAAAGCAAAGCACAGACTCAAAACCTGGAGCAGATGTCTGAGCCCTTGCCGTCGTAACACTGCAGGAATCAGCATGCGAGGCCGAACCGCTGAAGTCTTTGACAACACAGACACCTGCAGCGGCCCTGCAGGGAGTATTCAGTGAGGCGGCAGATTTCCCACAGCCCTGCGTCATATCAGATCAGCTAGAAAGTCTGGTACCTCAGCAATGGTTGTGGCTTTCCCCATGACAGGTTGACGAGATGTTTGCCGTCGAGCACAAGAAGACCGCAGAGGAGCGCGCTGCTCCGCTTCTTCAGCCCGGCATCCTCGCGAGGGTGAATGCCGCACACTGTTCTGCTGGCAGCTACAGCTGCATGATTCATTTCTGCCTCAACAACTTCTGCAGACTTGGCCCCTCAGAGAATCAGTCAAGATTAGCGTTATTCGGGTTCGTAGCAGACTCAAGCAGCCTCTGCAGACTTGGTTCCTCAGACAGACTCATTAAAGGATTTGGGTTATTTGCATACTCGAGAGAAGCTGTACCGAGGCGATGGTCGAGTTGGGCAGGGTTGCCAGTGCCACAGCGACTACACCTTGAAGCCCATACCATCTGGCTGAGCGGGCGCGGGGCTCCGGCGCGCGGAGCAAGAGAAGGACCAAGCCATGCCAGCAGAAAAGGAGTGCTCTGCTTGGCAGCTGCTTGGTGCTGGAGTGCTGGTTACCGAGTGTCCCGCCCTTTCGGGAATGTCGCCCCACGACTACCAGAAGCCACGACCGATTGGCAGCATTTAGCAGCAGTGCCAAGAGCAGGGTCTGGGTCAATGGGTGTGGTGTCGAGACTTCGGTGTGCTGAAAGTCTTTGAGAGGCTGCTCGCTGGGAAATGGCCATCGCGCTGCTGGTGGCATGTCCTGGTCTCCGCGCCCAGCCCAACGCAAGGGCCCCGGAGGGCCCCGGAGGGCCCCGGCCCGGCTGAGGCGGCTGAGGGCAGAGATCTCCTCGCGTGCTGAAACGAGATCCTGCGGTCTGCCTATGGTCATTCTGAGTCTGAGTGGAGCTGCATGTTTCAGTGCGGAGCGCAGGAGTACACGTACAACTCCGTCATCAGTGCCTGTGAGCGAAGCGCCTGGGCTTCTAAAATTTGATATAGAAGTTCTTCTACACAAAACACATGGCAAGGGTTGATTGGATGGTGCATGCTCCCGCTGCTTCCTGGTGTGTGATGTGATTCGTCTCTCTCTCTCTCTCTCTATATCTGTCTCTTGCTCCCTTTCCAGGCGGACAGTGGGTGGCAGCCTTGGCTATCTTCGATGCCATGCCAGCAGCAATTCCAAGGCCAAGCCAAGCTGAGCGTCGTAGCTTGGAGGGCACAAGCAAGGGAAATGTTTCAAACTGTCGCTTGGAGACTTCTCCCCGGGCTGAGTCGCACCCCTGACCTCTTACCAATCTCGTCTCGAAAGATCTTGAGGGGAGGAAGCGGCATAGCTCATGACATGCGAGAATTAGCCGGTATCTTTCTGCGGCGGGTCGCAGCAACTGTAGGGGCAGGTAGGATCCGACAGGAACGTTGTGACATTTGGAGCTGTCATCAGCGCCTGCGAGAAAGCCGCCAGATGGATCGAGGCATGAGCCAAAAACTTCTTTCTCCGATCATAAGCTTTGGAGATTTTGGAGTCTTGGCCCGAGATTCGGCCTGACCGAACCACGAACCGCAGGCCCTGGCCCTCTATGACTTGATGGAAAGCGGGAGCCTTGGTGACGTCACTGCCGGTGCATTGAAGGACAGCCCATGATGCTTCCAAAGGCCAGGGTGTGGCCCGGAACGCCATCATCTTCTGCGCTGTAACATCCCCGGGAAGTGACCTGGGCCTCTGCAAGCGGAATTCGCTCGTTGCCGAGGCCATCACCGCTTGCGGCCAGGGTGAGCAGTGGCAGCCTGTCCTGTCTCTCCTGCAACAGATGACGGCAGAAAGCTTGGAGAGGCGAGGTGAGCGCTTGGCTGATGTGGAATGTCCGCGATGCCATCACGAGCTGGGCAGGCTGAACAAATCACGCATGAATGCTTTTGCTTGCGTCTGCCGTATTCCTAGACTCCACATGAGCCTGTAGAACTTCTCTTGTGCAATCCTTGCATGTGATGCTTCGCATCGGCGTCGCTCTGATGAGTGGCCGTACAGCCTGGGTGAGCTTGGACCCAGACTGCACCGTTCAGGAGCTGCGCCGGCAAGCTCAGCTTGAACTTGGGGTGCATCTCGACCGCCTCCTCTCCGGAGACACTCGAGCCCCAGCCCTGCAGGCTTTGCCCAACACAAGAACCCTGAAGCACACAGGCCTGCATGACGGACAGGTGGTAACCGGCAGCGTCAGAGAGACCAAGATCGCATCATACCTAGGATCCTGTCTCTCGCCAGTCCGGTCCTTCACCTTGGAAGACTTGTATTCGCCCTTCGACGCCTTGACAATTGTGTGGGAAGATGGAAGCATTCGAATCTGCAGCAACTATCCGTTCCCTGCACCCGATTCCATGTGCAGCCTGCAGCATGTCACGGCGAGCTCGAGAGCTTTTGCAGCCATTCAAGAAGATGGTCGAGTGACTGCCTTCGGAGACCCAGATGCGGGGGGTGACGTCAAGTCTGTGCAGGATCGGCTCGAAGAGGTGGGGAAAGGGACTAATTCCGAACTTCTGCTTGTCACCTCTGCTTCTGCACTGCTGGCCTGCTTCAGGTGCAGATGATCAGCGCTACGCATCGTGCGTTTGCTGCCCTTCGCAGTGACGGCCATGTTGTTGCTTGGGGCGATCCTCTGTATGGAGGAAGCTGCGAACGTGTCCAGGAGCAGTTACACGGCGTCAAGATGATCCAATCTAATGTCAGCGCTTTCGCTGCCATTCGCGAAGATGGGCAGGTGACTGCCTGGGGCAATCCAGAAGATGGTGGTGAGTGCATGCAAATTGTCAGCGACGTGACCACTATCTGTGCTGCCAACCATGCCTTTGCTGCTGTCCGTGCGGACAGGAGTTTGGTCACCTGGGGCAGCAAGCTGTATGGTGGTGATATTGCTGACATTGCTCCCGGGTTGGAGGTTGAAGATGTACAGGCCGTGTGTGCTTCAGGCAATGCATTTGCAGCTATTTGCGGTGGTGGAGCTGTAGTGGCTTGGGGCTGCCCACATTCCGGGGGAAGCACCCGTGGTGTTCAGGAGCAGTTGCCGGGTGGCCCCGGAAGGGATGACTGATGACGGTGAACATTCCGACTGTAGTGTAAACATTCTGAACATGGTTTAGGTCAAGTGACTCGTCAACAACACGTAGACGAATTGCGGATGTTTGAAATCAAGGCTTTTCTTCTCAGGCATTGAAATTCCTGAGACCCAAAGCAGGTAAATGAGTAAGTGCGGCCTTGTCATGCAGGAGCAACTAACCGGTGTGCGATCACTGCAAGCAACGGACTCCGCTTTCGCCGCAATCGGTGATGGTGGAAGTGTCGTAACCTGGGGCCATGCCGAGCACGGTGGCGACAGCAGCTCTGTGTGCGGGCTGCTCCAAGACATCGAGGACATACAAGCTACGACAGGAGCTTTCGCCGCTAAAAAGCTCGATGGCACTGTGCTGACATGGGGCCATGATCGCTCCGGCGGTGATACCAGCCATCTCCAAGAGAAGCTCAAAAATGTGCAGCACGTTTGGGCAAACCAATCAGCTTTTGCGGCCTTACGCGAGGACGGTCGTGTTATCACTTGGGGAGATGCGAACTTTGGAGGTGACAGTACTGGAGTTCAAGATCTCTTGGTTGACGTGCGTGTGATTCACGCATCCGGCAAGTCCTTCGCTGCCGTACGACACGACGGAAGTGTAGTTACTTGGGGTCTTGTTGGCGAAGCCACATACCCGAAAAATCTGTAAGTCGCAAGAGAATTCAAGGAGCAGCGCTCGGAATTTGGGGCTTCAGGGAGCATGGCGACAGTCTTGCTCGGCCCCAGAAGTTTGAACTGGTGCTTCTTCAGCATCAAGACAGACATGTTTCACGCACCTCCACAGAGGATACAGAGGATCCACACCCATCCACACATCTCATCTCAAATCCGGAATCCGCACCAGCCTCGAGCTGGTGCTGTGCATTCGTCTCTCCGAACTTGCAGTGCAAAGATGCTCGGAACCAAGCGAAAACAGGCGGCCATGCTCTTGACCCGACGAGACGCTTGAAGAGATCCGAAGCTGATGTCTGCAGGTCCACCATCGCTTGCAATTCGGCGATCAGTGCCTGCGAAAAGGAGAGGTATCTGCAAAGAAGCACCCTCGTCATTGTTCTTCTTCATGTTCTCGTCTGCAAGGCAAAGCAATGGCAGTGTGCCCTGGATTTGCTCTGGCAGATGCCCGAAGGAGGCTTGCTGCGTGCCGCTTTGAAAGTGAAGACTTGGCTGCCCCCACTGTTGGCACTTAGATCCTTGAAACTCTATGCCAGCAAGGGCACATTTGCGTGACGTTGTGGGGGCCTTCAAAGTCTGGGAGGTTTAAAGATCAGGTGCGCAAGCTACGAGAGCTTCTGAACACATGTTGCTTGCGATCCAACGTGCTAGCTTGCCCTTGCACTGGCTTGAAAAGTTAAATGTGTGAACCAGTACAAGTCCACCGCCTGACAGGCAACGTGTGGGCTTGCCTCTTACTGGCAGGATTTGCACAGCATGACTTATACTGCAGAGGCATCTGCAGCCAAGTTTGGAGTGCCGAGGACGAGATAGCTTTCAGTGCAGCAACAAGTGCTTGCGGAAAGGCCGGAGTTGCTCTCTTTTCCTCTCTTTCGGAAGCGAGGAGGAGAAAGAGAGACGGGGCTCTCCAGGCCGGACGATGGTCTGAGGCGCTGGCGCTGCTCGGGGCCATGGTGGAGGCAGTCACTTTTCCTTACACGCTGGCAGGGTCGAGTGTGAAGTGCAGGAGCCTCCTTTCTTGGGAAGCAATGGAGGCGAATAACCAAGTTTGACAGAATTTCCTTGACTTGGGATGCCTGGAAAGGGTGAAAGTGAACCTATTTCAGACATTTCGAGGGGCCCGGATTTATCCAAACCGACACAAGACTTAGTCAGTCAATCTTGTACCTGCAAAAAACCAAAACTTCCCAATGTCCTAAGTTTGGAAGGGCCACTGCTCCCTCGGTGCCCATTTTAGTTGAGGCCCGACCGCTGTCTGCCAACTATAGCGAACCAAGCGTGCCTCATTTAAAAAACACTGAACCCCGTGAACCTCAAGGATGTCACTGTAGGGTTAGGTAGGAGGGTTGGCTATCTTCAGAGGCTCGCCCTACAGGGAACCCACCTTTGCACTGATCCCAAGATCTCCAGTTTGAGCTCAGGGAGACCACACAGACCCAAAAGCGAGTTGTGGACACGGCACTGCACATACAGCTTCCAGGCTCCATGAGAGCTTACAATCACCGAGCACAATTGGTGTAGCATGGGTAATGGTCATGCAAGAGACTGTTTGCTGCGAGAGCTGCGGGAATCAGATGAAGATCTTCTTGCGACAGTATTCGGTGCAAGAGTTATGTTGATATGATCGCCTCGGATTTGGATGAGTGTGTGCAACTGTCTGCTCAACCGCAGACCCCCAATTATTGCAAAATCAACGAGGAGTTTCAGCCCGTTCATGATACACTACCAACCCCAAGACTCCAGCTGCAGAAACCCTGGACCCCAAGCCCACATCCCAAGCACTAACAGGAGGGAGTATCTTCTGGTACTCGTACAGCGTGTTTTGTCGGGAACCACTGTGGATGCTTTTCGACTTGGGAATGTTGGGATGGGGGCTTGAGATTTGCTCCAGGTGCGCATCCCCACATCCCTTGAAGCACTCAGCGCCGCCGTCACCGTCTGCGAGGACATGAGCGAATGGCAGCAGGCACTGCAGCTTTTTGCCTCAAAAAGCCTGCGGCTCAGCAGAGAGAGAAAGAGACACTGGGAGGTTGTGAGAGAGTGAGAGAGAAGGAGAGACTGACTTGCAATCGCAGCTTTAGGTGAAGATGTGGTGGCTGACGAGATATTGCTCAATGCCGTCATAGCTGCTCTTGCAGAGGGTGGCAAGTGGCAAATGGTGGGGCCCTCATCTCCGCTTCTGAACCAAAAAACCACAGTGCCATCAAATTCCAACTTGTATGAGCTTGCTTGAGGCGCTGGGTGTCCTCCTTGACTTTGATCAGCGCAGATTGCAAAAAAGCGCAGCTCAGCTGTGAAGTCCCAAATGTGGATTGGGAGTGGGTTCGCGGTTCGCACGGCGGTTCTCAGTTCAGGGGTCAAGACGAGAGTCGAGTCAATGACGCTAGAGTGACGATGGCTTCCTGCATCTCTAGGAAGTCACGTACACCGCCGCAATCTGCTCCTGCGACGCTTGGCAGTTCCAAGTTCAGAGAGTCTATAGATGTTTATCGCAGTCAGTGCGGGTGGATTCCTGGGTCTCACTAGAACCATGATGCAAAGGTGTGCTGGTGCTCTCTCCGTGCATGAGGGTTTGTGCGCATGGGACCCTGTTTTGCAGGGACCAGAGAAGTGGCCGAGGGCTTTGGGCCTTTTTGCGGAGGAGATTGAGAACGGGCTGCTAAGTGCTTCTTGCCCCAATGGGTTGCAAGCAGGCACTGTCCTTTCCATGGTGCACAAGGCCGAGGGACGAAGCAAGGCCGCATCTTTCGCGGAGCAACTGCGGCTGATCTGGCACAGCCACGTCCAGCCTCCGCAACCGCAGCAAGTGTCTTCGCTTCGTTTTGATATACTGGCTCGTGGATGTGGCGTGCTTGTGGTGGAGAAGCCCAATGGGCTTGAGACGGCGGATGTGCTGGACAGCCTTCGCACAGACCTGGGCATTCCAATGTCCTCCGTCTCCCGCCTGGACCAGCCGACCTCTGGCATTCTTCCGATTGCTTTGGGCGACGAGACCGCTCCAGCCACGCAGTGGCTAAGAGCACAGTGGGCAGGGCGACTCGTCGCCAAATCCTACGTTTGCTTGTGCGCGGGTCCAGCCATGGAGCATGGCTTCTCTGCAGAGCTGGCGCTCTCTCTCAGACAAAAGCCGGGAGAAGCGCGATCACAAGAAGTCTGCTGTGGTGGTGGGCGCCCGGCCAGGAGAAAAGCATAGTGGAACTCAGTGCTGAGACCTCTCAAGTCCCGATCTGCGAGGACCATCTACACTGTTCTGGCAAGCTACAGCGATCCAGATAACCGCTCGGATTCGAGCGGCAAGGCAACCTCGCTGAACCTGCTCAAGGTGCCAGCTGTTCAAGCCCACTCTCATTTCGTCCGTGCATGGTGACTGCTTCCCGTTTCTCCCTGATGCGAGGTGCGAATATTGACTGGCTCCTTGCTTCCATTGATTCAGAGTCTGCGACTAAGACATCCTGGTACATCCTGCATTCCTGCTTGCTTCGAGGCCGAAAGCATCAAATCCGCGTGCACTTGGCCAGCATCGGACAGCCGCTCGTGGGAGACAAGCTCTACCGTCCAGGCACCGCTTCCGATGGATTCCGAACTCTAGATCTGGCTTCTGCCAGTCTGTCCCAGGCTGCGAGGAGGACTGGTGCTCTCGCATGTTCCTGCACTGCCGACGACTGGATTTCCTCGACCTCGAAGGCGCTAGGTCCAAAGCCTCAAGGGACGCTCTTTCTGACCGATTCTGCTTTAACAGGAAGACGGATCCTGGTGAAGTCCCGGCTGCCCGCCGAGCTGGCGGATGCTTTGGACTTCCTGAAGTTTCAGAACGCGACAAAGACTCGCCGAATGGGATCCGGAAAAGGTTGAGTGCCTCTTTCTTGGGAAAGGGTCATCATCGACAGCTGTGTGCTTAATGGTAAGCCTGTGGCTCTGGCGTCCAGTCGCAGCTCGAGCCTGAGCAGGTCGCAACGTATGACCAGTTTAAGACCATCTACAGCGGCTTCGGAATTAAGGCCAATGCTGTTTGCGAGACGTGTGTCAAGAGAAAACTCGTCGTTTACGGTAGGGAAACTCCAATGTGGTCGCTTCCTCCTTCACAGCTGGACTGGTGCGGTGCCAAAACTTGCCAAGAGCCAGAACACCACCATGTTACACGGAGGTCTACTCCGTCATTACCATGCCGTTTGAGGTGCTCCGCTTTCGAGGGCCGTTCGAAATGTTCGTTGTGGTCTTTCCAAACACGTTGCTGCCAGTCCGCGAAGAATCGCATGGCTTCGCAAAAGCCGGACCCAGAGACGGGTAAGCTTCCGTGAGCCTCGCAGAACTGGTGCTGTTTTGCGAGAGAGCAAGTTTGCTGCTGTCTTGTGCGATCTTATGGCACACGTTCTAGAGCGGATGGGCACGAGATCATTCATGCGTCACAGGTACCGTGGCACAATGCAGACCATTCAGGCAGTCGCAGGCAAAGCAAGAGAGCTCGGTGTGAGAGACTGAAGCTTCCTCGATTTCCAGGTTGCACAGAGACTCGAAGTTACGTGTGCTCGCCAGGCAAGGAGGGCGCGGCAGCTCTTTACAATGGCTTCATGCCATACTGTCTGCGGAGGGGGGCCTACTCGTGGAGTGAGTTCAGCAGGCAATGTCTCCGTTTGCTTAGCAGCTGATCGGTCCAGATGTTTTCAGTCGATTCAGTGCAGAAGACCTCGCGGACGACAGCAAACTGGCCAGAGCTCCAACGCAAGCACGAGTTTAAGAGCCCAGGTGTGGAGGGCACACTGTGCTAATGTCGTGCACCAAGACATGTCGACGATGTTCTGCCAATGTACTGGTACCTGTTGCACTAGCGGAGGTTCTTTGCTGTGGAGGAGCTGCAAAAGTGGTGACCGAGAGAGAAAATCGCGCAGTCTGCTACGGGCATCTTGCAGTCACTTCGTAGTAGCAGAGGTACCGAAAGGTCGCATAAAAGGAGGCGGCGATTGCCGGTGACTGAGATGCCCTCTGGAGCACTGCATCAGCGTGGTAAGTGTCGTTCGTCTGCGACGAGTTGCGATGCGACTGCGCGTTTGCATGGATCACGTTGCTCGTGCTGCATCCTGGGCGGGCTCTGTTGCCGGATGCTGCGTTTCGGTGGCTGCACCATCCAAGGCTGTTGAACTGTTGGCCAGCTGGCCAAGAGTGTGAGATGTTGTGCATGTACAGCGCAGCAGGCATTCCTGCCAAGCATGCACGCATGTTTTGGAGGGTCTCGTTCCGCGGAGCAATCGCTTCCAAGAGAAGGGAGACCTAAGGATTATTGGCCTCAATCCCTTGAGGCTGCAGAGCCTGTGAAGCGAGAACTTTCGAAGCGGCTGCTCTTGCACCTTACTGGAGATCTGCCAGTGGCTAGGGCATGGTTTTCCAAGTCGCGACCCTGCTGCATTTCTGCGTTTTTCCGACACCCTCCCCAAAAAGCACTGACCAAGAAGATCCAGGCGCTGTCAGGCGGGAGGCCGTGACATTCCTCGAGTCCTAGCTGTGCTGCCGCCTCTTCCAGCTTCCTCCTTCCTCGTGCCACAAGCACCGAAGCAATCGTAGGATGCTTTTTCCTGTACAAAGGATCACGTCCACGCTATGGAAGGATATTCCGTACCGTGGAATGCTTGGCGAACTCAAGCCGAGGAAACGAGCGTCGATTTAAAAGCAGGCTCAGCCTCTGAGCCATCCCAATCGAGCGGCATTGGTCCTGCAATTATCTGCACGTCACTGCAAAAATCTGCAAAACCAAGTTGCAGTTGCAGCTATTCTATGTCGTTGGGAGGGGTAGGTTTCCTGCGAGTCCTGAGCTAGCATGGGAAACAGCGCAGCGAGCAATGCTGGGAAGACTATTGCCAAGGGCATGAAGCTCCCGAACGTAACCTTGGACAAGGGCTTCCCGCCGAAGAAGATCCCGCTTCAAGAGATCATCGGTGGCAAGAAGGTGGTGATGGTGGGCTTGCCGGGTGCCTTCACCCCCACCTGATCTGCCAAGCAAGTCCCTGGCTACTTGGCAAAACAAGCTGATCTGAAGGCCAAGGGCGTCTCTGATGTCATTGTCTACTGCGTGAACGACACCGCTGTGATGGATGCTTGGGCGAAGGACCAGAAGATCGATGGCTCCATCGTGTCTTTCTACGGTGACAGCGGCTCTCTGCTCACCAAAGAGATTGGTCTTGAGTTGACCCATGCAGGGGTCATGTCTGCGTTGGGCAACCCCCGGTGTAAGAGGCATGCCATGATCGTGGACGACATGGAGGTGAAGGACGTCTGGGTCGCGGCCTCGGAGGAGGACCCTGCTGGTGACGCCAAGCCCGAGGACACGATGGTCGACAACGTTCTCAAGAACCTGTAAGACAGTTAGAGCCTAGAGCGATGCACCAGCCATACTGGGCCTTCGCTTTGTCGGTTTTGAAATACTTTGATCGCGAAAGCACCTTAGTAGTTCGATACGAGCCATCGGAAGCATTGCCTCCACAGCATGTGTGCTGGCTGTGCAAGTTGTACAGGCACTAGTGATCAGAGACTGTGGTATCTCGTCCTGCAGAACCACTGCCTCTGTGAGGTTCGCCTGTCGCATCGTTGCACACGGCAAGGCTGTCGTGCTCAGACAAGTACGTGTTTAAACAGCTGGAGATCGAAACAGCTCTTGCACGAAGATGCCACCGTTGGTGGGCACAGCATCTGTCTGTTCGACTTTCCTGTGGAGGAAGATTTTTGAAGGTGCATACTCAACTGTGCCGAATGAGTGTCCTGCTCACGTCTTGGCTCAATGGCATGATAGCTTAAGCTTGAAGTCCAGGCGAAAAAGGCCATCCTGAACCGTATCGTGTTGCACTCCCTGTCCGCTCACAAGTCCTCCCTGAATTCTGGCAGGCCAGCATGGCACCGTTGCGTGGCCGGCGGCGAGCCGTGCAGACGGCACAGCCAATATTGCATGCTTGCAGAAGAAGGACGACTGCAGCCACTCGTGTCTAAGGCAGGGCTGTTCCCACAGCGACAGGCCAAGGCAGGATCGCTCTAGGCCTCTTGGCCCTCCTGGGCACCGAACAATATAAGTTGCGCCTGAGAGGCGGTGTGCTCCACTTTCAGCTGCCAGCTGCTCAGAAAACCTCAGGGAGGCTCACAGAGAGCCTTTGAAGGTCTGAGGACGGTTACACCTTGAGGCGTGTATTGCGCTACAGCTCAGTTACTGAGGTGTGTTTGTTCTTGTCGGAGTTTTCGGAATCAATACTGGGGACCTGCGGACTGCTCGACGATCTGCCACAGCCATGGCAAAATGTCGCAAGTACATTCTGGGTGCGAGGGCCGTGCATGCGGTCAGAATCTCGCAGCATCATGCACCGAGTACACACATCCGCAGACACGACACTGACATAAGACTTATGGTCAGCAGTCTCGTGTCGAAGCACGCTGTAGCTCCGGTCTCGGTTTTTCGCGATCTCCTGGCAGTCTCAAGGCTTGCGCGCTGGCTGCAGTCGCTCTTCTTTGGGCAGGCACGGGATCTAGAAGCGGTTTGGCGCCTTGGCCATCCGAGGAAGTGTGAGGGCGCGTGGTGGAGAATGTTCGTCTCGCTGCACTACCTCAAAGTGTTGCTTGCTTTTGCTGATGCCGCTGTTGCTGCTGTTCCCCCTCTTCCTCCAACCACCATCACCACGACTGCTACTGGGTACTGCTCTTATTTCTGGTTCTGCTCCTGCTGCTGCTGCTACTACTGCTACAACTGCTGCTGCCACTGCTGGTGCTGTTCCCGCTCCTACTACTGCTGCTGCTGCTGCTGCTGCTGCTGCTGCTGCCGCTGCCGCCGCCGCTGCTGCACTGCCATCATCGTCAGCGTCAGCATCCACATGAGCTGCTGATCCTGAGCCAGGCTCCCGAAGCGTCAGCTTCTCCGAGCCGAGGCACCTGGGTCATGTGCTGTGCCCGCGTGTTGTTTCGACAGCTTGTCGTGCTGTTTGGGCTCGAAAGAAGTGGCAGCAAAGGGATACTGTCAGTTCATAGCTGGGAGCTTGAGAAGACAGAACTGGCATCTTGGAACTTGTTTGGAATTGGTGATGTTGGTCGGCAGGAGCTCGGCACCTTGCCCTTCCCGGCGAGAAGTCAGGGCCTTGATCAACGAAACGATGTGATCGGATCCGTGATCCGTATTTGGTTTAGCTGCTAGCTTCATTTTTCTGTGGCTATTGCAAAAGCATTGGAATGCGCGAAAGTTCTTAATGCGGGAACGATCGAATTGCACTCCGACAAGAGATGCGTACAATGTGAACAGAGCTGATAATTGCGTGTCGAACTAGTTCAATGTGACTACACTCAAGTGCAGGTTGCACATTGTGTGCTACATTGGCTTGGAATGGTGACAGGCAGTGGCTGCACTCATACCTGGACTAGCTGTGACGGTCACGCGCTGAGCTGTTTGTTCCCATCTTCAGAGATCACCCGCGTTAAGCAGCTGCTGCAGGGGGACGGGACAGTATTGGTTCGGCAACATCCATTTGCACAGTTTTGACAGGGTGCGGTGCTAACGGATGCGGACTCTGCTTGGGCAGATGGAAGCATCTCTGGCATCGTTGATCAGCACATGATTCCCGGCCATGGCACTCAGGCACATCTCAGCACCACTTTCTGGTCACCAGGTATAGATCTGATTGTTGGAGACTCCCGCAAGAAAGCGAAGTATGAATCGCGAGAGGCGGGTATTTGTTTCGGATTGCAGTGCGTGCTGATCGCTTTGCAAAATCCCAACCTCGTTCAACGCACAGCCATCGCTCAGCACTCGCTCATGCCGGTCTTACTTATGTAATCTCGATCGAGCATGCTTCCTCAGAGCAAGTCACGCGGCAGGGTTTTGTGTCGCACAGGGCGGCTTCCTCGGCGCTAACAAGTTCAAGAAACAGACGATTTGAACTTAGCGGGCTGGATACACGCAGCTGCCAGCAGCTTGCCACAACTCCTTGCCCCTTTCTCGAAACCTGAGGCAGGACTTCAACTACACAGATTTGCAGAGCTTCCTCCCCAAGCTGCGCGCATTTGTGAAGATGATGGTTGGTCGGATATTTTTCTCTTACTACTCCCGAGAGGTACATGGCTCGACGGTCGTTTGAGGTTCAGAACAAACAGTTGAACGACCGCAAGGCGTCACCCCAGTGCAATCCGTGTGCCTCATCCGGCATGATGTGACAGGATGCAGGTTCTTTCACATTTGACATGCTCAGCGGCGGCTTGCAGTCTTTAGCACCTTGCACCTTCGATTCCTCGGCATCTTTTGGGCTCAGCCAGTCAAGTCCTGAATCAGCTGAGCACCTTCCTGTGTTGGGGAAGAGGCGTAGAAAACATGGGCATCAAAGGCGGGCAAAGCTGCGATTCTTCACCCTGGGCCTGGCATCCCTTTGGTGCAAGGCCTCATGAAGTTTCTCCAAGACTCGGCCCCGAAAGCCGTCAAAGAGCAGCCCAGTCAGGCAAGCCGTGGAAAAGCCAAGCTCTTGCTTGTGCCTGGCTGGTGTTTGGGCAATTGAGGCTGCATACACGGGCCGGACGGTGGCAATCGATGCCAGCATGCCGGCTGCCCAGCTTCTGCTGCACGGACTGGGGTGAAGACGTTTAGTTGCTGAGGTGTCTCTATCAGTTCTTGATCATGATCAGAGAGAACAGGTCGGGAACGTGCGCCACGGGCTGTGATGGCTGAGTCGTACGTCGGAACAAGGACTTGACAGGATGTCGTTTCGTGACAGCTACGCCTTGATGATAACCTGTTGCACAGGTACAACAATCTCACCAATGAGGAGGGACAGGACCGCGGTCGAAGCAGTTGTGCCATGCCCCCTTAACTCATGTGCCGTGGTTGGTCAGGTTACATCTCACATCATTGGGATGCTTACGCGCACGATTCGATTGATGGAGCCGAAAGCTTACACAGTCTTTGCTCTGTGGAGGTAACGATAGTCTTTTACACTG